CACTCGCAACCGCCTTCCCATCGACGAGGTAAATACAATAACTAATAGTATAGTAGAGATATAAAATCGCGACGGCAATTATCATCACATACGGAATTTGGTTGAGATTGGAGTTTTTTTTATTTGTTTTTATTATTAGGTCCGGACCATTTTTATATCGGGCCTGCCGGAGGACGTGAAGGAGAGAGAGTTGTTGAACTTGATGAGATGGTTGCCTGGTTACGAGGCGTCTCAAGTTAACTTCAAAGGGGAGCACCCCATGGGTTTCGCTCTCTTTTCCACTCCTCAGCTTGCTCTTGCTGCCAAGGATGCCCTTCAGGTCAGCTTTACAAAAAAAACTTGAAACGAGTTTTTTTTTTTTTTCCTGTTCATACGACGGTGTATCGGAGGAGTAACTATACTCGCACTCAATTTACTCTATCAATCACCCTGAATTCAGTGAATTATTTTATTCATTTATAAAGTTTTACATTTTTAAATTGTTGTTGGTTGGATTTGATGATAGGATTTGGTGTTTGATACGGAGTCAAATTCAGTGTTGCATATTGAGATGGCTAAGAAGAATCTTTTTGTAAAGAGAGGTGAGTACGTGTAGTGGTACATTGACTAGATTGTGGATTCTTGTAGATCATCTTTTCATAGTACTTTGGCAAATATTTTGCTTCGGATCATAGATACTTCTTCCATTCTAGTTGTTCCAAAATACAAAGTTCCCCACAATTATTGGTTGCTGATTCCGCTATTACCAGCTTAGCTGCAACCTTAGCTACAGAGTGTTTTTCAATTTAACTATAACACTGTTTTTGTTTGTAAAACTACGCTAGTTTTGAAGCGGCAAGAATAAATGAATGCCTTGGACTAAGTACTTTTAATTGCTACATTTTCACTTTTGTTTCCATTGCAAATTTTATTTAAAAGTTGATCTTCAGTTGCCTTTTTCTTTTCTTTTGTTAATCTTAATTTGTATTTGGCATAGGAATAGTTGCTGATTCCAATGTGTATGATCAGAGTAAACGTTTGCGAACCGGTGGTGACTATACACATACAGCTTATTCTAGTCCATCTCCTTTTCATACTCCTCCTGCTCCAGTTTGGGGTCCACATGGGTGAGGTCCTTTTTTGTGTCTTTTGGGTTTCAGTTCTCTTCGGAGTCTAAGATCATCAAACAGTGAATGGATGTTTTGTAATTGCGGTGAAGCATATCTTTTAGACTTTGAAATCTGAATATCAAATATAGAATTGCTAAGAGATTTGGTTTATGCTGTAGGTATATGGCTCCCCCACCTCCACCATATGATCCCTATGCAGGTTATCATCCTGTTGCTCCTGTTCCAATGCAGGCTCCTCCTGTGGCTGCTCCAAGCAGTTATGTTCCTGTTCAGGTAAATTTTTGGCCGAGGCTGCTAGATTTTAGTCATTCTGGGTGTGTGACTCCATCTTCAATTAAAACGCATGAAATTTACGCATGAATTGAGTACCAAACAATCATGATATTGCTTATTAGGGTTCTTGGCTATATGAAAAGAGAATTCCATTTCATTGCATTACTTATGTCTAATCCCTGTTTTATATCTAATAGCATCCATTCAGAAGTGTAAATAGACAAAGTTCTTGTGGCTAGGAGATTAATTTTCTGTGCTCATAAAGGGTTTTCTTACCGCTACACTTTTCCTGTCTGAATTATTTACATCTGGCTGACTTTTATCTCATTCATACTTTTTGATACTGGTAATGTACTGTTGTTTTACATGGCGGGATACCAATAAGGAAATTTCACTGCTTTATTTGTAGAACACTAAAGATAATCCTCCTTGCAATACACTCTTCATCGGCAATCTTGGAGAGAATATAAATGAGGAAGAGTTGAGGGGTCTCTTCAGTGTGTATGTATCGGTTTTATTTTTATTTTTATTTTTTTTTTCAAATTTTCTCAGTTTGTGTCCAGATCCTTTTCCTTCTTACTCTATTTTGTTTTTAACAGGCAACCTGGATTTAAGCAAATGAAGGTTTTAAGACAGGAAAGGCATACTGTCTGCTTCATTGAGTTTGAAGTGAGTATCTACCTCTTGCTGAGTTCAGTTGTGTGGTGCTTGTTTATATGCTTATCTTCTCCCTCCAGTTCAACATATTTTCGTCAGCTGACTATGTGTTTCAATTATGCAGGATGTGAACAGTGCTACAAATGTGCACCATAGTCTGCAAGGTGCAGTTATACCTAGTTCCGGGTCTGTTGGCATGCGGATTCAATATCCTTTCCTAATAGTGTCTTTGCCCAGACGTTTTTTGCATGTGTTCTCCTTATTAAGTGGCCATACAACCCTGGAATTCGCTTACTTTGTCTCTGTATGCTTATCCTTTCCCTCCTGTGTTGACTTTTGTTACTTTGTCTTTAAAGCAAACAGGGCAGATATTTTGCCTGATCTATTGGTAATTTTTGTTCTAATTCGTTCAGTACTGTACTGCTCCGTCCTGTTTCCACTCGATATATTTTCTGTTTTCTGACTAGGGTTTTTTGCTAAGTTCCTACGGCCTTTTTTTTTTTTTTTTTTTCTCTCTCTCTCTCTCTCTCTCCTCCAGAGCCAAATTGTTTGCAATGTTTCTCTTAACCTTTAGAAACGTATTCGAAGAACCCGTTTGGGAGAAGGAAGGATTTTGGCCACCCAGCTGCTGCCCCGCCTGCTGCTGTTGCCAACGGCGCTCCACCACCTATGTCTTACCAGTAGCTGGAAGGGGATGTATTCTGTTCTTTATGCTCTGAGCAAATTCAAAAGCACTACATGATAGGATGCATCGTGCAGCTGTTGCATGCATCAATTTCATCATCAAAGTCATCAGCATTAGCATCTGTCTTTACTTGTCAATGAAATGCACGCAAATGGTGTCATGAACGTAATTGTAGGCCCATGTTTTTGTTGCTAGTGCGGAACATGCATTCTGATCGACAAATGCTATGTTAGACCAAGTTATTAAATTGATTTAGGTCTCAGGTTCTGTTGAAAATGACATTTGCTGGAGCATTGGTTTTGTAGGTTGATGATCATTTGTGGTTTTTGTTCATTTACTACTATGATATCAGAAATATTTCTTTGAAATTCATGGAATCATTGTGTATCACATTACACGGGACAATACATGACATGTCATCATGCTACATTGGATGAGGTTTCTTTGCTTGGCACAACCATCATGACTTGGAGAGCTTTAGAAACCGCATCACATGTCACGCGCATCTTTCAATTTCGCATAAGATTATTTATGAGTTCATTAGTTTCCATTAGGTAATCTGGTTTGATGCTTAGGCATCCGGTGTTATACTATGGTTAGAAGCAAATCAAACAATCTGGAATATTGTATATATGTTGTTGGTATGCAGGGTTTTATGTTGGAAATGTCGCATCATTTTGATTTCTGGAGCAAACTGGATCTGCAGCGACTTTTCGTTTCTAGCAAATCCGCTCTGGCCTTCGAGAATCTTGAAATTTTGAGTTGAGAGCTGCTTGAAGTTGGGTGAAAACTGAGCTGGAGGTGGTGCTGAAGCATCTCCGTCTCTGCCTCTTCTCGGTGGAACCTGATTTGAAGCATTTAGTGGCTCGGGGTGAGACTGTAAACCCTGCCGGGGAAGATTAAAAAACTTGGGACATATTGTTGATCATCCGTTTCAAACGCTGTGTGGTCAAGCATTTTAAAGCACTGAAATCAGGAGAAGAAAATTTGGTTGACAGACATTACACTGTTTAACACGCACGCACACACACACACAAAGGAGTAGCAAAAAACCAGGAACTGAGTGGTGATTTTAGTATCCTCATATTAGTGCAGTAGTGAAGTTTCTAACACCACATCATTTGATGTTCTTGTCTCAAGTAGACCATGTGATGTTATTATTTTGAAGGCATCATTTATGGGTTTCCCCATTGTCATAACTCACGCTGAGTTTACTTTTTTTTTTTTGGGAAACTCAAAGCTGAGTTTACTAGTAGGTGAGGTGAGTGCTGCTGATAGGTACAAGTCAAGTGTGAAAAGAAATGGTTTTATTTTAAGATGGCTTCGTCGCTCTGCATCATCATCTTCACTTTTGTTGACAACTTGACATTTTGATGGAAGCAACTAGTAGTGCTGGTCGTTGTTAACGCACTACTATTTATTTATTTATTTTTTGACAAAAGGAGTTAACGTACTACTGCGTATTAAATAGGAGATGTGGTGCTGTTCCCCCTATAATGGGTAGTCATAAATTGGTGATGGTATGTGAAAATAATTTTTTGTGATTTGATTTCAGGTACTGGCATTATTAAAGTTATACTAGTAATATTCAGTTTAGATTCCATACCATCCATCCCCCCCCCCAATTAAATTGTATCAAAAATCTAAAATATGAAATACTCTACAATAAGACGACCATTTGAACACAGTGAACATGCTCAAATTCATACTGGTAGAACTCGTTATATTCTTTTAACTAACCTTATTATGCAGTGCCTTCAAATAAGAAATAGAAAATTAAATACGGAGTACATGAATAAACACCAACCTTATGCAGGGACGAAGTAAATGATGATGTAAACGTCTGAATTTGTGAGTTTTTTCTTGTATAAAAAATTTGGATTTGTCTAAATTTTTATTTATTTGGTTGTTTTTAATTGCTGTAAATTTTGTTTATAATTTCACTTCCAATTGTAGAAACATAAATAATTGAAATTTAGGATAAATTATGTATGTAAAAAAAACACTATCCCTCTAGTTCTCAATATAAGACATTTTGATTTGTTATAGATTTAATCTAGTACGTATTTTTAATTTACCAAAAACTTAAAAAATATTTCGTAATAATCATGAGAATGCAACAAATATGAAAATATTTTTAAAATTTTTTCATAAATTAAAATATATATTAGATAAAATTTAAAACAATATCAAAATACCTTATATTAAGGACGAGAGGGAGTATTAAAAGAAAAAGAAAAATGAGAGAATATGGTCGAATACGATGGAATGCGTGGAAGGAATATTGGAAATGGAGAAATGGGGAGGGGAGATCAAATCAGAGGAGTTGTGGGGTCACTTAGTCAATGCCCTTCTCCTCCTTTTGCTTTCCAGTTTCAACTTTGAAAGTTTTCTCTTTCAGGACTCATCAGTAATGCAGTATGCTTTGGTAGGTAGGCAAAAATAAAACTGCGTGTTTTTGCCACCTTTCAACAACCACTCAAGAGTCAAGACCGCCTGCAACAATGCATGGTAGGAACTTGACCACTAGCATTATAGTGTATATATACATATCTATGTATATATATATATATATGTATAAAATTAAACTAATGGATAAAGATCCCTCCTTGTTTTTTTCAGCTTAACATGGTCGTTATGCTTTGCTAATTGCTACTCTACTGCGCCCCAACTCCTTTCTTCATACTTCATACCCATTACCCACTCCCACCGCCATTGCTTCTGGCCTCCAAAAACCCCATTTTGCTTCCATCTCATCGGCAAAAGGAGGAGGAAGTGAGCTAGGAAACTCCTTCGCCAACTACCTACCATTTGATTTGGGTATGTTTGCATCTCTTTCTTTTCTCCTCTTTTTCTTTTCTTGCTTGTTTGGGTCGTATTTTTGTTTATCCTGCAAAAAGTTCTAAACTTTATGCAGAATTATCTGTGTTCTTGTATCCTACTAAATTTCTTTTTGATTGTTGAATTTCGCCGCCTCTGCCTCCTCTGCCCCTAGCTTCTTGTTCTTTTGCTTTGCTCTCTTCCCTCCAATTTTCATTGACATGGTAGTGATGGTGGGTATGCCTGTCAACATCTTCTTCTTCTTCCATTTATTACTGTGCTTCTCTGCATCCAGTGTTGTTGCTGTGTCTTCCTCGTTGAATTCAGATGGGAAAACTCTGTTGTCCCTGCTCAGTCATTGGAGCGTGGTTCCCATTTCCCTCCAATCCACCTGGAATGCTTCTCATTCTAACCCTTGCTCCTGGCCTGGTGTTCAATGTGACAACACCACATCTTTCGTGGTTGTTTTGGACCTCTCTAACTATGGCATTTCTGGTCAATTGGGTCCTGAGATTGGTAACTTGACACACTTGACTAACCTTTTATTACCCAACAATAGTTTCTTTGGTCCTCTTCCTCCTCAACTAGGAAACTGTCATCTTCTTTTAGAATTGGATCTTTCCACCAATAGCTTCACCGGTCCATTGCCTCTGAGCATTGGCAACTTGCAGAATTTGCAATACTTGGCGTTACATGAGAATCATTTTAATGGTACCATTCCGGAATCCTTGTTTTGGATCCCTAATCTCCAAACCATCTACCTCCAGAGTAACAGACTGACTGGCGCCATCCCCTCAAATGTTGGTAACCTAACTGCAGTTGTGTATCTCTGGTTGTATGATAATCAGTTGTCGGGGATCATTCCTCCTTCCATAGGAAACTGTACTTCCTTGGAAGACCTTTACTTGAACAGCAACCGTTTGGTTGGATCACTTCCTGAGAGTTTCGATAAGCTTGAGCACCTGGCTTACTTTGATGTTAGCAGCAACATGTTGGAGGGAAGTATCCCTTTTGTTTCCGGACACTGCAAAAAGATGAATACCTTGGTTTTGTCCGACAACCGGTTCAGTGGAAGTGTTCCATCTGCATTGGGGAATTGCAGCAGTTTAACAACATTTTCTGCGATTAATTGTGCTTTGACTGGCCCCATTCCTTCCTCTTTCGGCCAGCTAAGTAAGCTGCAAAGCCTTTATCTGTCTAACAACCATTTGTCAGGAAATATCCCCCGAGAGCTGGGACAATGCAAGTTCTTGGAAGATCTAAGAATCGATACAAATGAACTTGAAGGCCAAATCCCGGATGAGCTAGGGATGCTTGGCAAGCTGAAGGACCTTTTTCTCTTTACTAATCATTTGAGTGGCGAAATCCCGGGGAGCATATGGAAGATTCACGGCCTTGAGAATCTGCAGGTTTATCAAAACAATCTTTCTGGAGGACTTCCTGTGGAGATCACACAACTAAAGCATTTAAGGAATGTATCTTTGTACGAAAACAAATTCACAGGAATTTTGCCCCAAGGTTTGGGAGTCGACAGCAGTTTAGAAGTAGTGGATTTCACTGATAACCAGTTCACAGGAGAAATTCCTCCCAATCTTTGCCTTGGAAATCAGTTGAGGATTCTGAACTTGGGACAGAACAATTTTCAAGGTGGCATTCCTCCTAGTGTTGGTGGTTGTTCTAATCTCACAAGACTGATTCTGAAACGGAATCAACTGACGGGTGCCATTCCTGACTTTGTAGAAAACTCCCACCTTAGTTTCATGGATCTTAGTGGTAATAACTTCACTGGTGCATTGCCTTCAAGTCTTGGCAGCCTCGTGAATATTGCCTTCGTTGACTTCTCAATGAATAGGCTATCAGGCCCTATACCTTCCGAGATGGGAAGCCTTATGCAACTTCAGAAGTTAAACTTATCTCATAACAATTTGGAAGGCGAGCTGCCACCGCAGCTAGCTAACTGCAACAAACTATCGCTGCTTGATGTCAGCAAGAACTCATTGAGGGGCTCAATCCCGGATAGTTTAAGCAGGTTGACAGAGTTGACCACCTTGGATCTAAGTGATAACAGTTTGTCGGGTGGTATCCCAGCATTTTTGTTTGAGCTGTACAAGCTCTCAAATCTGCAGCTTGGAGGAAATTTCATTGGTGGGGGTATTCCATCATCAATTGGTACAGCAACCGGCGTTGAACAGAGTTTGAGGTCATTGAATCTTAGCAGGAACAGATTGACCGGCCAAGTTCCTGCAGATTTTGGAAGGTTAACTATGCTGGAGATGCTTGATTTGTCTTCCAACCATCTATCCGGAAGCTTAAGAGCCCTTGGTGACATCCATTCATTGGTGTTCATCAATGTTTCCAAGAATCTTTTTTCCGGTCCAATCCCAGAAACATTGCTGAAGTTCCTCAACTCATCTTCTAATTCATTGGATCAAAATGCAGGTCTTTGCGTGGATTGTTTTAGTATTCTTGACTCTAATCATTGCAGAGAAGTGATAGCTCAGGTGAGCTTGAGGCCTTGCACTCTTCAATCTAACAACAAGAAAAGAGGTCGACTCAACAAAGTAGAAATCACTATGATAGCACTCGGTTCGTTGTTGCTTTTAGCTCTTGCACTTTCTGCCCCCGCCTTCGTGTATCTCTGGGGGCGGGCAGATTTGAAACGAGAACAGAACTCAATTGCTGCTAAAGAGGGTGGATCTTCCTTGCTCAATGCAATAATGGCAGCCACAGAAAACCTGAATGACAAGTTCATCATTGGGCAGGGCGCCCATGGAGTGGTATACAAGGCTGCGTTACTGAACTCGAACAAAGTGTATGCTGTGAAGAAAATTGTCTCTCCTGGGCTGCTTAAGAATGTGAACAAAAGTATGATCCGCGAAATTCAGACAATCGGGACAGTAAGGCACCGGAATCTCGTCAAACTCGAGGGATTCTGGTTCAGAAAAGACTACGGCTTGATTCTGTATAACTTCATGAAGAACGGGAGCCTCCATGATGCTCTTCATGGTGATCCACCGAGGTCCTTAGAGTGGAAAATTCGGTACAAGATTGCGCTTGGCACTGCCCAAGGATTATCATATCTGCATTTTGACTGTGAACCTGCAATTGTGCATCGGGACATAAAGCCAACTAATATTTTACTGGACTCTGATATGGAACCTCATATATCAGATTTTGGCATTGCCAAACTTCTTGAAGGTTCCTCATCTACTGGTTCATTATCATCCAGCACGGTACCTGGAACTATCGGATACATTGCCCCAGGTAATTAATGCTTTCTCTACTTGTTGCATTTTGCAGTAATTTTACTTAGTGGTGCCCGTCATTACTTGGGCCTTTTCTTAACGTAGCAATTTGGGACTTAAACTTAGTTGATTAACTACAGAAAATGCATTTACAACGAGGAGAAGCAGGGAGTCAGATGTGTACAGCTACGGGGTTGTTCTGTTGGAGCTGATAACACGAAAGAAGCCGTCAGATTCATCATTGGCTAACAGGGAGCAGGACATTGTGAGCTGGGTTCAATCTGTTTGGAATGAAACAGGTGGAGAAGTCAAGTACATTGTGGATGAAAGCCTGGTGGATGAACTGATCGATTCAAGTGTGATGGAGCAGGTAAGTAAAGTGGTTGAAGCGGCTCTGAGATGCACAGACAAGGAATGGAGCAAAAGGCCCTCCATGCGAGAGGTGGAGAAGCTGTTGATGGCATCCTGGGGGGACAGTGGAAGTAGCAAATCGAAAAGCTATTATTGATTGCCTTCTCCTCCAGTAGGTAGGCGGAGGAAACAGCAAATCTAAGTAGATGGTGTGGCATTGTTGTCATCACTTGTTTCCTTAAGAATAGTTTGACATGTAAATATACATATATTTATAAATCACTTGGGGAGGTTTAATGGTTTTCTTTGTATCTGACTACAAATCACTACTTTACTTTAAATGATCCCTCCTAGCAATGAGCACAAACATTCTATTGCTCATTACATTTTCTTCTCTTCTTTAACTTAGGCCTTACTTATACTCACTCTGTCTCGAAATTATTGTTCAGTTTGAATTTTCACTTTTGGTTCAATTTGTATTAAAACTAAAAATTCAAACCTGGATTTCACTCTCTCTGTTCCGAAATTATTTTTCAGTTTGGATTTTCATTTTTAGTTCAATTTACACCAAAACTGATTTTTCAAAAAAAAAAAAAAAACCAAAACTGAAAATCCAAACCGGACAATAATTTCAGGATGGAGGGAGTATTTGATATAGAAATGAGGTTGAATTGAGACTCTGCTAACTGAGCTGATTCTATCAACATTACTACAAAATCAAAATTTTTCAAGAGATCCATTCACTGTTCAAAACCTTTTACCCCGTAATGGTAAAATTTGAATTTCTCTCTTAATTGGATAAAGTGTAGAAGGACAAAAGCGGATGGAACACCAAACTTGAGGGACCAAACCTATAAAGAAAGAGAGTAGCCGACCTGACCTGAAAGTGGCCAACTAATCCAATCACGCGGCTGTTTCGGTTAGGCGCAAAAAATTCTCCATCTTCGTCTTCTTCATTTTTCTCTCTTTGTCGTCGTCGTTTTTTCCTCCCCCTTTCTTCGCTGGAGTGTTTTCCAGTCCATCCTTACCTTTTTAGTTTTGAGAAAGAAAAAAATGCTGTTAGATCTAATCATCCAGCCTTTGTGTCTCTCTCGATTTTGATCCTAGATGTTTTGAACTCGATCTTGACTGAAATGAGTGAATTTTGTACATTATCTCAAGGCATTATCCCGTGAAATCCTAAGTATCCGGCCACCGGATCTCCGGAACCGAGAGCCTAGGTGTTTTTAATTTTGCTCTTGGTCCCATAATTAGTGAAAGTAGTGGACTCCTTTGCGGGATTTTTGGGACGGTCATATTATGGCTTCGGGGAAAACGCCGTCGTCGCGGTCCCGGGCGCATCATTCGGCCGCCACCAAAGGAAGCGCTGCCCGAGACAACGCCGGCAAGCTTGAGGAGAATCTCAACGTCTTCAAGTCCGATAATTTCGACGCCGATTCTTATGTTCATTCCAAATGTAATTCCTTGAACGAAAAGGTCCTCCTCCCCACCACTTTTTTTTTTCCAATTTAATTTCTTTGATTTTATACCCTGTTTCTTAATATTTGCTTGTTACTCATTCTATGAGTTAACTGAAAATTGTTTTCTCTTAGTGTTTATCAAATTCAATTTAATATTTATGGGGCTGAATGTCATGGCAGGACTAGTTTTGAGAGGGTAGTGAGTTATTATGCTTAAGGCTCATTGGAATATTTAGCTAAAGCTTATTATAGTTGTGATAGATTTCAAGTGTGATTATTAATTTGATACGCATTTGCGGTGATGTTGTAAGTTGGAAACTATGCTATTAATAGAAATGCTCTATTGTAGGCCTGGTAATCATTTTAAGAGTAGTAAATAAGATGGCAATAAAACCACGAATCAAAGGGGAAAAAAGGCCATAAAAAAGGAAAGATATTCCCAAGCATGCACGTTTCTGCCGCTTTTTACACCTGTTACTCTAGGTATCCAACTTTTTTCTTGCTGTTATGCCTTAAATGATTAAAATCGAGAAACTATGTTATTAAATTGTGTTGTGTAACAATTTGCAGGAAATAAGGCAGTTATGTTCATATCTACTGGATCTCAAGAAAGCTTCGGCTGAGGAAATGCGCAGAAGTGTCTATGCCAATTATTCATCTTTCATTAGGTGACCCCTCTACAATTTCAATTATAATAATAAAATTCTTTGATGCCCTTTCATTTGGTTTGAAGAGGACTTGTTAAGCTGGAAAGAGCAGATTTACGTATTGGCCTGCATAAATGATAAATGATTGGTGTGCCAAACCTACTAGTTTGAAAAAATGTTGAAACCTTCCTACTTTGTTCGATCAAATTTTGTCGAGTCTAAACAGTGTTTACAAGCCCTGAGCTCTGTATTTCAGCAAGTTGCCTAACGTTGATGTCTTGGCATTTGGCTTTTTTAGTTGATGAATAAGGCATTATGTCCATATATACCTCTCAGGTCTCCCTTCTACCCCCGCTCACAAACTCCCTCATTTAGTACACTTCTGTAATTGCTTTGGTTCTTCATGATGCATAACTGACTGTTGCTTCAAGCTTAGAGAGACAGATATGGGCTGTCTTTATGTCAGATCATTGCAATTCATTTTAAAGTTTGGATGCCTCTGAACTGAATTGATTTCTCAGTTAGCTATTTCGGATCTACATTTATTTGGATTTTTGTTTAATTATGAAACTACATTATGCAGGACATCTAAAGAAATTTCAGATCTGGAGGGTGAGCTTTCGTCAATGAGGAATCTACTCTCTACTCAGGCAACAATAATTCACAGTTTAGCTGAAGGAGTTCAGATTGACTCAATGTCTGACTCTGTAATGAATGGTAATGCTGCAAATGGTTCATTGCATGAGGAAGTGAGGGAACCTTCTGATCTTGAGAAAAGGTTAATGGAGTTCCCTGATCTCCTTGATGTTTTGCTTGCTGAACGGAGAATCGATGAAGCATTGGCAAGGTTGGATGAAGGAGAACAGATTGCAGCTGAAGCGAAAGAATCGGGGGCGCTTAGTCCAGCTGTGTTGTCTGCACTTCAGACTGCTATTACTGAGCGGAGGCAGAAGTTAGCTGATCAACTAGCTGAAGCCGCTGGCCAGCCTTCTACCCGAGGTGGTGAGCTTCGAGCTGCTGTTTTAGCTCTTAAAAAACTTGGAGATGGTCCACGTGCTCATAGTTTACTGCTCAGTGCTCATTACCAGAGATACCAGTACAACATGCAAAGCCTCCGGCCTTCGAGCACCTCCTATGGTGGGGCCTACACAGCTGCTCTCTCTCAGCTAGTATTTTCAGCCATTGGGCAAGCAGCTAGTGATTCATTGGCTATTTTTGGTAAGGAGCCAGCTTATACATCTGAGCTTGTGATGTGGGCTACTAAACAGATAGAGACATTTGCTCAACTTGTTAAAAGGCATGCTTTAGCCTCATCTGCTGCTGCTGGGGGTTTAAGGGCTGCCGCAGAATGTGTTCAAATAGCTTTGGGACACTGTTCGCTGCTCGAAAGCCGTGGACTTGCACTTTGTCCTGTGCTGTTGAAGCTCTTTAGACCCAGTGTCGAGCAATCTTTGGATGCTAATTTGAAGAGAATTGAAGAAAGTACGGCTGCTTTAGCTGCAGCTGATGACTGGGAACTTGTCTATCCTCCTCCTCCACGCCAATCTGTTAGGTCATCTAGTGCCACTGCGGCAAGTATAACTTCATATCAGTATAAGCTATCAAGTAGTGCTCACAGGTTCAACTTTATGGTCCAGGTGATTACAAGTGCTTGTTTACTTAGTGATGTTTATTTTTTTGTTTTGATGTAAGCCCTACAGGCTGTTTGTGCCTGTTCTCTCTCCCTGAAGAGCTGAGAAGTCAGTAATTGTGTATTTCTATTTGTACATTTTGGTGTTCTTCTACTAACTATTCTTTGTGCAGGACTTCTTTGAGGATGTTGGACCCTTGTTGAGCTTGCAGCTCGGTGGCAAAATGCTGGAAGGTCTATTTCAAGTGTTCAATTCATATGTGAATTTGCTCATAAAAGCATTGCCTGGTTCCATGGAAGAAGAGGCAAGTTTTGAAGGTTCAGTGAATAAAATAGCCCGAATGGCTGAGACTGAAGCCCAACAAATGGCTTTGCTTGCAAATGCATCATTACTAGCTGATGAATTGTTGCCTCGGGCTGCGATGAAGCTTTCCCCCGTGAATCAGGGTAATTTTAAAGATGACCCTCGTAGAAGAACTTCAGACCGGCAGAATCGTCACCCTGAGCAAAGGGAATGGAAGAGGCGTCTTGTCAGTTGTGTTGATCGATTAAAAGACAGTTTTTGTCGTCAGCATGCTTTGGATCTTATTTTCACAGAAGAAGGTGATAGTCATCTCACTGCCGACATGTATCTTTACATGGATGGAGACGTGGATGAAATAGAATGGTTCCCATCTGCAGTTTTCCAGGTTTTTCCTTTTCCTTTTGCTTACTCCCCTTTTTTTTGGGGGGTCTATTTCATGCTCTGAAACTTTTGGTGGCTGTTCATGTGGTACGCCGTCTTTATTTATGCACTGTTTTGCCCAACGCCCAATCTTTGACGTGGCCTCCACTTTATTGTCTGTGTTTCCAGGAACTTTATGCAAAATTGAACAGAATGGCCATCTTGGCGGCTGATATGTTTGTGGGCCGGGAAAGATTTGCTACTTTGTTACTGATGAGGCTCACTGAAACTGTGATCTTGTGGCTGTCGGAGGACCAGAGTTTTTGGGATGACATACACGAAGGACCAAGGCCTTTGGGTGCCCTTGGTCTTCAACAGGTTTGAAGCTTTATTATACTTTTGGATTCATGGTTTTGTTTTATAGCAGATCCTCAATAACATATTCCTCATGGAATGTTACAGTTCTACTTGGACATGAAATTTGTCATGTGCTTTGCCTCACAAGGGCGGTACTTGTCAAGGAATCTGCTCCGAGTTCTTAACGAGATCATAAATAAGGCAATGATAGCATTTTCTTCTACAGGAATGGATCCCAATAGGTAAAGCTGCAGTAGTCTCTAACAACTTATTCTTAATTTTCTAATCTGAAAATTTTAGGCATTATTATTAAATTGATAGTCAAGGGAACTGATCAAGTTGAATGTTGTCGTGCAGTGTTCTTCCTGAAGATGAATGGTTTATTGAGATTAGCCAAGAAGCCATTGAGAGACTTAGTGGAAAACCCAAAGCTGCAAATGGGGAACGAGATCTCAACAGTCCAACTGCTTCTGTCTCAGCACAATCGATTTCGTCTGTGAGATCCCATGGGAGCTCTCAAGGGACCGGACAGACCTTGTAAAGCTTTCAGTGAACCAATTCAGTATAAAGCCATTTGTGACCTTTCTTTCTTCCTCGTAGTCCTCTCCTGTCCCTATATTGTGTTTTGGTCCATTTTCATTGTTGAAATTGTCCATTTGGTAGTAATATCATTCTGTAGCTTGGTATGGCATAGTGCTAGGGGATTCTTTTAGTTCCCTTTTGTGTAGGGAGCATTCGCTGCTTTGCACATGTTTCATTTCTCATTTTGATCTGAAATTCATTATATTCTTTCTCCACCTCTGTTGGCAAATGTTGTTTACCTCTCTGTAAACCCAATTAGAACTATGAAAGCAATGGATCTCAACATTGTTATTGACAAGAATCGGGAAAATTACACAATTATAATACTGCAATATGAACCCTACCCGTGAAGTTCTTATACGCAAAAAAAGAACTTTCTTTATAATGATTGTGTTTAATATATGAAATTGAAATGGATTGTCAACATGAAAATTATCATCTCTTTGCAAATACAAACGAGAACTCACTTTTCGAATACACGAAACACAGCCGGACTACACTGGATAGTGTCCAAGCCAAGATAATTGCCATTTTCCAGCATCAGAAACAGGGAATTCACCTCCGCCAAACCAAGTACTCGAGACATGAGACCACTTTACAAACAAACTTAGTAAACGGGAATTCCAATTCCTCCTTGATCGGAGAAACTAGTACACAACACCATGCACCATCTCATCAATGTTTAGCAAGAGATCTGAGAAACAACATTAATGATGATGATGACGATGACGGTTTGATTTTGCCTACTTTTTATCTCACCAATAATCATTACATGAGCATTTACCATCCTTAAAATGGTGGAACCTCTTATTATCTCTAACAATCAATTCCCTCCCAACGATTCTGGACATAATCTTGATGGCATTGTGACAATCACCACACACCCTCAGGTTCTTCATGATCCTTAATGTTGTCCTGGGAGGAGTACTAATCAGGCCATACGCTATCGCTAGTCGTTCGCTGTGATGCTGTAGTGCCTGCTCTTTAGCTTCCTGATCAATGTCATGGAGCACGTATCGTGTATCAGGCACATAAGCTTGCTGCTTCATTGCAGCCCTCAACTTCTCATCATCCTTGTATAGAGTCGTGCTGCGCAGTTCGGGAGCCTTGTTTCGGCCCTCAAGCATATTGATTGCAGATTGCTTTTTAGGTGGCGGAGTGGGAATCGTGTTGTTGATCATTGCCATTTTTGAAGAATCAACACTGATCATTAGCTCCTCAGCTCTGTCCTCAAGATCAATGTCGCCATGCATGCGTGCATAATTCATCAAAGCTTCCCAAAAATCTGTTGTAGGTTCAAATGGAAGTTTCTTGGCAACAAACTCCTCAGCTTCCGCAAGATGCCCACATTTGGCAAGAAGCCCTAGAAGCCCCAAGTAATGCTCTATCCCTGGTTCCATCCTGTACTCGGTCTTCATTGACTCAAAATGTAAGAAGCCCTCGTCAATAGCATCAACGCTAGCACAAGCATCTAGAACAGCGAGAAAGGTAACCCCATTAGGTCGCAACCCTAGCTTTCTCATCTGATCATACAAGGCCAGTCCATCATCACCAAGCCCATTGAAACCATATCCACTGATCATCAAATTCCAGGAATCCAAGTTTCTATCAGGCATGTGATCAAAAACCCGTCTAGCATCAGTCATGCTCCCACACTTGACATACATATCAAGCACCTTATTGTTCAGCAAAAGATCACTCCGGCAGCTTGATCTCAAGAAATAATCATGGATTTTCTTGGCATCACCATAGTTCTTGGACTTGGAACACAGCTCAAATAGTAAACTAAAGGAGTGAGCGTCAGCAACCACACCTTCATCCATCAGTTTGAGTGCATCACCAACTTTACCTTGTTCACAAATACCTCTTAAATCAACAACAGAAGTCTGCTGCTGCTGCTGCTGCTGCTGCTGCTGTTCACCAACTTTTTGGTTCTGAAAGGTCTGAGAATTATAATTAGGAATGTTTTGGTTTTGGTGAAGAGGAGGATAGGCCTGATTTTGATTAACCTTTTGAGGGAAGCTCGACATAGGTCCTCCTGGTTGACCTAGGTTTTGGCCCTGATCAAAATTACGAAACAATTGACCGTGATTTTGACCAAAACCTGGAAAACGCTGATTCTGATCCTGGGTTGTTGCAGCCTGATTATGGGTTGGATAGTTTTGAACCTGATGTGGATGTGGGCCCGGCTGGTATTGAGAAAAGCCTCCTCCGCCGCCTCTGTAACCCACTTGATTGCTCTGAGTCTGGACAACATGCTGTTGCGGCGGCGGCGGCGGGTAGTTCTGGCGGGTTGAGTTGGGATTTACATTGTAATGACTGGGGAATGTGTGGGGAGGAGGATAAGGGTGGTTGTTGGGGTGATTGGTGCCATGGTTGATCTGATTGCGATGATCATAAGATGTTTGATAATTTGCCCCACCGACAAGACCAGGAGTAGCTGAGGAGTGAAACCGTGGAAAAAGGAGACCCAATGAAGTGCGAAGCCGGAGATGCAGAGCGGCGGCAGAATTCAGGTTCAACGGCGGCGCCATTTCTGGAAAGAAAAGGAAGCCACGGCAAGGAAAGGACGTTCAAAAATGGAGGAGGAAACCGGGAAATGGTTATGGGAATAATAACTCAACAGATAGTAATGTATTACAATTATTAAAGAAGGGAGAAAATGTTTGGGTTGGGCTGTAGTTTTTGTGTATATCCACATTTGGGCCTGACTTCCCTTTTGAGTATTAAATTTTTTTCTTTTTCTGTTGAAGTTCCAAAATCAATCATGATTGGAATTTTCCATCATTTATTAGTCCAAAAACAATACTCGTATTTTGTATTGCATTTGTGGAGAGCGGAAAAGGCTACATGAATTGACAACCGAAAAGGGAAAGGATAATAGTATATCAGTTTTATAAAGGTATTTCCTCTCCCTCTTTATATAATTTGCATTAAGTTTTGAAATTCATAGTAAAGAGGGGTTTAATCCGCATTTCAGTGACAGGCCTTCGTCTCATTCTTCATACGTCCTGGTGCTTCCAAAACTTGGACAAATCAAACTTGCTGCCCTCGAGGGCTTCAGCATCGTAATGCAACTTTACAAATGAATCATGTGGAAAACCCAAAATAGTTGCAGCCACAATAAAGGAAGAACCAATCATTTCTTCTTCACTGATATATGTGAAAAAGTAAACACAAGATTTGTACCCCTTTGAGTCAAACAATGTACAGTCCCCATGACACCCAATAAGAATATACATGCCAACAAAAGATAAACTCAAGTTGATGAAAAAGCCCAAAGATTTTCACAACTCATATAAGAAGTAATATATGCACCTGTTCAAAACAAACTTACACTTGAGAGACATTGTAACTCAAATCACAATATTATTATAGGGCAGCCCAATAAAATTGTTCTGAATTAGTTTGTGCTCCAGGTAAAATAAATCAGGTAGAGTATCTGTGAAGGTGTAACCTAAAAATTCATAATTACAAAAAGATAAGCAATAAGTAAAGCTCCGCAATCTTACCAGCCAATACACCTCAACCAAACAACTGACAAAATTGCCTAAAAAACCCCCCAGAACATATAATCATCGACAATATGCTTGCCAATCTAGCATCTTGACCATGAAGCAGAATAGATAAGCAATCTCAAATGGAAGATAACCACAGAAAGAATTCAGATTCTCTATCTAAGCACCTAAATGCAGTTAACCGACGAATGTTCGATAAAAACAAAAAAATGTTCACTTTACTAGTAATAACTATTAACTGAGTCCCTTCTCGTCGTCCCGGCACATTGAGTGCAGAGGTCACAAAAGTTATCATAAACTTATCAAACCACACATCAATTCCTACAATCAGACCACACACATCGAATGAGACGCAATGAAATGTAAAGCTGAATAGCGAACTCAGACAAGCATTAATGATTCATCATGGGTTCCACAACTAGGGCAGAGTGGACTCCGCATTAGATGACGGCGGAATCGCTCTAAGTTTGTCATCAGCTTCCCTTTAACCAGAAGCACGTCTTCACCGAGAAAAAATAAATTCTGTATGTTTATGAAATGATATCCACAAAAATGGTTCGAAAAGTCTTTCTCGGACTAATTTGTGTATACGGATTAAAATGTATTCTCTCTAACGTACGTACGGATATGTGATCAAGAAATCAGGATGTAGAGCGCAACAATCCATATTATAACTAGTATTATAAGTAGGAAATTAAATAATTCATCTCCGCAAATTAACCTTTCCAAATTAGATGTTGATTGATACTACTTCCGTATTAATAACACAATATTTCATAATTGAGTTGACTGGTGTACATATGTTTTTGTTTTTTCTTTTTCCTATTTTTTCTTGTCATTTTGATATACAAGTGTGGCATTAGTTACAACGAAATTTAAAAAGCTTACATCTGGGGCTATCAACGAATCGAGCACTTGGCAACCAGCTTGCAAATAGTTTGGTCAATGCTTAGTTGAATTCTGTTTTAGCCGAATTCGAACAGTTCGATTAAATAGACTAATCGAACATGAGTATCAAAATACTTGATTCAAGAGCTTGTCGAGCCTATTCGAATTATTAATAAATTATTTTACTTTTATTTTAAAAAAAATATTTAGTTCACGAAAACCTTTCTTTATATTCCTTGAAAACTATTGTCTTTTATATTTTGAATATATAACAATGGGATACATATAGTGTTTATGATTTATCAATGAATTTTGTTCATATAGCATGTATATTGAACGTGTTGAATAAAAAATGACAAGTATTAAAATTTACTCAAACTCAATATCATCAAGTATTCAATTGCAATCTTTATCGAATACTAAGACTTGAGTCGACGAACCAAACATGAGTTTTTTTGTTTTTTCCAAACCAAACTCAAACTTTAATGTAGATGTTCGAAACGAACTTCAAATTTTTGTCGAGCTCGAGTACTTAATTATTTGGGCTTGACTTGGCTCGTTGATAGCCCTACTCGAAAATAATATAAAAAAACTAATGTAGACCCTCTATTCGGGGGTATGCAAAATTACTCAACAAAGTTTTAGGGATCTAAAAGTATATTTGCTAAAAGATAGGACCAAATAACTAAATGGACTCCAGTTGGACTATTTTTGCTTTTATCGTTTTGGTCTTCGTAGCGAGGAAGTACTGACGGTAATTCGAACGCCGATGGTGTGGAGTGGATGACTATTCCGGCAAAAGATCCCAAATATCTCTGAAAATGGAGGAAAAACGCACCGGAACCCCTCCACCGGCGGTTCCAGCTGCTGAGCCTTCGGCCTCAGATGCGCCTTCGACCGCGAGGCGTAGAGGTGGAAACCAAAAGAGAAAGGCAAGTTCTCTCAGTGGCGGAAACAATTCGGCTCCTCAATCGACGAAGCGGCAGGCTCGTGAGAAGCTGCCGCCGGTACCGTTCCCTCCGATCCATAATGGTCCGTTAACTAGAGCGCGACAGCAGCCGAATAACAGCGTCGCCGCTGCTAGTTCGCCTTTGTCTTCAGATGTGAAGAGTGAATTGGAAGAGGCGGCTTTGGCACAGGCCGGAGGGGGAGAGATTCTCAGCTCAGACCAGGCGAATGAGGTGGGAAATGAGGATTGGGAAGCTCTGGAAGCGAGAATTGAAGCTGATTGTGAAGCTATCAGATCACGAGATTCCAATGTGCACGTGGTGCCCAATCATGCTGGTTAGTATCTTCTTTCTAATTCAATTTGCTATAGAAACAAGCTGAAAGCCCTGTATTTTTGTTGCACTTTTGGTTTTAAAGTTGCGAAATTGTAGTAATTGAAGGATTTGGCATAATCGTCATTCTGGTGTGCTTTTAGGGTTTATAAATTATTCATGTATCTGTGATATATGGGAGTGAAAATTTCATAGAGCTTTTGGACCACTATTTAGCACGGATTTGATTTATGATATTTTGAAACTTTAGGATGCATTAAGGAAGATGGAATTTGTTGGGAACTTGTTAATTGTTTCATTAAAATTATTCAAACTATTTCACTTCCTGATGCCTGCACGTGTAGGTTGGTTTTCTTGGACAAAAACTCATCCATTGGAGGAGAAAATGTTGTCATCTTTCTTTAATGGGAAATCAGAAAGTAGGACGCCTGAAATATATATGGAGATTCGTAATTGGATTATGAAAAAGTTCCATCATAATCCGAATGCAAAGATCGAGTTGAAAGATTTGTCAGAAATAACGGTAGGTGAATCGAATGCAAGACAAGAGGTGATGGAGTTTTTGGACTACTGGGGCTTAATTAATTACCACCCATTTCCAGAAACTGATGTCAGTTCTAAAAGTATTGATGGTGCTTCTGATGAAGCAACACAAGCCAAGTCTTTGGTGGAAACTTTGTTCCGCTTTGAGTCAGAGCAATCGTGTGTTACGGTTGCACCTAGGAGTAGTGTGTCGACACCATCGGTGCCCACTGGTTTTTTTCCTGAATCTTCTATTGCTGAAGAATTGGTGAAGTCAGAGGGCCCTGGAGTGGAGTACCATTGTAATTCTTGCTCAGCTGATTGCTCTCGCAAGCGTTATCATTGCCAGAAGCAGGTTTTTCCCCACCCTTTTGTCTCTTAGCGTACTTCCCTGATATGAAACTTTTTGATAAGTTAAAAAAAACTTCTCATGCGCTATAGGTTGGAATAACAGTTAGATAAGGATTGTTGTAGAGTGAAATTTACCATTCCAAAGTCTGCTTTCATATTTATTTGCAAAAGTGGTCCAGATTCCAATAATATCCACTGACGTGCATTCAGTCGGGTTCTTCTCGCATAAGTTTAACCAGCCGCTTGGCATAAATTAAATTTCATAAAATAGAAGGTTAGAAATTATCGGTAGCATCTTTCAGATAAGCATCTGAATTCAATTGGGTGAAAATTACGGGGATAATGTATTGTGTTATTTCAAGTAGTCACAACTATGGATAAGATTTATCCCAGGTAATCCCAAATTATAAGTGATCAAAAGTTATAGCTTAAACTACATGTGAATGTAGATGGAGGGTTCTAAAATGGCATTCCAGGTTGTTAGCAGTTACGAATTTATTCAGATGACCAGGGTTTCGGGGCGGCTTGCGAACTAATACTGGTTCAAAAATGAATTTTTGATGACTTCTGGTAATGAAGAACTTATTGTCTCTGTAAAACGTCATGCAAGTGTACAAACGGTTATGGTCTCTGACTTCCATCCTATGTAGAGAACTAATTTATACAAAGTTTATGTCCACAGCAAAAATACCTTATATTGCTCTTTTTGAGTTCTGGAAATACTGATATAGTCCATTATGTTAAGTAAATCCACGACATCATTTGGCTGGGAAACTTTGGAATCTGTGGTTTCTAGAGGTAGTATGGTGAAGTTCTGTCATCTTATGTAGTATTTGTATTTCTAATTGCTGAATTTTCCGCTGATGATAATTCAACTATCTGTTATTGAGTGAAGCTAGCTGCTGTTACGCCAGCATAGCTGGATTAACTACTGTTGTGAGTCTTTTGATTTTTTTTTTTCCCGAAAGATTGGTATCTTTATATTTGTCTGACTGAACTCTCATTATGCAGGCAGATTTTGATTTATGCAATGAATGTTTCAACAGCGGGAAGTTTAAGGCACTTACTGAAGCATTTGAAGCTGTTGGTTCTCTCCCTTTACCTGGTGAACGCCTTTCATTTGCTGATGCTGGCAATCCTGCGATGACCCTGGTATGCTTATTTTATTTCTTGCCATGCATTTATGTCTTAGTCCTTTCATGATAATCACTTGATCTTGTATGAGATGAAATTTTAATATCGTTCTGTGGTTTCACCCGATTATACAGTTGTGAGTTCATACCCTTCTTGATGGTCTTCTAAATCTTGGTAGATGGCTAGATAAAATTATAACTGTGAAAAAAATAAAGGGTTTAAAAACTTCTTTTTGCCAAGTTTATGTCTGTGGGTTTTTTGGATCTATCAATCTGGTATTTAGTTAGTTTCTCTGTGTTAATAGGCAGCATTCCTGGTGAGATTGCTGGAACCTAATATCGCCACTGCCTCTGCTCGTAGTTCTTTAAAATCCATTTCGAGCCATCATTCTGGTGACCGGCTGGCACTGAGGCACTGCTTTTGTTTGGAAGATCCACCTGCTGACAAAAAGTCAACGTGCACAGAAAGGTTGGTTTTTTTGTTTACACAACTGTCAGCTGTCTTGCTGGAATATTTCTGATTTTTCCATGAGATATGCAGGGTTGACACTGAAATAGTTGCGGAAGACACTCTACAAAGTGAAGAGCAAAATGCTGAAAAGCAAGAGGAGAATGATGCTCCAGTCGTTGATGCTAACCATGGATCAAACAACATTGACTGTGGAAGTGGTGAGGGTAATGTCCAGGAAAAGGGGGAAACTTTGTCTTCTTCAGGGGTCGCATCTGCAGATGAGTCTGCTTCAACCAAGGAATTGAATGAAATGGCTAATGAGGAACCTGGGCCTATCCAAATCAGTGAATCAAAGGATCCAGATTCGCCAAAGAAAGTTGCATCTGTTGCTCAACAAAAATCAGATGATCTAGCAATGGATGTGGAAGTTCCTCCTGGTTTTGAGAAGGAGCCAGATAGTACTGTGGTATCTGGTGAACCTTCTGAATCTACTGAGGTTCCGAAAGATAAGGAGATGTTACCTAATTTAGAAGTTAATGATCCTGCGAAACCAGAACAATTGAAAGATCTTATTCATGGCAAATGTCTTATTCATGGCGAATGGTTCGAAATGAGGTCAAAGCTGATCGAAAAGGGCATCTTTGAAGCTGAGAACTCACTGGAAGTGTCTCTCAGAGAATCTTTTGAAGCGTTTGAACCCCAATTGAGGCCACCTTTTTGCTTGAAAATCCCTTCTGAAGAAGAGTATGTAAATCTGAACAAGGCCATTCTTTTTGCAATTTTATGTGAACCCCAGTTGGCCGAGGTTCATATAAAGCATTTACATGGTCTCATCACCGATGGGTATGCTTATTTTACTTCCTTGGTTATTAAGGTTGTGAATGATTTGTATCCCAAGCTCGTCGATTCTGTCAGGGTGCAGGTGATTTGGGTAGTGAAGGAGATGGTGGATGTGTTAGCTGTAGGGTTTGATGGTTTGTTGATGGCTCTTTTGAGACAAATTATTGGTGGTGATTTTAGTGAAGGGAATTTGTGGTTGTGTTATGAGATGGCTTGCGTGTTTTCGGATGATTGGGATTGTTTTTTCGAGGAAGATGATGAACCCTTGGTTCTGTCTTGTGCATTGTATGTGTTCCTTCGGTTATTGGCCGATCACTGTAGGTTGTCTCATGAAGCTAAAATTGAGGCCTTGAAGAGGATGGAAATTCAGTTTTGTCTTAGGATGTTTCAGGAGAAGTTTGGTTTGTGTTTAAAGATTGGGAGGGATCTTGTACGGCTTTTACAGGACTTGGTTCATGTTCCAGAGTTTCGGGGTATTCTGAAAGACTTGGTCTTGAATCCTGCTGTGTTTCAGGCTCCAGGATTTATCGATATTTCGCAGCTCTACCTTACAAGGACTTCCAGTAAATACTTTCTGCTTCGGATCACTCCCGAAATGGAAAACCAGTTGAGGTTCTTGCTCACGCATGTCAAGCTAGGTAATCAACTGCGTTACCAAGTTTGGTTTGGAAGGAAGTTCTTTGGTTTTCCTGGGAAGGAAACTATTCTAGTAGACATTGTTAGGTTTATTTGCTGCTGTCATCATCCCACAAATGACATTATTGGGTCAGACATCATTCCCAGATGGGCGGTAATTGGTTGGTTGCTGAAAGCTTCTTATCAGAGGAATTATGTTGAAGCTAATGTTAAGCTAGCATTGTTTTATGATTGGCTTTTCTTTGATGAAAAGTTTGATAAGATAATGAATATTGAGCCGGCAATGTTGTTAATGGTGCGTTCGATCCCTAAATACATTGATGTAACTTGTAAGCTTCTTGAATTCCTCTTAATTATGGTGGAAAACTATGACGTCGATCGAAAAGATATAATTCTCAAAGGAGTGTCTACAGCTTTGAGTTCACTAGTTGGAAAAGGTGTGGTTCAGTCACTCGATTCTTTGATCTCTTCCGACCTGATTTCTCCCTTTCTCAAGCAATGGTTCATGAAAATGTTTGGTAACATTTTACCTCCAAGACTGTCTTGGCCTTCTGCAACTCTTGCAACTCTCCAGAACTCCCCTCAAGAGGCGGAGCATAAGACTTGCGAAGGAAAACTTGCTATGCCTGTCAAGCAAAGATAGACAATTGTGAGGACAAGGGAGTGATAAAAGACGATGAATCTGAAGACAATGATGATTCTTGAGATCGGAAAAGATTTCACAAGGATAGTGATTTGAACCGGCAGAAGAGATTGCATAACCAATCTGACTTTGATCCAGAAAACCCTCATTTTTGCTTGGAATTATTAAAATTGAGACGATGAGCTTCATTCCAGAATGTATGATCTTGTTCACTATCATAAGCATAAATAGTTTTGACATTTCTTCGCTGGGGCTCCAAAAGTAGAGGTTGTTCTTCGGAAAAAGGAGCATTTTTGGATGTGACTTGTCTGTTGAGAACTTGGCTGATTTCACTTATAACTGTCTTTTAAAGTGCTTTCTTTTAGGGTTGCTCCATTTTTATTAACTCCTGCCCAAGAATATGACTAAACCAGCATCGGCTACGTGAGAACCTAATAATTCACCAGATGAATCGGTCCCACCAAACAATTCTTTCTCCTGTTTTTAAGTAGCTTCTACTGTGAACATATCTGAGATCCCTAGTCTCATCAAAAGATCTAAGGCCCCTACAGACGATAGGTCGCCGAACTATGACTACTTTGGAATAATGTTTGGGCCAATTAGGGAATTCTGCGTCTTTTTACCCCTGTACTTCATTTATTCACTTTGAAGTTTCAACTGCATTTTATGCTTTCGTGTAATTACTCGTTCTGCATACTTGAAGTTGAAAAGGAAAGAAAGAGGCTGACTTCAGCAGCCTTTAGTTGTTCGGTGAAATAGTAATCCTAGTGTATCTTCTGTTCTTCTGCAACTTTATTGGTTATTTTCTTAATCTCTTATTCTGTAGTCTTCTTCTTTTACCCGTTAAATATGACTAAACAAAACGTGCTTGTTGGAGATGTAATGCCACTATGGCGTTCAGATGCAGGTTTAACTGTGGACAAAGGAAAGCTGAGAAAGGTTCTGGTCGAACCAATCATTATTGGTCTCTGAATGAAAAGTAAAAAAAACTTTATAAGACTGATACGAGGTTCAAGTAACAGCACGAAGGCCTCCCTGCATGTGGTCACATACATCAGCCCTTCCAGCTTTCCCTGTTGGAGGGGGAGAAGATAACAGGGGACTTAGAATGATTTCTGAGAGTTGAATAATGTGTATCGAAGGAGTTCGAAAGGGCAGTAAGGAAGTGCACGAAATCTTAAGTGAACTTTGTTGCGCATGACCGGTGCAAATTCTGTCCGAATTGCATATGAATTAACTGCATAAACCATAATCGTTGAGTCCCATTTATGTTATTGATTGAAAATGTGGTGCAAGTTTTTGATAAGCGCAAGTTCAGTCACCTTCTTGCATTCGTCAAATCAATCATGATTGACCAGTTTTTTTACCACTGGTCAGTGTTTGAAAAGCTGTTTTCCAGTTTGATCAGATTTCACATTATAGTAAAATAAATGCCAAAAAAAAAAGAAGAAGAAGAAACTGAAACACGGACAAACAGAAATGGTTCACATAAGCAGAAACATAGGACGGGATTAGTCGGAAATTATATCGGTCATTACAGAGGCTTCTCAGTTTTACAAAATTGGTGCTCATTAACAGAATGGCTAATTGCTTTCTACACTAGCAAAACTGCATTAATACAGCCATCATTTTCAGGGTTATTTGTAACTTGCGCATATTTTCCTGCAGATCCAAATTTAATAATAATCAGAACACATAAGAAGACGGAATGAATGGTAGTACTAATATCCTCATGAAACCAAAACCTGTCAAACTTACCCCAGACAACCTTTCCAGCAGGGGTCACAAGCCCTAACTCGCTGACATTAACCTGCAAATTGAAGGTATGTAAATGAAAATTGCCAAAACCAAGACAGAGACTTGAGTAAATCTTATAGCAGAAGAAGATGTGCAGAAGGACAGCGATATCAAAGAAAGTAAATTTGAATAGGAGGAGAAGGAGGATACCTCAATGATTGTTCCTCTGGTCAAAACTCCAAGAGATGTATACATTGCACCGTTGGGGTTCTTCTTTACCCCAATAATCTCAAGGTTGAAAGTACACTTAAGTTCGGGATGAGTCACATGAGCTTTTGTGAATCTTAAACCGGAAGGCCGAATGAACCGCTCATACTTGGGTGGCTTCCTTGTAAAACTTGGACCCACAAAAGTAGCTTTGGTGATCATCCTCTTCCATTGCTTAGCTGCCAGGAAAACAGAAAATAGAACCAACACCTTGAGATGCATAAATCGTGAGAAACAGCAAGCGTATACATAAACCAAATCCAACCAAAAGAAAGATACTGTCACAAAGCACTCACTTTTCCTTTTCCCAGTTCTGACAACTCTGAACATCTCATCTTCAGCCACAGGTCGAACCTAAATACATAATTAGATTACTTTGTTAAAAAGTTTTCATAAGTTGCAACATTCTAAACAATCAGAATATACCGGTTAAAACCAGCATAATCATTTACAGGCTATGCTGAGAAGTCAGCATAAGAAAAGATATGACCAGAACAGGAAAAGCAATGGATCGGATACTTGTAGAATGCAGAAGAGAAACTTGCAAGACAACTAATACATAAGCAAGATCAGGTTTTCTACCTTAGGAAGAGGAACGTCCCATTTTCCTGCTCTCTCTTTTCTCTTCTGCTTGATAGTGTTGCTAAGAACCTAAAGAGCGGTTCCAAATTCAAACTACGTAAGAGTCACATACTAAAAACAGAAAGAATAGACATAGATAAAACGCTGCAAAAAAAAAAAAGGGGAAGAAAGAAAGGCAACGTGCAATATGAAAATCTAATAATATGAAAATCTAATAACGAAAAACATGCCTTCGCTCTTGATGTCTGTTGACGATCAAGAAGATACGCAGGGACAGCTCCTTCTTGGACATCATCTTCAACCTTGCGCCTAGTTGATTTCTCCTCGTGCATAGCCAGACTATAATGTCAAGAAAAGTCAGTCAAAACCAACCACTCATCAGAGATCAACATTACAGTATACTTCCGACTTCATTGGACAGTGAGGATTAATTTATTTTTTATTTTTTGGGGAAAAGGTGCCTGTATTTGATTAGGACAAAAGATACCTGAACTATTACAAAGCATGCTATAATATGCTAGATTATGCAATTCGTAAACATCATTCCTGCCAACACTACTTCATAGCAAAGCCGAGCAAGCAACCTAAATAATATGATACCCTTCATGTTGCATAGATGTAACAAAACTGAAATTGAATCACCAGACACCAAAATTTTTGGGTTTACAATCAATTCTCTCCTTAATGATGGAATAGTACTTCTTCATCCAACTCTAAAACCCCAGCTATACTACAGAAGAGAAAATTAAAATGGAACAAACTCAACTCTTCATGAAACCAAAAGCTCTATATGTTCAATGCGTTTGGTACAACTCTGTATGCTACTGAATACAACTGAGTAAATTAGCATGTAAAGAGCTCCTAAGTTTCCAGGGCTTAATAGAAAAAAGAAAAATTGCAGCAAAATTCAATAATGAACCCTCAAAGCTCATGACTTCTATATAAAAAAGCTAATCGTTACAGAAAACAAACACCAAGGAAAGGGGGAAGAAAGAAAGAAGGATTTCACTCACGTTTTCTTCATTAGGGCTTTCTCAGCATAATTCTGCTTAGCAATTTTCTTACCCATTATACCAATTGCCTACATCCAATCCACCAAAAACAACAAACACCCACCAAAAGGATCAGGTTTTGATTCCATTTCATACGAAAAGAGAAAGGTCAGGTACAAAAAAAAAAAAGAAAAAAGAAAAGAAAACCTTTTGTGCTTTTTGGGATTTCTTGTGAACTTCCCGAGCCTGCTTCTTGCGCTTGCGCTCGAAGAAATCAAGGCGGTGCCCATATCTCTTCCTGTGCAGGTCGATATAGTCTCCCTGAGGCTGAAATTCATCCAACAAAAACACAGAAAAATCTCAAGGTTAAATAAAATCAGAGAAAAACTATAAGGAGAAGGGGAACCATAAATTCATCAAAAAAGCATAAAAGGGTAAGGCAGAAATACCATGACGATAGATTTGGCGGCACAGCTGAAAGGGGTGGGAAGAGGGGGATTCGGAGAGGGTGGCGGAGCCGCAGCTGCTGGGGGGAACTCAACGGCGGTGACTGACGGTTTTATGGAAAAGGAAAAATCGGAGGGTTTAAGGAAGAAAAAATGGAAAACAAGGAAACAAGATTGAGAGGCGTTGGGCCCTTTTTTCTTAGTGTCGGTTTACATTGGGCTAAACATGGCATCAAAGTTTTCGGAGCCCAATGAACTGCTGAAATATTCTACGGTACTTTATTATTATAGATTTTTTGCTCCAAGTAATTTTAATATGAAAAAAAAAAAAAGGAAGAAGAAACATGGGGAAGTTTTTTTTTTTTGGAAAATATATGTTCTTTTGAATTTTCAGTTTCAGCAAAATTGAAGGAAATTGAGATATACATAATCAAAAAGAAATAGTATCTGATGAGTATTGTTACCGCCGTCTTATTTCGTTGGTGTTTTCCCGTTAAAATTTTATCTTTCTCACATTTATCTCTAATTACTGTGTATTCCCGTTAAAATTTTATCTTTCTCACATTTATCTCTAATTACTGTGTACATACATCAGTCACTTTATTTTACTTTTTTTTCAATAGCTCTATCTATCATTGTTGATACCTTAATTTATTCAGATTTATGAAATTATTATACCTACTAGTACTATCTATTTTATGAGAAATTCATTAGCAACACACATAATAAATAAATGGGACGGGGATGATTTCATCAATTAACTTCTATTTTTTATAGTAGTGTGAACTCGATCTTGAAAAGCCCCTTTGATAAAGAAACATTCAGAAGTGATATGTGTGACATTACTATTTAGAAAGAAAAAGTTTTAGAAAAGAAGTTGATAGAGAAAGCAAAATTCATCAGGTTGAAGGAAAAACAGAAGAGTCAAAATCACAGAACACAAAACTCAAAAGGGATGAGAGTTGTTGAGGAGGGAGGGGCAGCAAAGATTCTGTTGTGTCAGAATGAATCTACTTCTTGTAGTCAAAGTCAAGTTTGGTTTGAACTTACAAATTCCTACCACAAACAAACCTTTGGACTTCTTAGCTTCTACACCTCAGTTCTTTTGCATTTTCTGGTTGAGTGTGGTTAAGAAAATTTTTTGGCTGCAAGTTAAAGCCATGCATTCCTTCCTTCTCATCTCTTTTGATCATTACATTTACAAATCCATCATCCCCCTGTCACACACTTGTATTAGACAGCCAATATCTGTATTAGAAAAATGGCACCATTGAATCTAGACGCTGCTAGAGATGTTCTGAGAAACTCCCTGGAAAACTCAAGGGATATACAAGTAGCCCTTCAAGAAAACTGCACAAATGTACACACCACCCAGAGGAGGTTGGATTTACTGATGGAAAGCTTCCAGGATGTTGCCTGCAAATGCAAGGTCTACAACATCGGAAAAAGCATGGTCGATCGGGCATTAGGCCCTGCAGCTTCTGTTCTCCGGATCTTTCTTGTCATCCAGGACCTTCAAGCTTCCCTATTGTGCTGCCCAGATGATGGTTTGAGTGAATATCTCGCTACTGTCCAGAAGCTGGATGATGCAGTAAGGCTTCTGAAAGATAACAGTGAGCTTGTGCTGCTTTGGCTACAAGATGCCTTGTACAAGTTCCTGAATGGAGAGCTTGCACCAGGGAGTGAAGACTCGTGGTATGTGATCATCCTGAAGAACGCGATCAAGACACTGAAACAGATGGAAAGGATTGAGGAGAGTTTTTTAGGCCTGCTGGAGAATGAATTCAGGAGGGTTATAGTTGAGAGCAAATTTGCTTCTTCATCTCCTTCGTTTCTGTCACATGTAGATGATGATCAGGCCAATCAGGGTGTGGCTTCTACATCCCTGATTATTCCTTCTCCTTCATTTCTGGTCTATCACGTCAACAAGATGCAAGCAATCCTGGAGAGGTTCGAGGGGCATAATGACTGTCTTCATAGGTGTGCATCCATCTACATTGAGACTCGTAGTTCCAATGTCAGGGCAGCACTACAACAGGTTCTGGATGTTGATGTTCATTACCTTCAGTTGTCACTATCCGAATTTGATAGTGTGCAAAGCATAGAATGCTACATAGATCAATGGGGAAGGGACCTCAAATTCATGGTGAAAAATCTGTTGGAGGATGAATACAGGCTTTGCCGTGAAGTTTTTCATGACGATCTTGGGATGGAATGTTTTGCAGACATTGTAGTTCAATCTGGATTCTATGATTTTATTGAGTTTGGGAGTGCAATTACCCGAGCCAAAAATGAGGCAATCAAGCTGTTGAAGCTGTTGGACATCTTTGCAGTACTGAGCAACCTTCGGCTTGATTTCAACAGATTGTTTAGCTCAAAGTCTTGCCAGGGTGTTCAAACTAAGACTAGGGAACTCATCCGGAGAGTCATCGATGGGGCTGTTGCAATTTTCCAGGATCTTCCTGTTCAAGTGGAATCACAATCTGTTGTCATTCCGCCACTTGATGGGCGTGTCCCAAGGCTCGTGCGCTTTGTATCGGATTTCTGCAATATTTTGCTGGAGGATGAGTACAGGACAACACTACTTGAGATCCTGCAGATACATTGCTGTTGGAGTAGGCTTAAGTTCGATGAGGGGATTCTCTCTAGCCAAATTCAACGGGTAATAAGAGGGCTCGAGTTTAATTTGAAAACTTGGAGTGAGGCCTATGAGGATGACTTGCTTTCCTACTTCTTCAGGATGAATAACTGTTGGTACTTCTGCGAGAACATTAGGATTACAAAACTTGGAAATCTGATGGGAGATGAATGGCTAATGGCTTACAAAGAGGATATGGAACATTACTTATCAATCTATTTGAAAGAGTGCTGGGAAAAGCTTCCGACATACCTGAGTGAAGACGGTTTGGTTTTGTTCCCCGGTGGAAGGGCGTTTGATCAACATCTGGCAAGAAAGAGACTCGAGGAATTCAACAATGCATTTGAAGAAACGTACACCAAGCAGATCTGTTGGGTATTGTCTGATAAATTCTTGAGAATCCGAACTCGCCATCTCATTATGCAGGCGATCATTCCTTATTATAACAACTTTGTGCAGAAATTCATGCCCCCTTGTGAAGATGATGAAGAAGAAGATTCACCTGGCAAAAAGAAGAAAAATAAGTATGTGAAGTACTCGTCAACAAGCTTGCAGGACATGATCAATTTTCTGTTCCAACCTACTAGAGACTCACGGCAGCAGCACAAAAAACACAACAAACGCTGTTAGCAAGGACAACTTTTTATGGAGCCGAGTCCCACCCAAAGACCACCTCAAGTTGGATGACTGTGTCAAACATTTGATAAATGATCCCATTTTACTCAAACAAACAACTACTTCTAAGTCTATAAGGATCATATGTGCTTGTCATGTTCTGTTGATCCAATGTACTTATTGTAACTAAACCAAATAGCATAAGGTAGTATTGTACATGCTAATTTAAGTTTCCCCAGAAACTTGTAAATAGATTCTGGTCTCAGAAGGTAGCGCTAATGGTTTCGATAAGATATACTATGATTTTCTCACAACAAAAACTGCTCTCATCTCATAACTGTGGCTAAATGCAATGGTAAAAGATCTAGACGCCTAAGTTTGACTGAGTAATTGACTATCCTTCTACTTGATACTATGATTGGAGATAATCTTCTTGTCACATAGGTATATGTAATGAAAATATATACAATTTCAGCAAAAGTAAAGATCCATGAAGATACTCAAAGTTTCATGAATCTCTGGGGGTCCAACACTTTTTAGGGACATGAATTGCTGCAGCCAAAAAAAGGAATTTCACTGCTATAGTCAAAAGAATCTGCAGAATAACTGGTGATCTAACATAACATTGTTGGGAAAAATAACCATGCAGACTCCGCTATGTCTCTACTTGTGTTTCTTATAGTACAGCATTTAGGTTGAGGAAAGTGATACGATTTGAGTTGAACTTTTTGACCTGGATAGGCGTTGGACTGCTAAAACAAACAGAAAGGAGCAATGTCGAGGTTTGCATTACTGCATCTTTAATAAATACCACGACATGAGTCCAGAAAGGTAAGACAGAAAACAAAGAACCAAGGCTTTTTTTTAAACAGTAATTAGTATAAAGGATACCGGATACAAGGATTAGGGTACTTTTTTTTTGAAAAAAAATAAATCCAAAAGGTACTTGTTGGATTGAATTCATTATAACTTTTAGACATGGAAAAGGATGCCCTTTTATTGCCCTTCCCTGGTAGAAACCTCCCCAACTTAACTATTTCCTCAGATAAAGGATGCATGGCCATCTACACTGAATGGGATCAATGAGGACAAAATCTTTCAACCCACCTCATTTACTTAACTCTGTGATCGGTTCCTCCAAGATAGAACAGTAAACTCGGACTGAAAATAGTTTGTACAGCAAACTCCAACCATACACATAGCAACACTTGTCATATAGTAGTTTAAATTTTTTTTCCATTAAGGAATCAAATGAAAAGGCTAGTCCAGACTCAATTTAAGAGATTCACATCGTGTATTTACTGGAGTGGAGTACCTTACTCTTTAGGATCAGTTGAAACTGCACGAAAATCAGAAAGGAAGTATTTAGATTACCAGCATGGATATGGCAAAGAAAACCATGACTGAAACAACATCACTCTTGCTCAACAACAAAGTGTTCCTGCTCAAACTTGTTTCTCTTCTTCACATCACACCTCTCTTCCTCCTTGTCTTGCTTCATTCTCTGGTTGCCGGACCACTGTTGCAAAAGGTAGAGGATGCATATGAAACTTCTCCATCATTATTGGATCCAGAGGATGTGAAATCCCTTGTAACACTTGAAGTCCCTTTCTTTCTTGCCTTTTCCGTTCTCTGGATCTTTCAAATCGCCACCACCATATGGGCTACAGCCTCGGCTTATTTGAACGACTTACAGATCAATACTCAGCCTCTCGATCTCAAAGTGGTTGTGCTGATTTGGATCAAAACCAAATCCACGAAAGTAGTTCTCTTTCGCCTTTTCTTATTCCTCATGATGATCATCATCCTGTTGGTCCTAGCGGCCGCTGCATTATTTGTCCTGGGAAAATCCAATGCTGTAATCCGTTGGGTTATTGTTTTAGTGGCTGCAATCACATACCCGTATTTGGCTTCGATATGTGCTCTGGGGTTGATAATTTCGGTTCTCGAAGAAAGTTGTCTGGCTGCATTTCAAGAAGGCTGCAACCTCGTAAATCACGGTAGGAAGCTGCAGACTTACGTCGTGATGCTGATTTTAACCCTGCTCAGCATCCCCATTCACGTGATCTTTTATGTGACTTCCATGGATGATGATGACGAGCGTACCTTCGTCACAGGCTTTCCTTTCAGTCTGGTGGGAACATCTTTCTTCTGCCTTGCAAACCACTTCATGTTTGCGGTGTTTACGCTCTTGTACTTGGAAATCAAGCATGCCTCTCCTCATGGTGTAGATAGAGTAGAAGAAGCATTGCAGCTTTGCACCGATACATAGATGATCCCGCTCCAGGATGTATAATTTGTTGGTTTATTCTTAGTTAGAACTTTGTAAGTGGTATTTCAAAGACAATTGTGGGTTGGGCAGGATTCTTCCTGTTGCGATTGCTGATATTTGCAGAAAATAGAAGAGGTAAATCACAAAATTTGCGAGGCTTGACAGATGATAAAAGTTCCACTAAATTATGAATAAAACATGTCAGGCAACGAAAGACTACATGAGCATCTGAGAGCAGTGCAACATTTCTCCCAATGGCACAAAGGTTCCCCAAAAATGCAGCTAAACTAAGAAGAAATGAAGGCTGGAATGATTAGCTATTCCCCCCTGCTGAGCACAAGTTATATCCCTTACCTCGTTCATTACACTTGCACAGTTTTTGTTTTGTTTGTTTTGTCAAAACCAACCAGGATACTAAGACCAATTGTTAACAATGCATCATCTACCAATGCATCTAAAACTGATCATGAAAATCAGATATTGCCTAAAGTCTCCAACACACACACAAAAGCTGGGTCGAGCAAATGACGCCGCAACTTACAATTCAACAACCTTCATAATACTTAAATTATGAATGATGATTTCAACACCCACTAAAATCATCATACTACACACAAAATAAAATATATAATAAATAAAAAAATCCATGTCTGCTGGAATTTCTGAATGAGATCACGAAGATGACAAAGGCGCAGATAGCTTAAAGCGAAGCAAAAAGTTGGAAAGCATAGCGGTCCGCTAGTTCGAAATGCATCAGCAATATCTTTCACAATCAATTTAATTATTATTGGACATGATTTTTTACCTGGAGCAGGGCGGCAGACGGGAAAGTTCAACTCCATACTTTCAAATTCCATATTGATTCGACTGGAACCCGTTCATCAGAATTGGGTTGGAGAGTCGATGGATATAAGTTTATGGGTGTGGGCCGCCGCCGCCCCCGCCGCCGCAGATGGATGATTTGTTTGATGATCACAAATTCACAGTTCACAGTGGAGGAGGAGAAGAGGGTACCATAAATGGTAGAGAAGGAAAGAAATGGGAAAATTTCTAAATTAGTCGAGAATTAGGGGATGAATTTAAGTACTTATTATCGTCAATTAGCAATTTACCACACAACATCCTCAATATTTACACATAATTTTATTTAGACCCCAAAAATTATGAAGGCCAAGCAAGTTGTAAAATTGAGCGTTTGGCCTCTTCTTCTTCCTCCTCCTCCTCCTTCATAAACCCTACCTTAAACCCACTCCGACCGTATAAAACCGCCAAAAAAAAAAAGCTCCTCAATTCCCCAGATTTACTCAGCTTATGGTGTTTTGATGATGATGCCAAAACGCTCTAAAAAAAGGAAGCTAAAGGAAAGAGCAGCACCTCCTCCTATGAAGAAGGGCCAACCCAAATCCTTAAAGAGTGGTTCTGATGTTGTGAATGGAGCTGAAGCCCAAGAAAATGAAACCTTGATGGAGAAGAAGAATGAATTTGGATACGAGGAAGAATCCAATTCGGATGTTGATGATCCATTTTCTGCTCCACAAGACATTCTGAGAAGAAATGGAGGTCAGCCCACACACACTAATTAGTCATATTCTATTCATACCCTTTACTAACTGCATTTTCCAGAATGTGTGTTTGTTTGCTCACCCTGTTTTCTGTCTTTCCCGTGTTTTTTGTTTCCTTCATTTAGTTGAAGATTCTGATTCGGCTGACTCTGATGATATTGAGAATAAGGCCAAAGCTATTGACTTGGAAAGGGAAAGGGAGCAAAACGATGCCAATCAAGAATTACAGACCAACATTCTCGAACAAGATGAGGTCGACTTCAGATTTCCAACCAACCAGGTTTTCATTTCTTTGTCCACTGCTTTTCCATTTATTGGTTTTGGGGCCCTAGTGGGTGGTAATGATTGTTAAAATGGTTGCCATTTTTTACTTACATTCAATGTAGGAGCTTGATGAAGAAGCCCTCAGACCGCCTGATCTTGCTAATCTCAAGTTTAGGATAAGCTCGAGTTAGTTCTTTAATTTCCACCTTCATTTTTTTTTCCCTGGCCCCTTCTCTCCTTTTCTGAAAGCTTCCATCTTTACCTCGAAATTTGGTTGCAGTTGTTCGGGTGCTCTCCAATTTTGAGGATTTGAGACAGCAAGGATTGACACGCAAACAATATGTAAATCAGCTTGCGAGGGATTTAGGTTCATATTATGGGTATAATGAATTTCTGATTGGAACTTTAATAGAGGTGATTTTTTTGTTTTTATTTGTTTTCTTTTCTACAATTTTCTTTATCTGAATATAGGGTTGTTCCTTTTTCCCCTCCTGATCAATTGAAACTTCTACACAGATGTTTCCTGTTGCTGAGCTCATGGAACTTATTGAAGCTTTTGAGAAGCCCCGGCCTATATGTTTACGCACAAATACCTTGAAAGTAAGATACGCATTGCTTTCTTCATGGATAAATCTTTGTCGTAGTTTGCTCCAGTTGACATTTTGCATATCACGATTCCCATACAGACTCGGAGGAGGGATTTGGTTGGGGTGTTATTGAACAGGGGCGTCAACTTAGATCCATTGGGCAACTGGTCAAAAGTAAGAGTCTTTTACACGTGCGTTTGATTCAGAGGACTTTAGTTAGTTGATCTTAACGGGGCAATACTTGCATTTTATAGGTTGGCTTGACTGTCTACAGTTCACAAGTCCCAATCGGTGCTACTCCTGAGTATATGGCCGGTCATTACATGGTAACTCATATGAGGCTTCTGTTTCATGAATCTATTCTTTCTAATGAGTATTTGGCTGCTAATGAGATTTTCCTTACAGCTACAAGGTGCAAGTTCTTTCTTGCCGGTGATGGCCCTTGCTCCTCAGGAAAAGGAAAAAGTTTTGGATATGGCGTGAGTACCCATAACCAATCTTATCTTGGTTACTGAGTATCTTGGTTTTTTTTTGGCGCTGCTATTGTTATCCCCTTGCCATCGGCTTTGGTTACATATTTATTGATGGAGTCACTTTCAAGTTCCCTTCTTTTTGGCTAAATTATTTAACTATTTGGAGATTCTGAGTTATGGACATACTTATTGGCAAGACATCAATTCTTTGAACAATTATGCACATTGTACCTTAACACTAACACTTGTTATGATTTTTCTTTAAACTTTGCAGGGCTGCTCCTGGTGGTAAAACAACTTATGTTGCAGCACTGATGAAAAATAGTGGTATGCTTTTGAGTTTTGAATCTGCCATTGCCTTTTTACTGAGCATTCATTTAGTCTTCAATTACTTAGCAACTCCAATTAGGGAGCCATCCTTCTTGGATTTTCTGTTTGCCATATTTGTTTTTTTTTTGAGGACTTGTACAACTAGTGATATAATACCATCATTATTGGGCTATGTCTACATTAATTATCTTTTATGGACTTTCCTTGAACTCCATATGTTCCAAAATATATAGTTTGTATTGATCTTTTCCGGTGATGATGCTCTGTACTTTATTGGCACCTTCAGATGTTTTAAGTGAAAGCTGTTCTTATCTCTAAACTTGTTCTTGGGAGGTAAAACAGGCATTATTTATGCGAATGAGATGAAGACATCAAGACTGAAGTCTCTTAGTGGAAATTTGCACCGGATGGGTGTAACAAATACCATAGTTTGCAACTACGACGGAAGGGAGGTTCGAATCTTTTCCATGCCATTGTATCTCTCGTATTATTATTATTTTTTATTATTACCAGATGTATGTAATTATCTTACAAGGGAATATATATTCTCTTCCCGAATAGGGATTTTGGATTTTGGGAAGATGAGAGATGCTGTTCTTTTGTGTTCATAATTTAATTTAGTTACTCCATAAGCATGTTCTCCTGCAAGTTCTTACCTTTTCTTTTTCGCTGTTCTTAAAAGCCCTTTTTTTTACATTTCAGCTGCCCAAGGTTCTAGGTCAAAGCACTGTTGACAGAGTTTTGTTGGATGCTCCTTGCAGTGGCACCGGGGTATGTGATCTGGCTTAATAAATTACTCATTTGGATCTTTATCATGTTATTCGTTTTTAAAATCTTTTTGGTTTTTCTTTTCTAATTCAGGTTATATCTAAAGACGAGAGTGTCAAAACCTCAAAAACTGCACTCGATATAGAGAATTGCGCACATCTGCAGAAGGTACTTCCTTTTGGGGGTGTAGATACTTTTGGTTTAGGAATGCCTATTCAAAGTTTGTCTAATCATGACTGGTTTGCAGAGTCATTGCACGTAAACATTTTTCTATTTGTTTGATCTGTCTTCCATTGCTTATTTGGTTCTAATTTAATTTGCACCTCAGCAACTCATACTAGCAGCAATTGACATGGTTGATGCAAACTCAAAATCAGGAGGATACATTGTTTATTCCACATGCTCAATTACGGTTGCCGAGGTTTGTGACTGCTTCTCGCTTTTCAATTTTTATTTATGCGCTTCCTCTATTGTAGTTCATTAAACTTTTTAAGTTTGGCAGAATGAAGCAGTGATAGACTATGCGCTGAAGAATAGGAATGTTAAACTTGTGAACTGTGGACTCGAATTTGGCCGTCCGGGGTAATGCTAAGTTTCACACATGTTGAACTTCCCCTTTTCCTGTTGCTGTCAAATCAGAATTATCTTTTGCCGTTCCAGGTTTATCCGCTTCAGGGAACACCAGTTTGATCAATCCCTGGAGAAAACAAGACGATTTTATCCTCATGTAAACAACATGGATGGATTTTTTGTGGCAAAGGTAATTCCAAATGGTTATCCTCGATTATTGGGCTGTTATTTTCTTTTTCTCATCTCGGTTCATGTTGCTTCCTGAAAATTTGGGACTTTGGAGGCATCAATCTAGCTATCAATAGCATTCTTTTCCCTGTAATTAAGTACTCTGTGTATGTCTTTCTTTTACTGTTACAGCTGAAGAAAATGAGCGATTCAAAACCAACTTCAACAGCCAGTGAACCCAAAGGGGTAGTGGATCGACATGCTCAGCCAGTGGAAAGTGGTAACACAAATAACGAGGAAGGAAAGATCAAACAGTTCTTCAAGGAAATGGTTACAGAGGAGAATAACAACTTAAACCAAAATACTATTAAAGCTGGCAGAGTAAATTCATCAGGCACCAGGAAGAGGAAGCACAAAGATGGCCCTTCCAAAGAGGAAACTCCAGAAACTAGGTATAATTCCGGACACTTCAGAAGAGCGCCATTTCATCCTGAAAAAGCGCTATCTCCAAGCTAATAGGAATCGTTAGCTAAGAAGTCTGTGAAATAGCTTAATCAGACCTTGTTCACTTCTGAGTCATTTTCTGTTTCTCTCTGAAACTTTGTACAGGGAAAAAAGGAGACAAGTGTCTGGTGAATCAAAGAGAAAAGCAAGGTTGGAAAAGCAGTCTACCAGAAGTAACAGGAAGTAAGACCGTCGTAATACTAATGTGCATGGATGCATACACGCTATAGAATATAGTTAAATCTCATTGTTTCTGAAACTCATTTCAGGGAAGAAAAGAGAAAATCTAGGTGGGAAAAGAAGGGTAGAAACAAACAAGTAGAGTAGATAAGACAAGAACCGAAGGTTGCGCATGCGCATGCACATGCCGAGTGCAATCTATATCGTGGTTTGTGTTTGAGCTGTTGGGGTTTGGTTGTTTATGCCAGTTACTATGTGGTCGTATGTGATAATATGGGGCAGTAACAGCTGTAGCAATGTCTGCTATTTTGTCAGTGATGGTTGGGAATGTTCTATGAATGGGACGAGAAGGTCAGCAGCAAGCAGCAAATTTTGGATGTTTTCGTTTTGCATGAAAATGGCGTATTTATGGTTGTATGTTGTAGAGAGTTTGCTATGAGTAGAGTGGTATGAATGAGGATGTGATTCAAGGTACTTTGCAGCGTTTGTGTTATGGAGTGGGGAGTTGTTGTTTAGCATCATCATTGTTTGTCCAAACTCCAGCAGGTGGGGATTGAAAGCAATCGATCCGGAAACTCTTGGGTTCATCATGGAAGCGTAACTCTAGCTTTACAAGTTGTGACAGTGGTTGCTAGTTGCTTCTGCCCCTCCTTCCTATATAATCTGATTTCATATTTCACCGTTTCAAAGTCAAAATTGATGTTAGATTAGAGGAAGTGGGGGATGTTATATTCTACTTTGTTGTTAATTGGAGAGGATGATGAAGGGCATGATCTCATCTCATTCTGTCTTGGAATTATTAGGTAGTTTTGTGTGCGTTTCTTTGGGGTTTTTGGTTGAAGGGGAAAAAGGGGTAGAGGGAATGTTGATATTTCAGCTAGTAAGGTTGGAACTTTTTTTGTGATTTGTACAAGGAGGCAAATACATTACCTTGCCATCATTGCTCTGAGGCTAAAAAGAGGCAACTGTTTTTCTCTTGGTCAGTAAGTTGTAAACAAGATACTACTATAATTAAAACATCAAAGTCCATATTCTTTCTTTTGTTGGTCACTTTGGTCTATTATTAATTGTGCCGTGATCTATGGAGCCGGAGGAGGAGTTGATTTTCCATGTCTAATGGGGGGAAGAAAAGGATGTTAATGTTTTGTTTATTAGCACTAACACCACTAGGATACAAAATAAGGGTTAGGCTTGGAGTTGGTTTTTTGGATGCTTTTCTTTTGTTCCCTTGAGTTTGGCCTGCTTTCACGCTACCTTAAATTTTAGACAATTCACATGACTCCCTCCATTTCTTAAGCTCTATGTTCAGAGTCTTTGTTTGAAAAACAAAAATAAAAAAAAAAACAATCTTTGGGAGTACTCCTTTTTTTTAATTGCGTGATGTAGGACAGACCCTAATATAATTTTAAATAAAAAAAAGTTTTGGTAGTATCTACTTTTTTGCTTAAAATAATTGTATTTCGCAATCCAATCAGATTTGTAACAGATTTTTTTAAACTCCAATCTCCTTCATCATTGCTTCTATAGCAGTAGTACTAATAACTGTACAAATGCTAGTCATTTCCAAGTCAATAATTATGCCCATCGTGTTTTTTTTTTTTTTAGAATATATATTGCAGGCATATTGCTACATCATCAAAATTAACCAGAATCAAATGTGTGCCCTCCAAAAATTATTATCATTAAACACATATTAAAGTAGAAAAAAAAAAAAAAAAAAAAAAAAGAGGTAAGACCGTAAGAGGGCAGAAGGTTTGAGGAGTGAGAAGCATGAGAGACGGGGTGAGGTGAGAGGGGTAGGTTGTTCATAGTAAAGTAGGCCAGCAGTCGTTATCACTTTGAAGTGTCGGTGCTCCCTTCTTACTCTCTAGTTAAGGAAAAATTAATACCCAACTCTGTCTACAAATTTTATTTTCTTTCTTACAGGAAAGGAACATGTTAGCCAATGAATTCACGTGACTAAAAATGAGTGCTTCATTATTACTGTTTTCTGAGTAATTTTTGATGTCATTAGTCACTAGTACTAGTATTTACCAGTGTAGAATACCCGTCGTTTGTATACAAGTTGCTTGGTATTCAGGGTTTTTGCTTTTTCTGACACACAATTTTTGCTTGTTCCTTACTTTATTTTATTATTATTACTTATTATTACCTATGATTACTAGTACTACTTAAATAGTAGCCATTGTTGGGAGTTTCGTTTAGTTGCAGCAGTAGCAAACGGAGCCAATCTGGGCTCTGAATTAAACTAGAAGCAGTCACAGAGATCTGTGCTAGTAACACTAGAAGTTAGTGTTAAGTGTTCCTTCTGGGTTGAAGAAAGAGAACAGAAGTATCCCAACAACCAAGAATGGCATTTGATCCGAGACAAGTGCTGGCTGGAGTTTTAACTGTGACCATGTTTGTCATGCTTGGCAATATGATCAAAAGAGACCATTTTGATTCCATTCAGGTTAGTTCTTTGGTCTTCTTCTTGTTCTTGGGATAATTGGAATTCAATGATGTGTTTATGTTGCATCTAGAATCCATAAAAATCAAATCTTGGAGGCTTTTCTTTTGTTTATTATGAGTTGGGCTTTTGTCTGAATGCGTGGTTGAAAGATGTGACATTTTCCTTTCTCTTTTCGTGTGGAAAATCCTACTATACTTCATTAAAGCTTTGCTCAGTTCAGATTTTTCAGCATTTACTTTGGCCTTCATTGAGATGGGATGAAAGACTTATTGGTTCTGAACTCCACTCATTTATGACAACCCTTTACTTTATACTTATTGGTTGATTACTTCTTATTCCCGTTTCTTTGTGATTGATTGAAGGTGAATGAATCTGGAAATCCGTCTCTCCATGGTAGCACAAAGGAGAATCTTGTTAGCATTGCAGATGGAGGAGATGGGCCTTGGAGGAAGAATGATGGATCCACCCTCAATCCTTGCTGGACTAAGCCTGTTCTAGGTTTGATTCGGCAGCCTCTTTTCCCATTCTGTCTTTTCTGTTTTTGCATCTGATTCATTGACTGGATTTTGCAGAGGAAGTTGACCAGTCGCAAGGCTTTGTTACCTTCTCCTTAACTAATGGTCCAGAATATCATGTCTCTCAGGTAACTTTCTCGTTTCTCCATAACAACATCTCAATCTAAACTATTAAAAGTTATTCCTCTTTAGTGCTTGGACATTTAAGCCTGCAATTATTGACTTCTTCTCATGTTCATTCCCAGTTTTCTGCTCTGCTCACCTTTATCTATGTTGTATTGTTCGGGAATCGAGATGGTTTAGTTTCAAATCGCTTGCCGTGATAATTAGTCTAAAACATGACATTTTCTTTTCTGGGAGGCTATTGATCTTCTTTGCTCCAATTTCTGTGTTGACAGATCACAGATGCAGTGGTGGTTGCAAGGTACCTACGTGCAACTCTTGTGATCCCGGATATTAGGGGAAGCAATCCTGGAGATAAATGGTAAATTCTGAAACTTGTACAGTGCCTAATCTTTTTCTTTCTTGCTCAATTTTAGATAAAATTTTTGGCTAATATCAGCACCATTGAGCAGAGCTCATCCTGTTTTTTTAATGTGTTGGGTGGTCCATTCTGAAAAAATAGTTTCTTGAATGGTTGTTTTGTTTCGGTTAACTGTTAAACTCTGCTACTAGATTATTGAAATTTTTGTGAAATTTGCTATTCGCACAGGAACTTTGAAGATATCTACGATGTTGAAAAGTTTATCAAAAGCTTGGAGGGTGTGGTGAAAGTAGTAAAACGTAAACCTGCTGGAATATCATCACGAGATGTTGCAGTTGTCAAGGTCCCTAATCTAGTTACTGAGGAATTTATCGCAGAAAAGATTGAACCTTCGTTCAGGACAAACGGCCATATTAGGCTCGCGACATATTTTCCATCAGTGAACATGAGAAAGACCGAAGAAAACAGCAAGATCAATTCAGTGGCGTGTATGTCAATGTTTGGATCCCTGCATTTACAGCCTGCAGTTCGTGAAGTAGTCGACTCGATGATTGAACGTTTAAGGTCTCTAAGTCACAAGGCAAATGGACAGTTCATTGCGGTGGACCTGAGGGTTGATATATTGGAGAAAAAAAGTTGTCAAAATGGTGGTTCCGGATCTAAGAGCTGTTATGGACCGCAAGAGATAGCATTGTTTTTGAGAAAGATTGGGTTTGAAAAAGATACCGCTCTTTATCTCACTCAGTCGAGGTGGGATAGTAGCCTTGATGGTCTCAAGGATTTCTTTCCTAAAACTTACACCAAGGTTCGTTGTTGATACTCATAAGTACTAACTCACAGCTACTTTTGTGAGCACCTTATGTGGCATTCATTCATTGACAGAACTTTTATAGCATTCTTTTATCATCAAAATAACAATCAATAAACAAATGGAACATAAGGGCAAGAAAGTAGCTATGATTTGTAGCTTTTTTTCCTCTGTTTCCCTTTTTTATTCTCAATGCATTATGGACTTCTGTTGTGACTTTGCAGGAAGGGATAGTACCTGCTGATAAGAAGGAGAAATTCCTCGACACTGAAGGTTCCGAATTGGAAAAGGTTATTGACTTCTACATTTCTTCTGAAAGTGATGTTTTTGTGCCAGCCATTTCCGGCCTATTCTATGCAAATGTAGCTGGCAAGCGAATTGCTTCTGGTAAGACTCAGATCCTCGTTCCAGCAAATATTCCTGGTTCAACGGCTTCTCCTTCAAAGTTTACGTCCCATTATGTCACAAAAAGAAATCACTTCGCATACACTTGTTACTGCTAGCACTTTCCCTGGAAAAGAGAACAGATTTTTAATACGTAACTGCTGCCACGGAAATTTTTCTTCGGAATTCAACCTGTACTCGTAGTGATTGGAATTTGGAATTTTTCCATTGTAAGCACACTCGACAACAATCACCCTTGATATTAAATGTTGTATACCTTTTAGTGAAACTATGAATACTGGATACTAGTTATCGGTTCAGCGTGTTTATTGTATTACCACATCATCTTTTAGGCATCAGCGAATGCAGTCAAAAGTTTGAAATTTTATAATGGCAGAAAAGCTTTTTGAACTTCCTTCTGCAATAATTGTCAAGTTTCCATTCTGGTCATTCCGGCATTGCAGTCAAAGGTAAACTTTCTGCTGGAGAATGTGTTTGCAAAAATGATGGTAGTTTTCTCCTCTATCTGTTGGGGAAGAACCTCTGTTTCACTATATTACAATCTATATTTACCATCAATAGGATTCATATAGAACACTTTTCAGGAAGCGTTGGATGACTGATCAACATCCACCAACCAATGCCTCTTCACTTTAACTACAGTTAACACTTAATAGTGTATTTAGAACATCTCTATAAAACTTCATTATGTACGCCTACTACCAATATTATGTTTCATTTAGTTGGGTTCAGTTACATAAATCTGTATATGTGTTACAACACGAACAGACTCCTGAATGTTGATGGGAAGAAGAAGAACCATTGGCTGTTGGCTGTTTTTCTTCCATAGGCCACCATCTTCTTTATGGCTACTGGATGAAACAGGAGGGTAACTGATTTACGACGAATTTCGAGCAGCTATCAAGCGCTGATATGGCTTGGCAAATATCTTGGCAATTGGGGTCTTTGGAACCGGGATCAGCTTTCCAATGATTGCCAGGGGCCAACTGTAAAAGGAGAAAAAAAAAAAAAAAAACCATGTTCATCAGGCTGACGAAATGTTAGCACAGTGATCAAATCAGCAGATGGTTGAGTAACAACCTGAATAACCCTATGGCTATTGACACCAGCCATAGTTTCCAGTCAAGTCTGACGGTTGAAGTAAACTTCCCAAGGTACTCAATGATAATTATCTGTGATACAAAACCAATGACATTCGGATTAGTAGCCTAATCATGATGAAAACTCAGTAGAAAATGGTGTTCTCCGCGGATGTTTCATCAATCATCACCTGAAGCACTAAGGTAGCCCCAACAATCCCCATGAAAAGTGGGTTCTTAGTCACACCAGTAAACACATTGAACTCTTCCGGCTTTCTAGCATTGAACTCGTTGAAAATCTGCAAAATCAATAAGGGTAAGGGACTTCATAAATGAAAGGAAAAGGGCGAAAGATGACTATGTCTGATAGGACTGACTTACTTGGCAGAAGACAAATGCGTTGAATATGAGAGTATTCTTCACCATGGTAGCATGTTCCGTTTCATCATGATTCAAGTTAAGAATACTCCTCCCACAAAAGTTGAGAATAAGGAGGACTGCAACTTGATAGAGTGCCTGGAACAATGCACAAGGAAAGGTAAATGAACAGGAAAAGAAACATGGAATTCATAAAAGTACCATTGTTTTTCAATCTCAAGACTCTGAAAACGCGCACACACACACACAAAAAATAACATTATTGGTACCTGAACGATCAAGTTCCTCCACATTATATTTGTGACCAGAGGTTCCCTGGAAATTATTTAAAAAAAAAAAAAAAAAGGTCGACGAAGTCAGTTGAGATATGATCTTAAAACCTATCTAGTTGGATAAAAAGCTTTGTCATTTTTGCCACGAGGCAGAAAATACCTTCGGCCAACTGGTGTTCGTTCCATAAGCTGGTCGGTTGGTGGTTCCGTGGCCAATGCCAATGCTCCCAAAGTATCCATGATAAGGTTAACCCAGAGAAGCTGCACTGTATTTAAAGGAACATCGCCTGATGATACTGCTGCAACAACATTAATGGTAAGAGCTGCGACATTAACTGTTAGCTGGAACTGGATGAACTTCTGAATGTTTGCGTATACAGAACGACCCCAGCGGACAACCTAGTACAGGAAGTAAAGACTTAGAGAAAACGTGTATATTTTGCATGTATAGAGATTGCAGAACAATTTTGCTTGAGAAAATTAGGATTATTATGGATTGTATCACTGCTCAACCTTCACGACTGAAGCGAAGTTATCGTCAAGAATAATGATGTCTGAACTTTCTTTTGCAACTTCAGTTCCTTGGATTCCCATTGCCAGACCTATATCAGCCTAACAAACATTTGAAAACAAAAACTTAAATTAGAAAAATATAGAGAAAAGAGAGCAGAGTCAATATTAGAAGGGACAATCCCGCCTAGCTTCAAGCAAACAAACCTCATGAAGTGCAGGAGCATCATTAGTCCCATCACCGGTAACAGCAACAACTTCCCCTAGTTTCCGTAAAGTTTGCACAAGTAAAAGCTTGTCACTGGGGGAAGACCTTCCCATCACCTAAAAAGAATGATGAATTTGTGTTAGTATTACCATTGCATTCTGATGACGAATTAAGAACGTGATGTCATGACAGAATATAATTGTGAGAGATGATACATAGGCATAAATATTAGTATTTCAAAGGCTTACTGAGATTTTTTTCACGACTTGTTCTCTTTCGATATCTGACATTTCTCTGAATTGTTTCCCCTCAATGATATTAGGCTCAATGGCCTCGGCATCTGAAGAAAGGATTCCACATTCCAGTGCAATTGCTTTGGCTGTTTGAAGGTTATCTCCGGTAACCATTCGCACCTGCAAGTTCAATGAGGCATCCAATGTAAAACAGGTTTAGTTTCAATTTCAACAGCATTATCAGCTAAGACAAGTACCGAATGAAGATCTTAATGTCGAGTTTGGTTACCTTCACACCTGCATCTGTGCATAATCTCACTGCTTCTTTGACACCAGGGCGACAAGGATCCTGTGCAGGTGGAAGGATGGAAATCAAACCACTCGGTCAAACGAAGAGAAGGACTAATTATATTGTTATGATGAAGTACGCATGTAAAAATCTTAGTCATTAGTGGCTAAGCATAAATGCTGACCTTTATACCAACAATAGCAAGTAGAACTAGGTCATCTTCAGGTAACACCCATCGAGCCAAATGTTCTTCATCTGTAGGTACCTGGTCTGCTTCTAGCGTCTTATATGCAATTGCGACACATCTCAAGCTTTTTGCCGCCATGTTTTCTATTGCATCCTTAAAGTACTCCTGAAGCAAGATTCATCCATGAGCCTTAGATGGAATACAAATGTTCCTATTTCTTTCAACAAAAAACGAAGCTCAAACAACCTTGTTGCCAGAAATGGACTGCAAGCAACCATTGGTATCCAGATACTTTGTACATAAATCTAAGATTATCTCAGCTGCTCCTTTCCAGTGTACATGAACTTGTGAATTGCTCTGTGAAAGAATAAATAAACAGCATAAACATGGACTCCTTTTCCTTCCTGAAACCAGTGCACTATCTAGCATCCTCTTTACGGGGGAACAAAAAAAAAAGTGAATACCAGGAGAAAAGTTACCTTTCCACGTACTGCAACGCCTGCTCGCTTCTTGGACGAATTGAATGGGGAAACATGGAGGATTATGGACTCTGATCTGACCATATCAAATTTCATCCCCAGCTGCATCATCCGAATTCAAAATAAAAAAAGGCAGTTTTGAAATCTCGATCATCCACGGGTTAATGTAGAGGTAAAACATGAGAAAAACACACAAAAGTTACCTTGACAGCCCATGAAAGAATGGCCTTTTCTGTTGGAGAGCCAGATACTTCTACTGCACCTTCCTGCAAAATTTTGCAACAGAGGAAAAATGAAATGGTTAAATGGCATGGGAAATATGTTAAAACTTCCCCAAAATGTTGAAGGTAAAATGAGGGGAAAATGATCCACCTTAGATAAAAAAACACTGCCAGCACTATTCTGGGAAATGCCTTCATCTAGCAAAGAAGAAACAGTTGATGGAAGCCTCGATCCATCCTGCGGCTTGTCCATCTTTGCTTTCCCAATGTGTGCCTCGACAACGGTCATCTAGAGCGCATTCAAGATGTTTATAGCTCAAAAAAGGTGCCAGAATACTCTTAATTTTACCCGACACAAACATCTATGGGTGCAAACCTGATTGAGAGTCAATGTTCCCGTTTTGTCGCTGCAGATGGTAGTGGCAGACCCCATAGTTTCGCAAGCAGAAAGCCTTCTCACCTACATGCTACTTGCTATTAATTACTCAGGGCAGACAGATTTCTTGAAAGCTTATATTTACTACAAAAGAGTATTTTCAAGAGAAAAAAACTGTTTACCAAGGCCTTATCAGCCATCATTTTCTTCATGGAGTATGCTAACCTGTGTTTGACCAAAGTAGAAAGAGATCATAGTTAGAGCATTACAAAAGCCGAGCTAAATAGCTGTGAAACATGAAAATTCATCGATTTTCTACTCACGTCAGGGTAACGGCCAATGGGAGCCCTTCAGGGACTGCAACAACCACTATCGTGACCTTGAAAAATACATAAGCATAAGCAATTCAAGAGTTAGAACTGAAATATATAACAGAGGTGAATGTTGAGAAGAATGCAGCACTTACAGCAGCTGTGATGATCTTTACGACACCATCAACAGTCTGGCTCACGCTTGTTTGTCCTCGGATGAATTGAATGGTTCCATCAGCATTTTTGGAATGACCAGTGAAGAATCTACAGGTATTTGAAAGGTCTTAAATCAGGTTACCACAAGTTTACAAGTATTTTTTCTGCAAGCAGGCTGAAAAAAAGGATGTGAAAACTTACCTAGCTAGCAAAACTATTAGTACACATAGTGCAACAGTGAGACCAACTATGCCAATGAACGTGGCAACTCCATTCAGGCGTACCTGCAATCCCCAAACATAACTTAAAGGTACCATTGCTGGCAGCAAACAAACTGGAAGGGAAGATAAAACAAAGGAAATTCAAAACAAAAAAACCTGCAATGGGGTTTCTTCACCCGTATCCTCTGATATACTTGCCATCAAAAGCCCCCATTCTGTGTTTATCCCTACTCCAGTTACCTGTCAAGATCGAAGAATCTCAGACTTAACAAACTGTAATACTAAGAATCCAAGAGGGGCTAAAGCTCAAGGTGAAAAAATCTGAGACTTACCAGCATTGTCCCTGCACCATCTGCCACCTTACAACCGGCCATCAAGAATGGGGATTTCTGATCTTTGTGCATCTGCAAGTCAACAACATGCAACGCAAACGGCAATTTTCCTCTTTTAGCTTTATTAGCTATTCGGTACACACAAAATATGAAACAACAAGAAAGTCTAACCATCTTACAATCTTGCTCTCCCCTGTCATGCTAGATTCATCAATGGCAAGAGAATGACCGACAACTAAAACACCATCTGCCGGGATCTGAAACAAAGATTTATAGAAGGAAAGAAACGAGATGAACAATCACTTCAGAAAGGAATTAAAAATCATGTAACAATGCATTAAGAAAGAAAAAGAATCCAAAACAGAGACTACCTGATCACCTATCTTGAGAGGTACAATATCACCAACAACAACATCATATATAGATATCTGTTCTCTTCTTCCGCCCCTAACCACCTGTGACAGTGCATGAAAAATGTTCATTTTTACGCCTTATATCCAAATTAACCTAAGCCAAATTCAAATTAAATTATTAACATGAACTACAGGCCATATACCTCCATCTTTATATTCCTCTTCTCCTCATTTAAACTCTGAAACTGGAGGGACTGTCGGTAATCACTAGTTGCTACAATGAGAAAAAAAAAAAATCAATACCCAGTTGTGCATTGTAAGGTGTAATTTACTGGACATTTCACAACTGCAACATGAGATTCTTCACCTGTAACAAAAATAACAAGGAGAACAGCAAATGTAATGCTTCCCCCATCATACCAGCCCTCTTCTAAGCCCTGCCAGAAATCAGGTTTCTCAGACACTTGAATTAATCTGCTTTTTGTAATTTCCTATCTGGCTGGCCAACTAATGTATAAGAAAACCCAAAGGATCAGATGTTATGTGTAGCAGGATGAACACACCTCAGTCTTTATTCCTAGCCCAAGTGATGCAATGGCAGCTATGATCAAGATGATGAGGGTTAAATCTTGCCAAGCCTCCCAAAGGAACCTCTGCCGGAAAATGCGAACAAAGATACATGATTAAACAAAATGAAGCCAAAAAAAAATGAAATTAGAAGTTAGCAAGTTAGCAGAAGAAGGTAGTAAGCATAATGGAGTGATGGATGGATGGATTACCAAGAAACTCCTTCCCTTCTTAACAGGATAAGTATTTGAACCAAATGCATTCCTCCGGCTCAAAAGCTCCTCATCATCACCACTAACTCCTGTATCTAGATTTGTGTTAAGAAATTTTGCTATCCCTTTGACCTGAAAAAAGTTCAAAAATACAAACAGTTTTAGTGTCCATTAGAAAAACGCCCCCCCCCCCGGAAAGAAACAAAATGGAGGAAGAAGCAGAACAAAACAGAACTTGCCTCTCCATATTGTTGAAGAGCAGAAGTGTTGTTATCTCTGGTCATGGAAACAAGTTGTTCAAGTCCAATTCCATACTCACCATTAGCAGTTGGAGGAGCAACGTTGCTGCCTAACACTACATATAGAAGTATGTATGTGATTTTGAGTAAGGAATTAAAACAACAAATCAAGGAAAACAAGCAGAGAAATGGAGGTGAAGTAAATGTGTATTAATACCAATGGCTCTCTGGCCAGCCAATTTGAAGAGCAAAGCAGCCTGCATTGCAAGCACGTAAAGTAATGGAAGAATGAAATGAAAATGAGAAAACAAAGAGAGGGAAAAAAGAGAGAGAGAGAGAGAAGTGGGTAAATTACACGGATGACTTGAGCATGGGCTCTGATCATACTGCGCCTCTGTTCTTTCTCTTCTTCCTTCCTCAAATCCAGAGTGTATCGGAACCTTCGGGAGGCATTGAGCACCAATGCTGCTTGCTACAATAACAAAAAGAGAAAAGAAGAAAACCAACATTGGGAATTAATGATAAAAGATGTAGAGGGATGCCCATATATATATATTTGATAAATCAAGATTGGGAATCCCGAATTCATGCAACAGCCAAGCCATGGCATTTTTGAAATGGATCTGGCCCTTTATGTTGTGGATGCAATTCGACCCAAAACAGAGAAGAAGGAAAAGGGAAGGCAAAATGCATAAGAAAGAATGACTGTTCTTGTTCTTGATGACCGGAATCAAATGATGACAAGATTATCCCCTGAAATTCATCCCCAAGAAAGAAAGAAAGAATTGAGATGATGATCAAATATATGAAAAATGTACCCGCCATCGCTTGAGGGATTCGAGGGACGCGGTCTTAGTGTTGGCAATGTCGAAGGGATCGTTGAAGTCATCTTGTTCTTCCTCTCCTCCTCCATCTGCTCCTCCCCCTTGTTGTTGTGGATGATCCTCCAAATCAACCAACACATGATCAGTCTGATGATGGCCTGCGACAACATTTTCCTCCTTCTCATCCATTATCAACGACCGTTCATCGGCGGCGGCGGCGGTGGTGGTTGCGTTCGTCATAACAAACAACCCGGGCCCGGCGGCTGCTCTGTTTTCAGCTGCTGCGGCTATATCTCAATCCCCACCGCCGTTGCATGCATGCAAACACACAACCCCCCCGACCTTTGAATCACAACACCCTCTCTTATACAAATTTATGAAATAAGGGAGAAAAAAAAATAAAAGGAAATTGTTTTGGAATAACAATGATAATGTTCAGAAGAGAAAAAACTGCATAATAATGTATGCCGGGCAAATGTAAATGTAGGGGGGAAATGAGAGACACAGAGAGAAAGGTTTCCCCGAAATGTTATCGAAACAAATTAAAAAATGTTGGTTATCAAACACATTTCCTCATCCCAAAACTACATTCCCACTCATTCACCCTTTTCAAACCATTCATTTTTTTTTTCTTTTTTCTTTTTTTCTTTGACAGGTACTACTAACTTTCAACAATAACTGATACTGATTCGTTTAGTCATCAAATAATATTCCCTTCCATCCTTAATATAAGTCATTTTGATTTATCCTACGTTCCATTTAATACGTATTTTTAATTGAGAAAAAAACCTTAAAAATTTTTCATAACAATCAAGAGAATATAACGAATGTGAAAATATATTTTTAAGAATTTTTCGCTAATTAAAAATGCGAAACATAGTACGAAATCAAAATGCCTTATATTAAGGACTCACCTAGTACGAAATCAAAATGCCTTATATTAAGGACTCACTTAGTACGAAATCAAAATGTCTTATATTAAGGACTCACCTAACACAAAATCAAAATGTCTTATATTAAAGACCGGGAAGGTGTACAACACTAACGATTCATATAATTTGCTAGCTGTTTGTTTCTTTTTTTTTCTAACGTAACTTTTGATCAAAATGGTAAGTTTTATTTCAGCGGATGCCCGACTCATTCGGTGGAATTTTCTCCCACTACTACTATATATTTGATCGTGTAAGATTAATAATATTCTTTGTTTCTCGATATTTTAAAAATATATAACCACATTACCATCTATTATCTCCTTCCCAACAAAATAGTCTACGTACGTAAATTGAGTGTTGAAATTTGTATTAATTTTAATACAAACTAGATGCTTGCCCCGGGCAAATGCCCGAGGGCGTCCCACCTAATAAATTGATATGTAAATAATCAAAACTAATTAGGAATGAATTTAGTTTTTGATGAAAATAATTGATTGACCGAAAATTAATTTTTTCAAAAGTCCTAAATAAATAGAAAAGGAAAATTCCATACACTGTCAAATTCAAAATTTGAATGAACATGGTCATCTGATCTCTTCGTTAATATTGTAAATATATTTTTTATTTTTAAAAAGATGTGACACGTGGCAGAATGATTTATGCAATATGGTGCATTTGGAGCCAAAACATTTTAATAAAAAATTGCTACATCAGCATCCTGTTTTCTGCTTTAATAGGGTAAAAGGAATGTGACATGTGGCAGAATGATTTATGCAATATGGTGCATTTGGAGCCAAAACATTTTAATAAAAAATTGCTACATCAGCATCCTGTTTTCTGCTTTAATAGGGTAAAAGGAATGTGACATGTGGCAGAATGATTTATGCAATATGGTGCATTTGGAGCCAAAACATTTTAATAAAAAATTGCCACATCAGTATCCTTTTTTCTGCTTTAATAGGGTAAAAGAGATTTGTAAACTCAATTTGGATTATTTTTCCAGGGACGGGTCAAATAATTCAAGAAACCAAATGAATGGATCTAGCTAGATGTACGTACGTACCTTAATATTAATCATGATGGCGGAATTCATAGTTTCATTTACACATTTCCACGAGGAGGAGACTTATAATGAACTTCCACGAAAATAAATACACTTTGTATGACTGCAAATGTTCTTTAATTTTCTCCAAACATGTATTAATGAATTGTTATACTAACAAAAACTAATGTGTACAATAAAATGCAGTGTTTAATTCCAAGTAACTTGTGATGTATGACGATAATGGTGTTTCGTCTTCCGGCCACTTTGAGAAACTTCCTGGAAATTTTTCAAGTTATGTTAATTATCAATGCCATCCACTCCAGCACACATGTATTTATCCTCCCCCAATGGAATCCTATAGTGATTTTGTTGGGGGAGAGAGGTTTGGAGACTTCAAACCTGCAATTTTACTAACCTCCAAACTCTTTCCTTCGTTGGTTTCATGAACACAACTCTTATGATGATCAAATTAGTCTTAATCTGTTTATATATTTTCGATGACATATGACAATCACACTTTTGTATGTTTCTATTACGATAATGATTCTTGTAGGCAACTTTCACAATGAATCATGACAATCCATGTTTTATATCTTTCCTTTACGGAGTTTATTAATTTAATAAGGATGAGGGGGGATAATTACGATTTAGCTATATCTCATTTTCTTATAAATTTTCTTGTCGAATTTTCCCTGCACGTCACAACTTTTTTAATTAATTTATTTCATCACTTAATTAGGACTTAATTTCACAGTTTTTTTTTTTAAAAAAAAAGAAAAAGAAAAAGGACTTAATTTCAAGAAAGGAGGCCTTGTGTTGACTGGGCCCATTTTAAAGGTGGATGATCCTAGCAAGATAAATCATTTAAGTCCATATTACATACTATAATCCAAAACACATACATAGTTACGGCCCAAGCGCCCAAGAATTGCCTGACTTATAAAACCCTATTTTTTCACACTCCCCACTTTCTTCTCACTCATAATCAGAGAGTTGCCGTCGCGCCGCCTCCCAATCTCTCCGGCGAACATCTCCCTCCCAACGAACTCGGTTAGTGCACGAGAGCCTCCACTCACTGAATCCTTTCTAATTTCTAAACATTGCTTCTAAAATCGCCTTATCGATTAATATTTTACTAAACGTACATTCGCTTTAGAAAGTCTTTGAGATTTTCATGCTGTTTTTTTTTTTTTTAATTAGAAATTCATAGCTCCTTAAGTTCGTTTTTTCAGTGGCGGAAATTAAGTTTTAGTGGGTTTTCACTCTTCTTCTTTCTCTGTGGTGTCCCTTTTTTAAAAAAAATAAAATAAAATTGTTTTGGTTTTCCATTGTAGTTTATCAGAAGAAAAAAAATGCTTTTCATAGATGTATGGGAACATAAGAACATTTTGTTGTTTTCATAATGAGAGTTTTGTTTAGATTTTGAAATAGAAAGACGTAACATTTATGCTTCGCTATGTTTGTAATGATAGTTTTTTTTTTTTTTTGGGGGGTTTTATTCGGAACAGAGATGGCTGAAGCTCAGGCTATAGTACCCGAGTCAGTTTTGAAGAAGCAGAAGAGGAATGAAGAATGGGCTTTGGCCAAAAAACAGGATCTTGTGGCCGCTAAGAAGAAGAATGCTGCCAACAGGAAGCTCATTTACAACCGAGCTAAGCTGTATGCCAAGGAATACCAGGATCAGCAAACTGAGCTCATCAAATTGAAGCGTGAGGCTAGGTTGAAAGGAGGATTTTACGTCAACCCTGAGGCTAAGTTGCTCTTCATTGTCCGCATTCGAGGGTACCTATCCACATTTCACCACCTAAGTTAGTCCATTTCTTTTCGGTGCATGAATCTCACTATTATGGCTTTTGGTGTTTCAGTATCAATGCTATGCACCCAAGGACAAAGAAGATACTGCAGCTTCTTCGTCTGAGACAGGTAAAATGCACTCCTTTTTCTTCTTCTCTCTTCGAATTTGTTTTTTCTTTTAATCTGCGCTAGCCTTTTAGTTCAGTTTTTATATGATGTGGAGTGGTTTCTTCAGGAAGAGAAAAATGGAAAGTCAAAGTATTGTTGACAAGATTTTCTACCCTAACTTGTTTGTGGCGTCATTTGACACTTAAATCCTATGTAGGTTTATTGTTTAACTTTATCACCATTTCCTGTGGAAATTTGGATAGTGTCAACCCATTTGAGTTCTTCATACAAGGTTGGCAGAGACATGGTTTTGCATAATAACATCTGTCATACAACTTTTGCGACACGGGCATTTAATTTGTGAACTGGCATCCACCTTTCTTTACAGAATGCTCGGACTAAAAAAAGCTGACTGATTTGCTGTAATGCTGTCGTTTTTTAGTTGGTTTCTGTTTCCTATGCTATCACCTTTTACACACTACATTGATGCTCATCTCATTCAAATATGAATGTTTCGTGCTTGTTCAGCTACATGTATGATCCTCTTGTTTAGCTTTTTTATGTGTTTTGCGCCTCGGTTCATTTCTGTTCTTTTTCCACTTGTAGATATTCAATGGTGTCTTCTTGAAGGTTAACAAGGCAACTCTTAACATGCTGCACTTGGTTGAGCCTTATGTGGCTTATGGGTGGGTACTTTACTGAGGCAGTCTTGTACGTTTAACGGTTCTAGTCGTGTCTTGTAAGAATCTCTTCCTACTATACTTCCTTGCAGGTACCCCAATTTGAAGAGTGTTAAGGAATTGATTTACAAGAGAGGTTACGGCAAGTTGGACAAGCAAAGGATTGCATTAACCGACAACTCAATCATCGAACAGGTACTTTCTTTCTCAGGAGGGCCGCCATCCATTCTCTGTTCGCTTCTGTTGTTTTATCAAAGATTTACTCAATTCTGACTGTTACCTGGCTGGCAGGCTCTGGGCAAGCACGGAATAATCTGCATCGAAGACCTTGTTCATGAGATCATGACTGTTGGACCTCACTTTAAGGAAGCCAACAATTTCCTTTGGCCATTCAAACTCAAGGCACCCCTTGGTGGTCTGGAGAAAAAGAGAAACCACTATGTAGAAGGTGGAGATGCTGGTAACCGAGAAGATTACATCAATGAACTGATCAGGAGGATGAATTAGTTTAGTTTGTTGTTAGTAATCAATTACATGATATAATTTATTTTGTATTTTTGATAATTTTAAAGGCCTTAAACGTTTTTGCCTTCTCCTTCTCGGATCAAGTACTTTTAAGTGATATTGTTAGTATAATTTAATTATTCAGATATGGGCGATTTTTCTTTCAGGTTTGGTTTCATATTAAGGAAAAAAATATGTCCTAATTTAGTGGAGTCAACTTTTGGCATTTTCAGCAAAAGAATAAAAGGGGACATTTTTTTCGTTTGGTAATTCATCTTCTGGATTCTAGCATTCTTTTGATCTGGTTAACAGTTAGCCTAAGCAGAATATTTTGCGTCTAGGCCAACAGGCAAAGTGGCATACCATTTACCGTGACTCCAATGGTTTCAATGGCCTGTTCCATTTTCACCGTGCACAGTTGATGGTGCAAATATACATTCTTTGATTCTCTGCAGATTTTTCAACATTTCAAATGCCTAGATCAGACAAAATATATTCTACATTTTGCCCAAAAAAGCTACAATCATATGCAAAAGCTCGCTAATATCTCGAACTGCCAAATCAACCATCATGGTGCTGCATGGGAACGCAAACAATTGGATTGTGAGCTTCAATATCTACATGCTTAATCCCAGGAACAATTCCCTGGATTTCATTCTCAAGCCGGTCGACTTCGCTCCCCAAAGCTGTCACCACCTCCTCACCTGACCAAAAGGGGTTGAACTTCTTGTTATATGAAGGAATGTGGCCAACTTTTCAATGTGTTTTTGAGTTTAATGAAGATACGTACCGTAGCATGACATGATCTTTAGCAGTGCCTCGTTATCATTCTTGCTTGCGGCGTCTCGGAACTGGGGGAGTGATTAAGAGAACAAGATATAAATACATAAAAGTAAAGCTCGGGCTGGAAAGGAGAAAGGATCTATTCAGTTTAACTAGCTCAAAACGTCTCATGTTAGGTACCAAGATACCTCATCGCTGTAGGAAAAACTGTGACCGCGGTACTTAGGTCTAGAATTCGGAAAGAGGGGTGGGAACGGACATAAAACACAATGTTTACCTGCTTAGCCCACTCTTCTCCACCAGTTCGCTTCAAATAATTTTGCACCAGCTTCTCACCATTGAAATCTTAACATAAAGAAATTTCAGTGAATTACAAAAGGTTCCACCAAATGATGTAAATGGAGCAGCACAGAATCCACGAACTTTGCCAAAACAATGAAAAATAAGGTATTTATTTTTAACTCTTCCAAAAAGAAGAAAATGAGCAACCTTAGATTGCTACAAAAGGTTTTGGTTCGATGTACATCGAAATGTGGATGATAAAGAAAGATGTTTTACCTATCTCTGCTTTAAACCTGAAGAATCCGGGACCAATCACCTCGCTTTTGCAATCGTACACTTCATCTACAACCTAAAGCCAAACACATTATGTCAAGATGATCATCATAACTCGATTAGTGAAAAGTGAAAAATGTGAGGGTAAACCTACTGGATCATTTTTCAAGAACTCAAGAACTCTCTGCATGTCATGATCGTCCATTGCTCTACCGATCAATGCATGACGATTCCTCTGAATGAGAAATATAGCTACCTGCATTAAGTACTTGAAATGATGAGCATGACTTGCTTTTTCTATGTTACAGGAAAGCACAAAAGACCATTTCTTTCTGAAAATACGCAGCTGACATGTGCATCTAAAAAAAAAAAAGAATGACACATAGTCAGCATATTTGATCTCCGAGACCACATAGAGGCGAAAATATTTCCCAAGCACACACCATTCCCAGAAGGTTTCCCACTATGATGGAGCCAATTGGATCGTAAATCGGATTTCCAGTAGCATTCACTGCCACCAAAGATGCAGCAGCAATGGCAAGGCCTGTAACTGCAGCACCATCCTGAAATTTAGAGAGAACTGATGGGTTAATGCCGAAGGAGGCAGGAATGAACCACCAATCGCTAATGCAGCATACTCAATAGAGAATATAAATGAAGATTAGCACCCATTATTGCACAGATACTCCCTCCGTCTCGAAATTATTGTCCAGTTTGGATTTTCATTTTTAGTTCAAATTGTACTAAAAGTGAAATCTCAAACTGGACAATAATTTTGGGGCGGAGGGAGTATGTTGTTAAATTAGAAGCCAGTCACATATTTGACCCACAAATTTTTTGCACTATTCCTGAGTATATAGTGGCTATTACCTCTGTCATGACTGCAACTGCTGTTGGGTCATGACCACGCCATATGTAATCCCTCACAGTCATTCCTTCAGCAGCTGCACCTTTCCTGACAGCATGTATGGCCACAAGGAGCGATGCACCTAAATAAACTCTCAAGTTAATCATACAAGAAAACAAACTGAAAAATAAGCAACATTTAAATACATATATAAGTTCACCTTCAATGAGGAATGAACCACCAATCACTAATGCGGCATACTCAATATGAACAGGTTGCTGTGAATGAAGAGAATTTTAGTCAGTAAAAGCTCAATCACAATCTGCTATCAGCTTTATGCAACCTAAAATAGTTCAGTTTGAATTCTCTATCATTATTACCGCGGTAGTCCATAAGTTTTGAATGCCGTGGACAATCGTAGCACCTGAACCAAGGCAGAAGATGCCAACCGCAGAGATTAAAGACCAAACGAACCTTTCCTTGGAATAACCATACCTGCGATTGTCGAGAATAGAGTCAATGCAATTTTAAAATCAGAATCTGTTGTTTTAGAAAATAGACTCCAAGTGGTTAGCCCTGCTTTTTTGGGGGCTGATTCATCAAATTAATTTCTCAAGTAAAAGAAGCATGAAGCTTTTGACCAAGACATAATAAGATATCCACCAACTGATTTGTTTTTATAGCTAACTGTATCAAGAATTATAAATAAATCAATAAATCAACTGTCAGGAGAAGCATAATGCGCATTTCATTCATTCTTGATGATGGAGAAACTCGGTTACGACGGCAGGTCCTCAGCAAGTAAGACCATTTCCAAAATAAAAAAAGCCTGGATGTAAAATATCTTTGAGAACACCGTTAATGAAGACTCACGGGTGGATAGCATCTGGGGCGCGCTTTGAACTAATTAAACCATACGCAAGGAGTGCCTAGGAAACAAAGGTCAACACCATTCATTAAATACGCCAGCATGCACCCAGGTGATACTGATCAAGCGATATGTAAATTAGGACAGGCTTTCACAATACCTGATTTGCAAAATCGGCAACAGAATGCACAACTTCAGCCAGCATGACATGGCTTGAGGTGTATAACCAGACACCAAACTTCAGAGAAAACACTAAGAAGTTGCACCACAATGCAGTGGTGACAGCTCGCTGCCTAGAAAAAAAAAAGAGTTTTTTCTTCTTTAAGAAGTTGATGAGGGAAAGCATATACCAAAGAAAAAAAAGTAGAAATCAAGAATACAGATAATCAGTTCTTTTTGCATGATGAAGAAACATACTACAAAAATAAAATAAAATAAAATAAAAATCCATTGCTAATGCAATATTCACAAGGACTCTCAGCTCAACAACCATCACATGTAGTTATCATTCCATATAATGCATAAGTCCTTACTCATGTCACTTCTTCCAAAGCTTTTAACATATTACAAGGAGAGAGTACGCAAATAACACCAAAGCTGCACATATTATGAAATTTTCTGCATAATGCGGAAATCCACAATCGCAACTGAGGCATTTTATCAAACAACCTAAGCACAGAATTAAACAGTACACATTCAGCCAAAAGGGGTCCAAATCTCCACCTTAAAATTGAAAAAAAATAATAATAAAAATGGAAACGGTATAAGGGGGGGGCACTAGAGGAATCACATTACCCATGATCATGATCATCTACTTGAATCTGTATCCTTTTAGGTCTCGTGAAGAACCCTGAAATACGTAAGAAATAAACAAAAAGTCAATCAACAAAAAGAAAATAAAAGGCTGTAATTTTATCGACTTGGTCACCTAAAGAGGTTAGGAACAGAAACCCACCTCTGGTGAGAGAGAAATAATGGGGAGGAGTAACAGATTGCTGCCGGGAGGGCTTGAAAACAGTTGACGGCGTGAAAAGAATGCGGCTATGGTGCAGGTTAGCATGATCAACACGAGATAGTAGTGATGAAGGAATTGGAGGTGGCGGGGAGTCGGAAGAAGTGGTGGTGCAGTGGTGGTAGGAGTAGAGGTGGTGGCGGAGGCGGATGCGGCGACGGTGGAGGTGGGAAAGTAGCTGCAGGGCTCGCATCCCAGAAAGCTCCCAAGAGATATAATATTACGTCTCTATGTTAGATTGTACAGATTGAGAGTAAAATGAAGAAACGAATAAAGGAAGCTTCTTTTTTGTCGAGGGTTTTACTGGTCATTATGTTGAGCAATAGGCTTCTTCATCATCATCTTGATTCAGTGTTGGTGGTTTGAGGCTAATGGAAAGTGAAGAAGAAAGAGGGTTACATATGAATTGCCCTCTTCTTTCTCGCTTTCTTTCTTACTCTATTTGTCGCATTATTGCCACTACTGCACTGAGACTGGCCGGTCTGTGAAAATGAAAGAATCGTCTTTTATTAGTAAGTTTTTTTATACTGCTATCTTTTACATGTTCCAATTTGCCATAAGCCAGCAAAGGTTGAACAAGTAGAATTTCTTCAAATTTTTATCACCCCATCGTATTTCACAACGTTTTATATCACCATCTTCATCTTGATTTTTGAGCGAGTATGAAATGAATTAACGGCACAAATCGACAAATCATATTCTACCAGCGAGAGGACTCAAGTGAAATGAGCGCTTTGCTAAGCTCATGAAAGGGCATGAATGTGTATATATATACATAAAGTATGATGAATATTAGTAGTATATAAACATCGTTGGTGCACAAATGATGAAATTTTATTCTTTACATACAAAAGGATCAATTCTGGATGAGCTGATGAAAGTTGAGACCAATTTTCTATACCATGGTAGCGATAATCAAGTGGCCAATCAAACACAAACTATTAATCAATAATGAAAAGGAAGGAAGCATTCTGTAATCTACATATACGAGGAACATTTTTAGCCCACAAAGGCAACCAAAGAGAACCTAAAGTCTAACACAAAGGGATCAATCATCACAGCAACAGGGTAATTTTCCCTGGGGCAAAAGAGTAAAAATTTTCCCTGGGGCAAAAGAGTAAACTTCGCGTGTAGACTTTAGCAGTTTTTTACATCGACGAAACTACTCTTGCTCGTCAGAGTGGTTAGAGCGCGCTGATGAGCTTTGTTCATTCCCCACTGTTCTCTTGCTCATGTTTGCTCGCTGCACTAGCCGGACCAACGCTTGGACCACTTCTGACATTGGCGGCCGAAATTCGGGCTCGGGCTGCAATCAATATGGAATGTTAGGCCATATTTACAATGACACTAATTTGAAGGGGCAAGGCTGGTGACTCATGTTCAGGAAGACATATTTATTGCTGAGGGAAGGGGAGAAATCGTACCTGGACACACAGGGCAATCACATCAGCAAACCTAGAAAGAGATTTCACAGGATACAGCCCTTTGAGTGCTGGATCAACCATCTTAGACAAAGCATCAATGTCATGGAGTTGAGGGGTTGCCCAACGAACTAAAGACTGCTCGGATCTTGTTCTTGAGCTGCCGAAAAGAAAAACAAAAGGCCCCAAAAAGAATTTGAGGGCAATGGATTGGAATTGATTCTATCATAATGCTATTCTGGAGGAACAAAGCATAATTTCGTGACAAATGACAAATGCTTTTGAAACAGTACCTGTCAAATGCTTGCCTTCCAGTAAGAAGTTCCAACATAACCACTCCAAAACTATAAACATCACTCTTTATGGTATATTGACCAGACATGGAAACCTCGGGTGCGCTGTACCCAGATCCCTGCAGAAAATGTTAAGAGAAGTGTAAGGCTACAATACATCTTCATAAGATATACTTCCTATTTTAGTTAGCATGATGAAATTATGTAATGAAAGCTTAGGGAGGTAGGTACATGGATCATGTTTCGTGTTCTCTTGAGAACTGGAAATTCAAGCGTCAATAATGTTTCTAGGAGACAACTTAACCCGTTTCAAGGAGTCCTAGTTTTCATGTCATGTTTTTTGTTCTCGTAAAAGAAACAAAACAGTTTGTGTCCGTAGAATAGTCATTTTTTGGGCAAATTTCATGTCATGACACAAATTGCTACCCCAAAATTCAGCCACATTGCACAAAGCCATCTTAAGATATTGCATCAGATCGTAAAAAGAGATTTTATATAAACCAAGAAAACATGTAAAAAGTGATATTGTTTCATTAAGTTAATCGCAAAGAAAGACGAACTATGAAAAATCAAGCTTATTACCAGATCCGCGTCGTTGATAAGGCTAGCTAATCCACAGTCAGAAAGGTGAGGATTGAGTTCCAAGTCAAGTAAGATATTAGCTGATTTAAAGTTTTTATGAACTACCGATGGTGAACAAACTTCGTGTAGATACCTGCAAAAAATTACTGTAAGCAACAATTGTACAAAAAAACCAAAGAAAATAAAAATACATCAAAGAAATTACTTCAAATCCTTCAGCAAACAAATTGTGAAATGAAAAGGAGATTTAGAACACACAAGACATTCTCTTTTGTTATCAGTTTCCCAGTAAAAACAATTATGGGGAGAAATCAAAGCAATAAGTCAGCGCCGCCGACCTTAATCGTCCAGTAATAAGAAATGAATAACAAAAAGAAACAAAGGATTCTGCAGACTAACAAAGAGCAAGAATTCTCCCACTTACTCTAAAGCACGTGCAGTTCCCAAAGCAATCTTGACACGGGTATTCCATGTAAGTGGTTTGCTGTACTCGTCCGATAAATGTAGGAGATCACCGAGTGAGCCATTTTTATGGAACTCGTAAACCAACAAATGCTGTCCATGCTCCGAACAGTAACCAACCAGCTCAGTCACATTTGGGTGATGAAGACGAGATATACCAGCAACTATATTTAGAAAATCTTCAGAATTGGGAAGAGCCGATGCTTTTACTTTTTTTACCGCCAGAACCTACAGATTTGACAAAGTGAGGCCTTTTCCTTGAGTATTATTTCAAGTTCACACATAGCATGTTCAATCAAAGTGGCTCACAATTTGTTGCTTACCGCAAAAACAAATTAAAAGAACAAGCAACAGAGGAGGGATTAGTAGCTAACCTTTCCGTCATCAAATTCAGCTCGATAAACACGCCCAATTGATCCTTCGCCAATAAGGTTTTCAGCACTGAAGCTATCTGTTGCCATTTGTAGGTCTGCTACTGAGTATTGCTTAGCCTCTATCGGAATTGTGACAGCTTTCCTAGGAGTAACAATCGGAGCCACCACAGCGACATCATCTTCATCGAAGGATTTGTTACGGTCGATAGGAGGAGGCTTGAGATTTAGCACAGCAGGAGTTTCAAATGTTTTAGTGCCAGCGGTTGAAGGAGGTTGAACAGATTTCATTTCTGGAACAGAAGAACCAAGTAAAACCATTGAACCCATGCAAGGGATATGATCATACAAACAAGGAAATCTCAGACAGATATTCTACCTCACCACATCAGAATTTCGATCACATAAAAGGAGGTATGCATACCTTGCACTTCCTGTGAAGCAAGAGGAGCAAAAGGCTGTTTGTCCTGCTTCTCTATATCCGGAGTTGGTCTCCTTGACCGTCTCTTAACAATAAAGAAAGCTACAATGGCTCCAACGACTAGAAGGGAAATCACAATTCCTGCAATACCCCCGCCACCAATGCCTGATTTTCCACCGCTACTGTTGTCAGACTGATTAGCATTGCCTCCAGGCTTGTGCTTCCTGCCAGGTGTAGGAGGTGTTCCGGGAGGAGGAGGTGGCGCCGGACCATTTGTCCACGAATTACCACCTGACCTGTCATACATCAAACAAAAAAATCTCAACAAGCATCCAAACAGACATCCCTGTATCTGTCGGCTTCAAATCACCAGTAATGACTAACAAGCCAAAGTCCTCACCGCAAGTTTATGCCTTTCAACTGACCAGGAATCCAGCCAGTGAAACGGTTGTTCTCGACATTCCTGAGAGCATAAATGTTACTCAGTATAGTGGGTCTTCCTTGAAATAGACAGCAATGTTGATAAAAGTAACTCACAGAGTATCCAGGGGAAGATTTGCGAGAACGTCAATAGTGCCCGTAAACTGATTGTTCTGCAAGTACCTGCGTTCCAAGAAGATAGTTATAGTGCATTGCAAAATTCAAGTCACAGAAACGAGGTGGATGGATTGAATGTGCTTACATCTCCTTTATGCTTGTCAGAGAACTCATAGTGCCAGGAAGATCTCCCGACAATTGATTGAATGAAAAATCCCTGTTGCATGAAGAAGACAGTGAGTTATATCGCTCGACTACCACACTTTAGTACATGAATGTCTGCATATCCTTGTGAGATATTCATCGCACCTAAATGGACTATAATTAAGGCGAGAAAACTCAGATTTATATTAAGGAAGTACATCTTACAGCTTTGAGAGGCTTTTAAGATCGCTGAACATGACGTTTACTTGACCTTGAAACTGGTTGTGACTGACATCTCTGCAGTAAACCACAACAAAAAGAAATGATAACCAAAAATCGCTGAACGAACCATTCAATTTAAACATGTGATGAGGAGAACATAATGAGAATTTGACTGACATGTCCTTAAGAGAAGTCATCTGGGAGAAAGAGTAGGGAAGTTGACCGGTGAAGCCATTATGGGCTAAATTTCTGCACAGTGAGGAGAAACATCAATAAGAAAATGGGGGGCGGGAGAGAATTTCAAGATCAAAAGGGCAGAAGAAACAAGAAACAAAACGTACAGATGCTCCACATTTTGCGGTAGTTGGTAAGGCAACTGGGATGCAAAGTTATTGTTGCTAACATCACTGCAAGAAAATCAGATCAAGTCACCATATTGACACGAAAAGGACGGGAGTAAAGTGACAGAAAGGAAGGCACCAAATGGGAAAAGGGAATTCAACTCACAACTTCGTCAGCGATGTCAATTTGTCAAGCTGAAAACCAAACGAACCAGACAATCCAAGACCTGATAAATCACTGATCACAGCAAAATAAAACTCAAAACCAGAAGCTGGGCCCAAGAATTACATAGGGAAAGGATATGGCTCAAAAATTACATTTCTGAGACCCTTGAACCAGAGCATTTAATGCCTTTCCAGGATTCTCCACAAGGATTGCCGCCATTGGCATTCCATTTGCTTAGTGCAGGCGGAGAGTTCAAACTCCTGTACAGATCCGTGAGAGCAGATACTGTGCAAACAAAGTAGCCAGAATAATGAGTTAACATTACAACAATCAGAGAAGTATTGTAACAAAAGTGAAGTGATCGTGCTTTTATAGTAGGTATGAACAATACAACAAAAGAAAAAAATAAAAGACCAACCCATCAAAAATACAACAAAACATTACACACGCATTTCGTGGTACAATCAAACCAAGAGCAAGACGCCATTGTTTACGGAACCATCAAGGTTATTCAGTAGGGAGACTTAAAAATCAACCTGAAGCCTTTTCAGAATTATTGTTATTACATCAGCTAGTCAAAACGACTAATCCACCATCATTATACCTTGAACTACCACTAAAACGCCAAAACTCAAAATAAAAAAGGAAAGCAAAAGCAAAACAAAGCATGATAAATTGAAGTGATCTTTACCCATTCCTCAAATTCCAAATCCAGCAAAACCAAAATCCCATTTCAAGAATCAGCTCCAAAGAAAGAAGGAAAAGACAATCAAGCAACATTTCTTTTCCACCACAAACAACAAGAGTGAGACCCGCCCAAAAGAGGAAAACAACAAACACACAATGCCACTCTTTTACCATCAATTGAAGCTGGCTAACAGTAAATGAAGGAAAACGAGTAACCGACATAACCCCAAAAAAAAAAAGGAAAGAAAAGAAAAGCATAAAACTGCGTGAAATGAAAGTGAAGGAGCCTTAGTAGAAAAGGTTAATAAGAGGAGGAAGTGACCATCATTCGGATCTGTGTCGGCATTAATGGGTGCAGGGGAGAGGAAGAGAATGCAGCCCAGAATGGCCACCAGTTCCACCACCATCTTCCTCCTCCTCCACCTCATCTCTTCCTTGTCTCTCATCGAATCCTCCCACCCGCTTCCAGCTTCTCTTTGTTTGCACCAAGAAGGCAAAAAAAAAAAAAAGGCTTTTTATTGGATATTCCTTTTCAGAAATTATTGCAGGAAGGAAAGGCAGAAGCTTTATGTGTGGATATTAATATAATTTTTGGCCTAAAGTAGAGTATTATTATGAGTTAAACAAAAAACAGTATTTAAAAAAAGAAACAAAGTAACAATTTTTTTATTTTATTTTATTTTTGTTGATGTGGGCATATTAGTGAAAAAAGCTGGCAGGCACGATCTATCAGAAGAATCCCAAGTTCCCCTCTGAAGAAGGCTGAAGGAGGGAGAGAGAAGGAATGAATGAATGAACCTTTGAACCATTCTTTTTGGATTTTACTGCTACTTTTACTGTTGTTTTATTATATTTTATTTGATTGTGACAATATTTTCTACATTCTTTCAGCTGAACTCATTTATTTAATTATTACATGCGGTAAAGTGAACATATAATACTTTATTCTCTGTTTCAGAAGAAAAAATTCATCTGTAAATAAATTGTAGTCTGGGATTAGTTATCTGCAGTGGGTTTAATCTTCATTTACACCATCTATATGTATTTGCACTTGCTGATCACCATAATTAGCAAGTTTGGACTGCAAGTAATTATAATCATAGTAGGAGTAGGAGTATTAATTTTTAGCATAATTTTGTCTACCACATAGAACATGAATTGTTGTGTTGCTTAAGTTTTGATTGTGAGATGAATAGAGTGGATAAGGGGCACAATTGTCCGTTAATTTCCGCAAAAGGATCACATGTTTCAATTTTACAACTTGACCACAAAACTCATCTACATTTTCATTTACTTTTTTTTTTTTTTACATTTACATTTTGCCGAATAAAATTGATTGATGATAATTTTTTTAAAAAAAAAAAAATTGAAGTACATAAAGGGCTGAAATTAAAGATACATAGAGGTCAAGAACTTTATCAAACTTTCTTTTTCATTTCCAATATTAAAAGACGAAAAATATAGATAAAAGAATAAACTATACAGACATTTTGTTTTTTGAAGGTCATAATCCAAGCATACACATTTGAAAGTAGTAGTATTAGCTATAGCATAGCTGGAGTAGTAGTACAGTTGGAGCTTTGCAATAAGATGAGATGAATATTAGAAAAACCCACGCGGTTTTGAATATATACTTTTTTTTTATTGTTTCATTAGGAGGATATTATTTATTCTGCTATATTTCTTTTAGGTACAAAAAAAAAAAAAATCAAAGGAAAACAGAAAGAGATAGAGAGAGCTAATTTTCGTTGAATGACTCATAGATTTAATAATTTCTATTTCTTTTTTTTTCCAAAAAAAAAAAAAAGAGTAATCATGATTGGCATGATGATACATGTATCACGGCAATCCCTATCTACTTTGGTTGACTTATCAAATGTTGCTTCTCAACTCTCAAAAAAAAAAAAAAACTTAAGCACAAATTTCTTTACTTTTTAATAAAACAACGAAATAGTAATACAAATTTGAGATAATTTGGTACTCGACTAACTAATGCTGTAAATTTTGTTACTCATTAGCCGACACTATTTAATGTTTGGGGGCATTTAAGCATTTTTTTTATTTTTATTTGTTTTGGGATCTTAGACGGTCTAGTATTCATTTTGAGTTTTTAGAAAATAATCGACATTATAATTTATAAATTATATTGATAAAATTACCAATGCTATTTTTATTATAGTTCACGAATGATTATTTTATGGATGCCGTCGACATTTTCTTTCTCACGGGGTTTCGTTAATAAGATTATAAGGTATAATTGTTAAATCTAAAACAACTATGTAATTGGCTGACCCTGATGAGTAGTATATCTCTTCATTTACATGTGTGGGAAAAAGAAAAAAAAAATCACAAGAAGTTTTGGAACAAATCTTTTCAATAATTATGTATATATGCGTGGGTGTGTCTATGGTAGTTTTAATCGTGGCCATCACTCAGTTGGAAGCTGTGTTCTAAACGTAACAACTCTGAGTGTACGTTTGAATTGGTATAGTAAGATTTGTATATTTTCAAGAAAAACCCCTGATTTATCTATAATCATTAGTCATTCAAAATATTACCATTTCAGCTGGCTGGCGGAACTTCTTCATCAGACGTGTTAAAAAAAAAAAAAAAAGGGCCTAAATTACTACGTAAGAAAAGGCAATGAGGAGGACAGCATAGACAAGCAATTTCGAACACACCCCACGTCCCCCACCTTTTGTTAAATTCTTCCTTCTCATTCTTCTTATAAGACATTTTGATAAAAATTTATGACTAATTAAACTATTTTATAATACCGGAAGGAGTATGTTTTCGTATTCTAAGTGTAATTAACTAGTTCCTTGGTGGTATTTCAAGTCAAAATTAATTTTATTAAAAGAGAAAAGCACTTATATATGCAACCGGTCGATGGTGATGAAACAAGAAACAAACAAAAGTTAGCCAAAGAATACAACTCCGTCCTTCAATAAAATGTGAATCATTATTATTATTATTATCAACATTTAATATAGGAGCTCCGTGTTTTAATATCACGCGCAGTCACTTTCTCACAAATTTACAAAAATACCGCCGCTCAATTCTGTCGCGTGTTTCACCTAAAAAATATAAATAGTCAGCTTTTTTAAAAAGAAATTTAAAAATTTCACAAAATGCATAAAACCTCCCCCGTAACCTATGTCCGGCAATTTTTCTCTCACGATCTCCAGCGTCATCTTCCGGCGAATTTCCACAAAAACCACGAATCTCCACCAGAAATCTACTACAAACCTCTCTCCTTTCATTCGGAAGTGCATTTAAGCCGTCCGTCTGGTGAATATTGGAAGAAACTCGGTTTCAAATTTCAGATCTGAGAGCGAATTTGGTTTTAAACACCGCGATTCTTCTTCATTTTCAATTCTAGTTATCACAGTAAGGACTCGCTTGTGTTGAGATGAGCATTTGTTGTTTTAGATATGATTTTTTCCAATAACTAGGGTTTTGAATTGTGAATTTTGTCATTCGAGCTTTTTTGATGTTCATCCACCGATTCTTACCGCAGATTAATGAGAATCAAAGCAACGAAAATTGCTACGCCGGAGGCTAGCCAAGCGTCATCATCAGGCTCAAGAGTTGATGACAGGTATTGTTCATCCTGAGTAAATTCTTTAGATTTAGATGTTCATTTCATAGATCTAGTAGTGTGAGATAATTCCTGAGACTTACTTGTTCATTAGATAGATATGGTTGTTCATCATGTATGTTTTGATGCTCATTCTGTATACTTTGATGTTCATCTTGTATCATGAGACTTAGTTGTGATTGTTCATGTAAAGGTTATTGTATTGTTTGTGTGGTTGTTCATCATGTATGCTTCAATGCTCATCCTGTATGATTTGATGGTTAACCTGACAGAGAATGTTAGATTGCTCATCTTGTATGCTATGATCCTCATCCTGTATGATTGATGCTCATCTTGATAGAGAATATTAGGTTTTGCTCATCTTGTATGCTTTGATGCTCATCCTGTATGCTGATATTGATTTTGTTTGATGTTCGTTTCTGGATACATGTTCACTCCCTATCGCTAAATGTTCATCATATATCCTGTCTTGCTCATTTGCTAGTCATCTTATATTTCTGTGAATGTTTTCAAGCAACAGAGATCAATACAAGAGTGTGAGAAGAGGCAGTAAAGACAAGAGTCTCCCTTCCACACAACCTATTGAAGGGCACAATAGTTCACCGTCTCAACAAGAGAATGCTGAAACACAAAAGAAGGCCAAATCATGTACATCTGCCGCCAAAGAGAGAAAAAGGAAGAGGAAAGATGGAGGCGATGATCTTGCAGGACAACAAGAAGCAAAGAAGCGAACGACAGATTCATCATCTAAAAAAGCCATTAAAGAGAAAGAAACCAGAAATAGCACAGAAAAAGAGTCTGAATTGTCTACACCAGTCACCACAGAACAAAAGACGAAGTTTAAACATGATGCTGGTAATCCGGTGGCAGAAAAAGAAGAAGAGAAAAAGGTAACTTTAGAAAAGAAAGCACCCTCTGCCCGAAGAAAGACGAAGAGAAAAAATGGTGATGATGGTTCCGTGCCAAAAACAACACCAAAGAAGGAGAAAGCTGCAAAATAGAAACAATCCGAAAAAGAGGTTTCAAATTTTCTAACCAGAGTGTCGCCGGCCGGAGCTTATAAAATTTTTCGTGCGCTTGACCCAGACCAAAGAAAGTTGGTTCAGGAAACTGGTTTTGGGCACCTTTTGAGCCTAGGAATCAGTAAATTTTCACACCCAGATTTGTCCATTTACCTGTTAAAAAATTTCAAGTTCAGCAACAAGACGTTGCTGATTCAAGGCGGAAGAAAACAACTGAAGATCATGGAAGAAGATGTGGAAGCTGTGCTTGGACTACTACGTGGTCCGAAGACAGTAGTTAAAGCCTATGATTCCAGGGACAAGTCCGAATAGTACAGGAATCTTGTCAGGCAGATGAGGGAGACATTCAAAATGGAAGACCCAAATGCGAGATTGCCCACAGCAACCCAAATTGGGAACTATCTTGTATCGGGTGATCCTGATTGCCCGGACCAAAAAAATCTTCCTGAAGAACAAAGAAACCGAGTGTATAGAGAAGAATTCAAAAGGTATGCTTCAATGTTTTCAAAAGGTTCATGTATTGTTTTTGTGGTTGCTCATCCTGTATGCTTTGATGCTCATCCAGTATGCTTCATTGCTCATCCTGTGTGCTACTTTTCTGTAGGTACTTTGTGCTGTTTGCCATGGCTAGCATGCTTCTCAGAACAAAGATTGCGTGTTGCCGCTACCAACTAATGAAATCATTGATGAACGTCGATGACATCAAAACTTATAATCGTTGCAAGTATGTAGCGAAGGGACTCTATGACGCGGTCAAGGAGTGGCAGAAAAATCTTAAGGGTTCTTTCAATGGGTCACTGATCTTTCTCATAGTATATTTCACTCACTTTTTTTCCCCTTCTTTATTAATTTTGTATGTGAAATAACTGAATATGATGTTGGTACTATGAAATATTGCAGTTGTGCTATTTGGATAAAGTTGAGTACAAAGGTGGGAATGAAATCCCCCGGTAGTTTCCTGTGATTGCTCACTGAGACAACGACCGAGTAACAAACAGGCTGGCTTTGGAATGCAGGGGTACAGGCTTTGGAAGTGGCGAACCACTAGACAGGATTGCAGTACCGGAAAGAATCGTTGAGGATGAGCCCATCCAGGCCGAGAAGATGAGGAAAGTTGATGATCTGCAAGCACAACCTGAAAATCAAGGAGATACATCAACAAAGATAAGGTACATCCTATGAGACTCAATTGTTCATTTAAAGGTTGTTGTATCGTTTGTGTGGTTGCTCATCCTGTATGCTTCGACGCTCATCATGTATGCTTCGATGCTCATCTTGACATAGAATATTTGGTTGTTTATCCTGCATGCTTTGATGCTCATTCTGTATGCTTTGATACTCATCACGTATACTGATGTTCAATTTTTTCTGATCCTTAACAACCACATTTGATGCTGGAGCCTCTTATTTTTCCTCTGCCTCTCTAGACTGTATAGTCACAACTTCAGCCTCGACCAATCTTGCCATCGCACTCAGACCTAAGTTGTTTAGCTGCTGGAGATGGCTCACTCGAAACCAGCCTAATAAACTTGCCGATAACATCTGACCTCTAAATTGTAGAACCTACAACCCCAGACCCTCAATTACTAACTGAAGCAATAGTACTACATTGCTTGTTAGCGTTCCTTTTCCACCGACCCAAAATATAACATTCTGGAACAACATTTTCATTGTTTACATTGTAAACACGTAAACAATGAGCTCATAAAAATCCAGTATCAGAAAACATGTTGCAATTACGACAAATCTCATGTGTCCGAACATTATAATGAACCTGATGCTGGAAAATATCTATAGTGTTACGCTTAACATAATATAATGCTACCTCATCGTTGACTTGCTGAATCATCGAACGTTCACAAGAAAGACCAAATTCATATTGCTGTTTAAATAACAAGTAGGCTTCAATCGTGTAGAACTCACGTGCATGCGTAAGTAAATTCACATCTTTGAACTTCATCTCCATACGTCCGTTGTTACACCTGAAATTTTCATGGGTCTCTTTCTTCCTCCAGTCCTTCACCACCTCCTCAAACTTATCATAGAAGGTACACAAGTGCGTACTTTTGGGAATTCATGACAAATCGCCTTGTTGATCGACTTACTCCTCTGTGAAGAAAGTGTACCACCAGAAAACCGGTCTTTGTTCAGGGCTGGACACCATTTATGCCTTATGGAATGTAACTTCCGCAACCATTTATCATCAGCACATTCATAATCATCACACAATCTGTAAAACAGAACAAACAAAATGATCATCATGCTAAGAAACTACAACGTTCATGCCAGAAACTCCACTTATGCACTTCTGTCAAAACAGTCACAGTGTATTTGATGCATAAAATTGCAATGTTCATCCTACGAAACCACAATGTTCATTTCAGAAAAAATAATGTTCTGTCTAAACAGTCACAGAAAAGGATGCTTACTTCTTCCAATAGTAATCAAACTCAGCATGTGTATCCGTGCATCTCAACACCATACAGAACGAATCCATAAACCCTTCCTTTGCCCTCAAATAGCCAATGTGATTCTTTGAATTTTCGCCTATGTGCCATGTGCACAAGCGATGACGTGCTTCCTTAAAAACTTCCGGAATGACGCTTGTCATTGATGTACTCTGATCAGTCATTAAAGTGGCTGGCTCTTTACCTTCCATTGACTCCAAAAACTTAGAGAAAAGCCACCCAAACGACTTGGACTTTTCATTTAGCAAAAAACCAATCCCAAACATGATGTTTTAGTAGTGATGGTTCATTCCCGTAAAAGGCGCACACACAAGTTTGTACCTCGTTGTCCTATAGGTTGTGTCGTGCACACCAAATCTCCAAACACCTCATAATCATGTTTCATCTTAGCATCTCTCCAGAAATAGTACTTAACCTACAAGAGTAATCATGCAAGAAATCGAAGAAAAAGTCAGACTTAGTTGCTTTTCTCTTCCTTAGAATATCGAGCAACTTAACCTACCAATAAATTATTATTGGTAGGAACGGAATACTACACTATTGTTTGGCACAGAAAAAAAGTGGGTGTAGCTGGAAAATTGTGAACCGGGAAAAAGACACCCCCGGCCCAGAAAATAATACTAGAGAGAAGTAAACCTAGCTTTGAAGAAATTGGTAGGTAAGCCTACGACGGACGTACGTATTAGTAGCTAGCTTTAAGAAATGTTGTCTCAATTTTAATTGCTGATTCTTTGCATTTACACCTGTCCTGTCTCTTGTGTCCCACAAATATTCAGTTAATAGTCCTGATATAATCACAATATATCCTAGTCATTAATTTTAGGAGGTTTCTGTAGCTATATCAATCATCTCCAAACCTCCATGCATAAACTGTAAATAATTTATACGCGCGCGGAGGGAGTACTAGCTAGCTAGGAGTTCACAAATTAACTTTTGGTTAGCAAATGGAACAACTTAACTTTATGTGTGTCAGTGTGTGAGTATGTATGTGCAAAACTGCAAATAATACTACTATACTAGTAATGGGTGGATAATAATGGATGTTAGTATTAATTGAGTACTTAATCTAACCCTTTTAGTTTTATTGCTTGATGTCTGTCGGAGGTGCGTGGCCGCCGCCCTGAGCTCCGCCCGATCTCATTCACATGCACCTCAACATTCCTTGTGTGTGTGTGTGTGTTTTTCCATTGTTTGTGCACCAAGCAAGTACGTACTACTCCTACACAATAGAGTAATTGAATGTAAATTAATTAGAGGCTTCACACTTGATAACGCGCCATACCATACGGAGTATATACATAACCATCATCTTTCTATTCCAATTTCCAACCACCACAAACGTAATATATACATGTATATAAGCTGTGGTGCATTTGAAATTTCCATGCATTAGCTCTAGCCCCTCCTATTCATCTCTAATATTCGTACTTCACATTTTTCTGACTTTCTTTTGGATTGCTTCTTCTTTTTTTTTTAAAAAAAAAAGAAAAAGAAAATAATAATAAAAAATGAGACAATTAATTAATTGCTTGAGGTTTTCTTCTTTTTGAACCACTTGATTTTTGTGTGGTGTCTAGATGCTGTTGGCTCCCGTGTTTAATTAGGATTTAGTCCATATTTATTTATAAGAATTTCATCATTCAAGATATCATCATAAATACTTGTCAATAATATTATTTCTTTTGAGTGTAAGTTTGAAAAATTTAGACAAAAAAAAAGCGAATTGAAATCAGAAAGTACACTTATTTTAAAGTTTCTTAATTTCGCAAAAACGACACTTGTTTTGAGTAGTAATAAAAAAATAAAAAGCACAGGGAATAATAAATCAAAGATGACCTAGCTTTGAAGGATGCTAGCTGGGAATATTTGGTAGGACTGTGATGATATCTTGAAGAAATGGTTAATGAAGAATTCGCTTAGAATCTTTTTGTATTTGCACCTGTGATGTCCCGGATTTCAATTATTGAGGTGGATTCACTTATTAATTTCTCCAATCCCAATTAAGTTAATATAGTTTTCAGTAGCTATCAATCATCTCCAGAGTTGAACTATAATAACTAACACATTTACCAATGTTAATTGATACTACTACTACTTGATAGCAAAGGGATTGGCTGATGGAGCAAACTTGTATGTCTTCTACTTAATGATGATGGCTTATGATGATAAATTGTAAAATTGTTTAATGTTTGTTAATTATTAATTGACGAAGGGACTAACTTTCTGACGTTATACTACTACAAATACTATAACTTGCTGGGGGAGAACAAGTGGTGGCAGGTGGCAGCCGACGTGTGCTCCCCCAGTCGCTGTTATCATCAGTTCATCACTATTCTCTTGTCCTTCTAACGTCCCAAAAAATTATTGTCTCATATATCTACTGACAAAATTTAGGATATAATTTTAGGATGAACAAGATTACTACGTTGATTAAGGCATTTCTATGTACTTAGTCCAGAAGCAGGAAGCCTATATACATGTGACAGGCCAGTATGTCTTCAATTCCACCAAATGGATAACAAATGTTGGAGTCCACCAGCAGGTCCAAAGAAGCCCAATAGTTTCAGATGAAGACACAAAGATAAGTTATAAAGAAATGATCTCACTCATCCATTATTAAAACTTTCCAAACAGAATTTATGCATTTAAGGTTAGAACATAATTAAGATTTTGACACATCATTCCTTGTTATTTTTTCATTGTACCTATCACTACTCTAACGGAAACTGATGTTGCCAACCTTTTCCCCGATAACAAATGTTGGAGTCCACATACGTCACACATTCTATTATTAGATTAATTATACTACCACTACTACTACTTTATCTAGTCGTTGTTATATATTTGTACGATATATTACTTTCGTAAAAAAAAGAAAAATTCACATTAAGTTTTCTAATTTCTAGTACAAATCTCAAAATTCAATATGAACTATATTTCTGAGATGGAGAGAGTATTAAACTGTTTACAGTAATATATTCTTTTTTAATATTTGGTTCTTTTTATTGAACTCTGCTCATTCCAATGATGCATAACAAATAAGATATTTATCTATTATATATATAATAAGAATAATGGTGATGATGTAATATTGTTAATTAGGGGATTTAAAAGCTGAATGAAAAAAACTAAAAGCAACAGAGCATGCATGCAGCGTAATGTAATTGATGATTTGTAAAGGATACCAAAAGAAGAACTGTGAGTGTGTATGTGAGGTCAGGAGAACCAAACTGTATAAAACTTTAGATCATTAAGGGGTCAGAAATTTGGTATCTCAATATATTTCGCTTCTTCCATTTTATAAATTTAGTGCCCTACTTAGTTTTGAAAACAGCAATTAATGTCCTCCTTATAAGTTTCAACGTTTTCACGAATACTAGTAGTAGATCATTAAGTTTTATGGAGTTTCTAATAAACTAAGCCATTCTATTTTGCTTAAACTCTACTATCATTTGCTTGTTGCTGTATGTATTGGGCATAACATAAGGTACACCAAAAGTGGTTAAGGGCAGGGTTTGAGGTTCCCAAGAAATGGATTTATTCGGCCTCATTTGGATGGATTGATGATGGGCTGCTCCAACAATATTTATATTCTGTCTTCCACGCTTTCTCTAAAAAAAAAATAAAAAATAAAATTGTTTCGTTTTCATCTAAGTTGCTGTGCAGCGGCTGACGTCCACTTGGCGACATCCTTCTTCCTCGTCATAAAGGAGAAAAGAAAATATTGAACACGGCGTCGATGTTGGCGTCGAGATTTTTAGACCGACGAAAAGTTACCCAAGATTAGTTCGTCGATGCAATGAATTAGTATATTTTGGTAACTTTAAGGTTAAATCGTGACAAACACCACTCCCTACCCTCGCCAAAGGATAACCAACCATCTACTTCATGTCTCATTCTTGACAAGTGTGATTTTTGAATTGGGAGTTGTGTGTGTTCGTCCATCAGCTGCTTGAACTGAAATAACATGCTCGTTGGAGTAACAAGGAACTCTATATAGGAACATTCACTCATTCACTACTCAGAAAATTGAACTCCGCAAGGGAAAAAAAAAAAAAAAAACCCAAAAGAAGAAATGGATCCTTTTGGGCCCAGATGGTTTGTATTGTAGGTGTAGTCCAAAGCACCTCCAATAGCAGCAAACAATTTGGGGTTGTGATGGAAAACAAACAGAAACCAGTTGAGCCCAGTAGGTCCAAGAAGCGGGAAGGAAGGAAGCTCAAAAAGTGGTCGCAACTTGGAACTCGGGGGGTGATGATGTGATGTCAATTAAGGGATGCAGTCTTGCATCTAAAAGCTGAACTGAAAAGAAAACAAGAGAGCATGCATGCAATGTGGATGATTTCTACAAGGATTCCAAATAAGAACTGTGTATGTATGTGAGTCGTCAGGCAATTATAAAACTTTTAGTTCACCATATATTGTAAAGAATCAATAATATAAAACTTAATACACATTCATGCTCACCCAGATTACCAATATTGATCTTAATCCCCGCCCTAAAAGCCGCTTTCCTCCATATTTATTAATCCTTATTATACACCAAGTCATCATCAACTCTTCTACTATCATTTGATTGTTACTGTATTGGGGCATATATAAATATTATTTAAAACTTAGACCAAAGGGCAAAAATAGGTTTGAGGCTCCCAAGATATTCCCTTTTCCAGATAATGGATTTATGTTTCGGCTTCATTTGGATTTGGATGATGGGCTGCACCCAACAACATTTATTATGGCTTCCACGCTTTCTCTCATTTCTCACAGTTGCACCCGGCTGACGTCCATTTGGCGACATCCATCCATGGCCGCCGTCTTCCTTCCTTCCCTCATCATCGTCATCATCCCTCCCTCCACGTGGGCATCCTCTCTTTCCATTGTTTTCTCACATGTCAGAACCCACTATAAATTCCCCCTAAACATTGCCACCTTATTTACCCCCCAACCAAAATTCACAGAATTCCTTTCGCTCTGAGGCATCCAAAGATCACAACTTTCAGGAAATTTTTTTTTATTAATGCATACTTAACTGATGGCTACTGAACATTATAAAGTCGGAGATGACAATGACCACCCGAATCATAATGAGAATTTCAGGTATTTGATAGTGAAGCCTCAGAATGGTGGCATTCGAGACTTGGCTAGATTCTTCTACGCCAGCGATGCTGCCCACAAGTTTCTTGAAGTTTCCGATGATGGGCTGCTGTTGGATGATCATCAACGCGGTAATCGTGGTGATGATGGTGGAGAAACGCCTTATCACAAATGGGTTATATTCGTTTCTATTGTGGTCCGAAAAATCATTGCTTTTGTTGGTAAGCCCATGGAGTGGATTGGCTACCTTGTCGAATTCCTCCTCAACTTGCTCTCCAACAATGGTGGCTTCTTTAGCTTGCTCTTTAACATCCTGCATGGTAACCAAAACCAACCTCCCCTCTCTTTTTTTCACCTCATTTTTCTTTTTTCCTTTTTTTAATTCAGCTGCTACCTGAAACTCTGGAATGGCATTTTCCACGCAGTGTCTTTTTGTCTGGAGAATGGTGTCCTTAGTGTCATGTGATCTTTGTGACTAGAACTGTTGTTAATTAATTACCCTTGTTGAGATTTTATTTTGGGTCATTAAGGTATCTTAGCTGAACTGAAAGTTGCAATTTTTACTCTGTGATTTCTTGATCCAATTCTGACTCTGTAATTTTAATCATGTAGCATATCATTTGATATTCCCTGTTCATGTGTTATGTGGCATTCAGAGGAATTCTCATTGATGTTCAGAAGTTACAGATTTTCAGTGATTTATTTGTCTAACTAGCTGTACAAATTGGATTCTATAATGGCATCTTCTGGTGCAACAATGCCTTATTGCTTTGTGAGAATACTGTAATTTCTTTCATCATGGACCATATTTCTTGTTCTTTGTGAAGTTTTGGTGGTTTTGTGAATTTACTAGGTCAGTTAGGATCAGTCCAAGGAAAATCTTTCATCTCACCTTATTTCATCAAAAAGTTATCAACTTACTATAATAATTAATGATAACGTTTTCAAGTGTGATTTGATCATAGTTGCAACTTGCAAGCACTTGTTGTGTGATCATCTAATACAATAAACTACCTGTAAAATTGTCAGGGAAACTAGTGTTGCCCCAGAGAGGGTCCGAAACTTTCATTAGTGCAATTGGGCATCTGGATGGGCGCATAAATCTGTACCAGAGCTATGAGTCATTCCCTAGATCAGATGGGGAAACTGATCCTCTGCAAAAATCTGTACAATTTGAAATAGGAAGCCGGTCGCTCATGGACCTCTGCATTATGGCTTCAAAGTTAGCTTATGAGAATGCCTTGGTTGTTAAAAACGTTGTGAATCTTCACTGGAAGGTACATTCTTTCAGTTCCACAGTCTCAGAACAGTTCTAATTTCCAAACTTTGATCAACATCTCGTTTCTGGAATTGCAGATGCACTTTGTTGACTTTTTTAACTGCTGGAATGGTAAGACTCCATGAAGGATGACTTTGTCTGTATCAGATTCAGCTTTATTTTATTTTATTTTGTGGAGAGTTCCCTCGTGTTGATTTGAATTCTATTCTGTCTGTTGATTAGATTACGAGAAGGATAACTCGACTCAGGTTTTCATAATGTGTGATAAGCCAAAAGATGCGAATTTGATTCTGATCAGCTTCAGGGGCACCGAGCCATTTGATGCTGATGATTGGATCACTGATTTCGACTACTCTTGGTATGAAGTTCCCAAGCTCGGGAAAGTACACATGGGGTTTTTAGAAGCATTGGGTTTGGGAAGCCGAAGGAATGCATCCTCGTTCCAAGAAAATCTGAGGGTTGTAAACAATAAAACTACAAGTGGATCTGATGAATCATCAACCACAGCAGAGTCTGATGCACAAGATGGTGGATCAGATCATTCCTCTGACTCCGAACAACAGGATCATAAAAGAACTGAAAAATTCCCCTTAATGGCAGAGAAGACAGCTTACTATGCTGTGAGAAGCAAGCTCATGCACTTACTTCGAGAACACAAAAATGCGAAGTTTGTTGTCACAGGGCATAGCTTAGGAGGAGCTCTTGCTGTGCTATTCCCGGTTGTGCTTGTGCTGCACGATAAGGATGAGATCTTGCAAAGGATGCTTGCCGTGTATACCTATGGACAACCGAGGGTCGGGAACAGGCAGTTAGGAAGGTCAATGGAAGCACATCTGAGCAGACCTATTCTGAAGTACTTCAGGGTAGTCTACTGTAATGATCTTGTTCCGAGGTTGCCTTATGATGACAAAACCTTCTTGTATAAGCATTTCGGTGCATGCCTGTATTACAACAGCCTCTACATTGAACAAGTAAGATTCAATTCTCCACCTCCCAGCTCGTTTCTCGTGACATCTTTATAATCTATGCGTTATTTCCGTGACCAATTCATTATTTTGTTTTTGTGTGTGTGATTGAAGAAAGTGGATGAGGAACCGAACCCAAATTACTTCGGGATAAGGTTCCTGATACCAGAGTACCTGAATGCGGGTTGGGAGCTGGTCAGGAGCTTCCTCGCTGGATATGTCTACGGGCCTGAGTACAAGGAAGATTGGGAATCCACACTACTGAGGATTGTAGGACTTGGCATCCCAGGTTTGTCTGCGCACAGCCCAGTGGACTATGTTACATCTGTAAGACTTGGGAGGGAAAAAACTATGATACAAATGTCGTCTTTATAGAAATAGAGTCAGTCTGAAAACAATAATAATATGTTGAGGCTTGAAATAAGAAGTGATAGAGTCCATTAGTGTCTGCGAAGAATTCTTTGAGAACGTTTGTTTAAGTTGAGGAATATAGCTAAGTAGTGAGTGTTGTTTGCCCATCATCAATTTGTATGTCTGATTTTGTTTTATGAGAAACGAGTTGTACTTGTTCACAATGGAATCTATGTTTATTCAGCAAAAAACACTGTTACAAAAGAAATGATAAAGTGTTTATTTTCAAATGTACTAAGATCATATGTCACTACCGTGTTCTACGAAACAAATTAATAATTGTCTTCAATAAAACTGAAAGATGCATGCTTGTGAAACTCAAACTGTGTGGGATGATGTGATGTTGCTGAGGTCCAATTTCTTGAGCCTGGCGACTGATTCCACGTGTCCTCTCAGAGTATGCAGTTCTTCAAGCCTGCAAATTGCCAAAAAATCATCAAACTAGTTTTGTTCGCAAGGCGTAATATTATAAATTTATATGGCAAAACGTCAATGCTTTCACTATGTATACATCAAAACACAAGTTTAGAACCTTGCTATCTCGGCGCGACGCCGTGCTTGATCTGCAATTAGAGATGATCTCCTTCCATTGAACTCTAGCTCCCGTGAGGACGATGAAACGAGCCCTTGTAGTGACCTCTGAGAAAGCACCCACTGTGCTTCCCGGTCTTCCCTTCCATAATCCTTTTTAGATGTAAAAGCTGTCTGCTCAATGCATCAGAAACGCAGAAAGATTGTTGATTCAGAATTTCATTCCCGAGACAGACAATGTGGTGAACAAAAGGCAAAGGTGACAAATTATTAACCTTCCTATCAAAGACCAGATTCCAGGCATCTCCACTTAGGGCGTAGCGCACGGCGAATTTGATGACATCTAGGGGTATGTAAAAAATGAGACTGTACAACCATATGACACCAGCCCAGCCCCATCCAATGCCACTGAAGGAAGCAAAGCTGATGTTTGCATAGACTGAGATCAATGTGGCTACCTATTTTGAGGAGCCAGAAATAAGTCGATGATTAGGGATGTGGGTCTTCTTTAATATTCTTGTAGAAAGGTAAAACTTGGAGTAAGTATGACACTTACAAGTTGAGCTACCACGAATGCACATATCAAAAGCACCCCAGGTCTCTCCAGGAATGACCAGCTCTGGCTGCGAGTCACAAATATTAGGGCCTGGCTGATTATACTCACTTGCAGGTATATTGCTGATGTGATTTCTTCGTTATGTCCAGTTAAAGACTTCACATTGAAGTGAGCCTGCAGTACAAAGCATCATATGAAAGGGTATTGTATGATTACAGAGAATTGATGGCATCAAAGCCAAAGGCTGCATTCCTTACTGCCTGTCCAAAATTGATACAATACCTCAAAGAAATCAGTACTGACTACTGTCCAGTAAAACAAGACGGTGACTAAAGCGAGATAAGTGCCAATGACAATGCCAGTTGCAAATATCTCGTTGAGCTTCCAACTATCAGGTACTAAAGATGGTTTCACCCTATCTTGTGATATTGTCATTATTGTACCTGATTTTATTTTCAGAAGAATAAACGAAACGCTGAATTGGCATCAATGGTGCTATTATTGTATGCAAGAACTGAAAAAGGATTTTAGTACTGATATTTACCATCATTGAGTATGGCTATTATCAGAACCATGAAAGGAGGGAAGTCATATTTCCATATCAGTGTGAGAAGTGTAAATCCGAGCTGCAATAATAGTTGGGGTGACAGATATATGAAATTTTCTTTTCTTTTTTTTTCTTTTTTCTGAAAAATAAGAATCTTTGATTGATTATTTGAGCTTACCACAATCCGAATAGTTATTGATACTGCATATATCTGTGCCATTCAAAGCAAAATAGAGTCACAATTTGGATGATTAAATCTTAAAAAGTTTGGTCACAGGGTTGTTTTTTACTCAACTGTGTAATTTTTCATCCGCTGGAATATAGAACGGCTTGTTAATACTGCACTAATGATGACACTTAGACCAGGTTCTGTCAAGACAAGATCAGCAGCTCCCCTTGCAGCATCCGTTGCATCAGAAACAGCAATGCCTATATCTGCCTTTTTAAGGGCCGGCGCATCATTGACACCATCCCCAGTCATCCCGCAGACATGCTTTTTCTCTTGTAGTATTTTGACGATTTCGTACTTGTGTTCTGTCACATACATTGCAGGACAGATGGTCATTATCAAATCATCCTCAGAAAAGGATAATTGTATTATATTGTTCACAGTAAAATGTTTCACTAATATAACATTCATATCATCTTTGTACTAACAAGGTGAATTGTGGTTACCAGGGAATACACCCGCAAAGCCATCAGCTTTTTCAATGAGCTCTTCAACTGGAAGGGCTTCATTTTCATCTCTATCACGACCCAACAATGCAGAAGAAGGGTACATGTTTGTTCCCATTCCAAGTCTGCGACCTGTTTCCTTTGCAATTGCCAACTGATCTCCTATTTAGGAGCAGAAAATATGGTATATCAACATCAACAACCAAAACCACTAGGCCATTGCTTGCAGCCCTTTTGGAGTGGAAAGTGATGGGAAGAGGGACCAATACCTGTGATCATCTTCACACAGACGCCTAGATTAAGAGCTCTTCGAATTGTCTCAGCGCTATCGTGTCTTGGAGGATCAAACAATGGAAGCAATCCACAAAACACCCATGGTCCTCCAGGACTGTCCTTAGACTTTTCTGGAACTTCCTGAAAATGATGGTACGTCTCAGCATTCTCACATTTTTAAATGGTAACCAAAAGGTCTTTTGATTTTGTAGCTAATCACTGGATATTTGAGTGGGTAAACCTAGATGAAGACCTGATTTCTAGATGATCATGAAGATTTTCTGAAATACCTGGAAGGCAACTGCAAGGGAACGTAAACCCCTCTCAGCAAACTTATCAATGATGTTATGCACCTTCTGCTCTATCTCTTTCTTCTCTTTGCATAAATGCAATATCTGAGTTTCAGGTGAAAAGAAGAAATTAAAATGAGTCTTTTTGGTTAAAATAAGACAAATAGTTTCTCCAAAGACTAATGCTTGGTTTTACCTGTTCAGGAGCACCTTTGCTGGCACGGTACCAGGTACCATCAGAATCAATGTATGTGATTGCAGTTCGTTTATCTACCGGATTAAATGGAAGGAAATGTACTTCCTTTATGTTTGCTCGGGCCTATACAAGGCATATTTTCCTGTTTTTAGTATACTTTCATGTAACGTAAGGTGAAAAAATTAAAAAATACCATGTAACTTGGCAGGTCTTCAATCTTACCTCCTTTGGATCAGCAAGCATGTTAACTATTGCAGCATCAATTGCATCCTGATTTTCCAGTCTGGCTGCTCTTGCCGCAAGTAAGATTAACGTATCTTTGTCCATATCTTTGCAAATTATCTGTACAACAATGAATTCATGTATTTGGAAAAGAGAATTGGTATATGTAACACTTTTACATACACTGAACAATGACAGAGGAAAATGGATTAGTATTAAGACATAAATTTTTGTCAGCAGATGAAGTATGAATTGCCCCCATGAAAAATATAGCTACATCAAAATGCTACGGAGGTCAAATAATCAGTGATTATTTAAGTTCAAATTGCTACTTCTTCTCTTTTGTGATTTCTTTATCAACCTCAATGAGAGCCCGATCAACAGTGAGGCGATTCAGGGTAAGTGTTCCAGTTTTATCACTGCAAAGAACATCCATTCCTGCCATCTCTTCAATTGCTGTCATCCTCTTAGTTATAGCACCCTGCAGGGGATACAAACAAGTGAGAATGTGGTGCAATTCGTTCAATAAGGTTTCTTATGTTTTTATTTTACTTCTTTTGGTTTGAAAATTGCAGGATATGTAGAAGAATTGTTGTACCTGTTGAGACAAACGATGAGAACCAATTGCAAGTGTGACAGATAAAACAGTCGGCATGGCAATAGGAATGCCTCCGATCAAAAGCACAAGAAGATTGTTGATCCCATTCCTATATGAGCGTTTCTGTATAGGGAACATCACAATGATTTCCAGTATCATTCCTGCTGCTATGGAGCAAATGCAGAAGTTCCCAATTGCAGTAAGAACCTATGCATGCAGCAAAAGCATGTGTTGTTACAACTTTTGATTAAAAAAAAATGCTTTTCTTGGCAATGTAAGATTCCTGAAATTCAGAATAATGGCCGGGTTCTCTTTCATGGAGATCTGATTCCAGCTTTTTACCTTCTGGAAATGACCGATAACTTCAGTAGAGTCGACCAAGTGTGCAGCTTTTCCGAAAAAGGACTGGATTCCTGTAGCTATCACCACAGCTTCAATTTCTCCTTGTTTGCATGTGGAGCCCGAATAAACTTCGTCACCAGTTTTTTTGGTTACAGGCAGGGATTCTCCGGTTAGAGCTGACTGCACAAACTCAAGAATAATGAATTGATTTTCTTTCAGATTTCGCAAAGATGTTTGCTCAAGTTCTTCCCCCCTTGTTTTTCTACCTGGTCAATTTTCAAGGGATCTCCCTCAAGGAGACGAGCATCAGCAGGTATGATATCACCCAACTTAATGCTTATAATGTCACCTGGAACTAAAATAGCTGCATCTTTCTCTTGCCATATTGCATCCCTTAGGACCTGCAGAAGAAGATGGCGCAGCAGCAGTCAGTCAAAATGAATTCAAAAGACTCTTTGGGTTTCAGAGCTTCTTCAAAAACCATAAGATTGTATTAAAAAAAAACAAAAAACAAAAAAAACCATAAGATAAGGGTTCCTAGAAATGAAAAATGAACGACCTTGGCTTTTGGAGCTAAATGCTCCATGAGGGCTGCAGCTGCATTTCCTGCATTGTTTTCTTCTATGAAGCTGATTGTTGAATTGATCAGTAACAAGCAAATAATCCCAACAAAGTCCTGCCAGTCAGGACCCTGGCCCTAGAGTATAGGTATCACAAAAAATTAATGCCATAAACAAGAGGCAATATTGCCATTACTCAGAAAGGAAAAAGAGAAAAAAGAGAGGGAATGTTGCCAAATCTCTAGTTGAAAAGAAAACAAGGATGTCTGAAATGAAACTCACTCCGCCATTTGCAAGAACAATTGCCATCACGGCTGCAGCTTCCATCACCCATGACAAAGGATTCCACATGAAACTGAGAAACTTCAAAATCTTGTTCTCCTGCAACAATGGTAAGTTTCCTGAACATTTTTTTTTTCCCCACTTTCCTCTCTCTATATGTCAAAGTAGATTGATTTGAAGGCCTTTTCCTCATAGACATGGCTTCTAAGTTATAAGCTAAATCAGAGATTTCTCCATCATGATTTTGCTTGAACTGTCAACTGCAGCCTAAATGAACTCCCTTTAGACCATACAAACAACAATATTTTAAGGTGTATTTAGCATTGGCATAAGTGCTTCTCTGAGTCTCTTCCACCTTTTGTCTCCTCAGTTTAGGACAGAAAGCAAGTCATTTTCATGAACGGGGAGACTTACTCGCTTCTCTTCAAGCTTATTCAAGCCAAAGATGTGCAATCGAGCGTCTGCATCTTCAGATGAAAGTCCAGCTTGAGATGTTTTCAGCTGCTCAAACACTTCTTCTATTGGTATACGCTCCTGCAAGTTGGGTGTAGTATATCATACAAAGTTCGACCCTAAATGTGTGGTGTGCAATTCCTAGCACAAACTATTATGTGAAAGTTCAACCCTACCAGATCAATCCCATCTCTGCTAAAACTTTCAGGTGCTAGCAGCAGTGGTTTGCTCAAATCCTCTGCCATGTTCCAGCTGCTGTATCGAAATCCTCAAGAACACTTGATCTTATGTCAAGAGAGCAAATTAACAAGCTTGTACAGTAAATACCATGTAAGCAAAACTTTACAAAATGCGAAACCAGACTAGCTAAATATAGTTACAGTTATTCTGCTTTTGTTGAAAACAGCACAAAAGGGGTAAATACTAAATGAAGAACTTTACAAGCTTTGGTGTCCAAGAAATTTAGACAAAATCAACTAAATGAAGTAAACAATGCAATGGCAGAACTTACTGTTTCCTTGAAAACAGGCAGAAGAACTATTCCATAAATGATTGTTGCTGAATGTTTTTTACTCTGATTAGGCCATGTTCTCCCTCTATAAATATATATTAAAGGTACCCACAACAACAACAACTTGGAGCTGAGGACGATCATGATGATTTTCGGGGGTGAATCAATGGTAGGATTTATTCAATCTTGATTGCTTTCACCATAACTTCAAATAAGAAGAAAGGTGGTTGTCTAACTGACATTCAGAACCTAACGGTCACTGCCCCTTCCATTCCCGCCAATAAACTTGTGTTGGTTGGACTCGGTTAGAAGGCATTATTAACAAAACAATATTACTACTCAAAATTGTTAGACAACATTAACGTGGTTTTGTTTTTTTTTGACAACATTAATGTTGACTCTGTTATTGTTTCATTGGAGGACTATTATTGTTAAAACCCGCCGTTTCATATTTGCTTTCCAAGAGAATGAAATAGAAAACACAACCATTTCTTTGGGGAAAATTTATGGTTTCGAATGAAAGAGACAGCAATTTCAGTCTTTATATCATATGTGCATCATAATATCTGAGACTTGCATTCATCCTCTCTCGTGTTTCCTCGTCATCAGTAAAATTTAATCAGTGGTCATGATCACAAATAATAGTCAAAGTGCAAATTCGTGACTACTTTTTTCTATGTAAATTGTGAATAGCGAGCTATTTTAGTTAGCAATCCTTGATGTCATGCATTTTAATTAGAAGCAATGACTATTAAACTAGTAAAAAGGCTGTGCTAGATACTATATTAAATAATTGGATTAACTATTAAAAAATTGCACATCGCCTGAAAAAATTACACTACCTCTTATATAAGCTATGTTTTACACGTAATGAGAATTAATAATAGATATATAAGCATTATACATTTATCAAAAAAGTATTTTGTTCATTATATAATTAAGGCTCCGTTTGATAATCACTGAAGTCTGAATCTGAACACTTAACGCTTAACACTGAAGTCTGAAGTCTAAAGATTGAATTTACATTGTTTGATAAAAACGTCTGAATATGATATCTGAAGTCTGAAGACTGAATCTAAATACTAATGTATGAAAGTTATTTAAAATTTTAACATCATTAAAATTGAATTATAAACAAAATTCTTTTAAATAGAAAAATAACTAATATTTTGTTCTAAATAATAAAATAATAATTTTAAAATAAGTTTTTGGTATATAAAATCAAAGTAAATGTTACACTTGGTAAATAATCAATATATAATTAAATTTAGATTATTACGCATATGTGTATACCTTGTTATTTAGCAAATTTCATATATTAAAATTAGTTTAATTTGAGTTTGAAAGTTTAAGATCTTTTATACTCATAATATAAACTAGATGTTTGGCCCAGGCAGATACCCGGGTGCCCCTTCTAAATTACTATTTTATTAAAATCTAATTGAATTACTATTTTTTGAGGAATTAATTTGGCGTATATATTATTTATGCTATGATTTGGGGCTTAAAAAAATATACCTATAAATCTGAGGTTATAAGGGAATAATAAATAATTAGTTTATAAGGCATTATTCTTAATTGCTGGATTTAGGTATTTTTATTTTTTGTTTATATTAAGCCTGCAAAACTACGATTGGACATTTGAATTTGAATTGATTATCCATTCGTTTGAAATGTAACTGATCCTTATTTGTAGTAAAACATGTGCTTGTTTTTTTTAAAAAAAAATTATATAACTTCTAATTAAAAGAGACTTACACGTGGCAAAAAGACTCCTGAAATCTGAAATATGGTGCATTGGAGTCAAAACAGATGCATACTTAGTTGCCACATAAACTTCATGTCTTCTGCTTTAATAGGGTAAAAGGGATTCAACTTTAAGCACTCTTAATTAATTTATCTTAAGAAAATAAAAATTTTAAATAATGTAAAAATAAGCGACAAAATAAAGACGAGCGAAAAAAAGAAAAAAAAGAAAAAAGAGAAAAAAAAGAGTCATCACAGAAATTAAGTGATAAGTAATAAGTGGTAGGTCTATCACTTATTTTCTGGCTCACAATTGAACTGGTCATTCAGACGCACTTAATTAATTCAGACAGTGAAATTTTAGTTATCAAACGCACTTAATTTATAAGTACTTAATTGGTTCAGAACTTAATTCATTAAGACTTTTTAGTAGCAATTATCAACCACACTTAATATTATTAAGTACTTAAATAAATTAAGTCATTATATTAAGTGATTATCAAACAAGAATTGTACCTTTTGTTATAATGTATTGTATTCTTAATAGATAAGATTTTGCACCCTAAATAAAATATATTGAGCCCTTAACTACAAAATATTGCACATTAAAGACCCGATATGTGTTAATCATAATGAAAAAGAAAAATTTTAAAGCACATCGCATGAAAAAAAAATGAAGGAAAGTACATTGCTCATTGCTCACGAAAATTGAACAAGGAAAATTGCCAAATCTGATTATGCAAACGTAAAATATGAAAAATTATAATCTCTCGATGAGTTATTATTTCAGATTGAAAAAAAAGAGTACCCATCTTCTTCTTTTTTCTGTTGATAAAAAGTTGCTTCTCGATAGGAAAAAAAATAGCGAGTGAGGTTAAAAAATAATAATAAGAGAGGGGAGAAAAAATGTAGTCTAATTTGGCCCCGTTTGATAAAACTTAGCTCTGTTTGATAATCACTTAATATAGTAACTTAATTTATTTAAGTATTTAATGAAATTAAGTGTGTTTGATAATCGCCACTAAAAAGTTTTAATGAATTAAGTTCTGAACTAATTAAGTACTTATTAATTAAGTGTGTTTGATAATTAAAATTTCACTATCTGAATTAATTAAGTGCGTCTGAATGTTCAGTTCAATTGTGAGCCAGAAAATAAGTGATAGGCCTACCACTTATCACTTATCACTTAATTTCTGTAATGACTCTTTTTTTTCTTTTTTCTTTTTCTTTTTCTTTTTTTTTTTCCTTCGTCTTCATTTCGACGCTTATTTTTACAATATTTTAAATTTTTTATTTTCTTAAGATGAATTAATTAAGAGTGCTTAAAATTGAATTTATATTATGAGTATAAAGATCTCAAACTTTAAAACTCAAATTAAACTAATTTTAATACATGAAATTTGCTAAATAACAAGGTATACATATATATGTAATAATCTAAATTTAATTATATATTGATTATTTACCAAGTGTAATATCCACTTTCATTATATATACCAAAACTTATTTTAAAATTATGATTATATTATTTAGAAGAAAATATTAGTTATTTTTTTATTTAAAAGAATTTTAAATAACTTTCAAACTTGAGTATTCAGATTCAGCAGACTTCAGTCTTCAGACATCAAATTCAGACGTTTTTATCAAACAATGTAAATTCAGTCTTTAGACTTCAGACTTCAGTGCTAAGTGTTAAGTGTTCAGATTCAGACTTCAGTGATTATCAAACGGAAACAATGTTACTGAAAATTGTTAGGCATAAATTAATGCTTTGGTCTTGTTTCATTTGAGGAAAACAAAAAATTCCTTTGTCTTCTCATTACATACGGAAAAAGAATCATCACTACGTTGATTCTGCATTCAATTGTCATTAACTACTGTTTTTATTTATAAAATTCATCTTCCCACCACAATTTTTTTTTAAAACAAGTTGTTGCCAATTTGGGGGTTTAATTAAGCTCATGTCACTTTTAATTCAAAGAAGAGAAATGCTAAGTAGAGAAATGTGTACTTATTTTTTTAGGCAGATAAAGATGCTCTGATCTATACACAATGTAAATTAGATAATAATCCGCCTAAATCTATTACTACAAGTCTACAATTTAAGCTGATTTATTATTAGTGCTGTCGTGAAACATAATTTTGTTATGTATTTTTGGGACGAAAGAATTAATATGGAAATTGGAATGTTGACACGAATTGCGAGCATTACTTTGATGAACTTCTTCTGCTCCAACATCAAATGACTGAGCATAGACTATCATTAAAGAATTGTCTTTTCCACTAGTAAAAATACAAGCAGAAAAGAAGGACTGAAACCGGATAGAATATTCCATCCATAGCAAAAACACAGTGTGGATGTCAAATGTGGCCGAAAACCCACCCCAAATGTGTGAAAAAACAAACACATCACCCTCTCAATTACTATTAAAATACTTCCCATTTTTTGTTTTCAAAATTTTGTTTAATCCACTTCTTGGGTGGGTTAGTATTTAGTTTTAGTGGTACCCTGAAAGATACCCCTCCACCATTCCCTCCAAACCTTAGTATCCTCTGCAATTGAAGTACCCTTTTTCTCAATTTTTCTTGTATTGATCTCTTATTCTTTATAATTTTTCATCCTCAGCTAAAGTTTCAATCTTGGGTCCTTTTGGGAGTTGCAGAGAGGTAAATATTTTTTGTTGGCCCTCTGAATTTTGGGTTCTTTTCACTACTAAATTCGTGGGAATTGGATGAAAGTTTGTTTCCTTTTGTGTTTTCTCATGCTGATTGTTAGCTGGTTTGAAGAAATTTCTGCCTGTCAGTTATTTCATATTGGTTTTAGGTTAGTTCCCTTTCTTTCTTTGTGTGCTAAGCTGATGGACATGGTTCAATTTGGGTGCCGAACTTGCCTTCTTTATTTGGGAGTTTTTTGATTTTGGTATATTCTAGTGGTTGAAAAAGAGTTTTTTTAGTTAGTCATTTTTCTGAAGGAGAATAATAAAGTTCAGACATTTTGATATGGTAGCTAACTTCCTGATGTGCCAACTTATTAGTTCTTCTGTATGTTACATTTGGGATCATGTGAACTGAAGATTGGACTCGAATCTTTTTGCAGGTTGAAGAGTGGGGAGTTGTGAGGAACCTTGATTTCGGTCAGCAATATTTGGACTAAATGTCTCAACTTGGACATGTCTCTGCTGTTAACATGAGTAGGCAGAGTAGTGCTGCAGGTAGCCTTTTGAGCTCCCAATCTGCTTGGAGGGATGGTCGTTGTTTTGTTTCAGGGCAAAAGAATGCACTTTCTTTTGGCGGTAGTGATTCTATGGGTGACAAATTGAAATTTCCTGTAGCAAATTCTGCTGGCATGAGATCAAGGAAGGACACAAGTCATTTGAAGGTTAGCCTTTACAATTTCAATTGGGTAATTGGTTAGTTTGAGATAGATGTCATAGTTCATAATGTGATACCTTCTTTCATTTACGGATCATACAGGTGGTCTGTGTTGACTACCCTAGGCCAGATATTGACAACACTGTTAACTTTCTGGAAGCTGCCTATTTATCCTCATCATTCCGCACTGCTCCTCGTCCGAAGAAACCATTGGAGGTGGTTATTGCTGGTGCAGGTGGACGACACTCCCCTCGTTTCTTCTTACTCCCTCTGTCCTTCAACAAAGTGTTTTGGTTCGGAGGGTGTATTACTATTTAAATCAATAATCTCCTTGTTTCCATTATAGATTTCCTTATATATTTTTGGTCAATTTGAAGCCTGACTTAATTATCATTTTGGAGAATGTAAATTCTCCTTGTATTGCTTACATCAATTTCCAGATTTTTGTTCATTTCTCAAGCAGAACTCCCATATTATCTGTATTGGATTAGTTAACATTTTCACAACTTGCTGAATGACTTAGGAGTCACCATCACAACACTTCTCCAATTTATGAAATCATGAGTAGTTTGTCTGATATTCACCTAAATCCTGAAACTTTGGATGAATCTTTGGATGAATACATGCTTGTCCAACAAATATTACCTACATCAGATTAGCCTTCCCCGCCCCCCGCATTGGTTTCTTATTTATAATCCAATATCTAATCAGCTTATGCCGCCTTTAGGTATTGGGTCTTTCCAAAGCGTGAATTAGTTCTATTATGTCCTTTAGAAATCTGTAATATCTTATGTCTGAAGACAATTATTGCCAAAAAAGGGGTCTCCAAATTGGATCTTTAATTATCCCCCTAAAATTTAAATTTTCGTATACTTGCAGGTTTGGCTGGCTTGTCAACTGCAAAATATTTGGCAGATGCAGGCCATAAACCCATACTGCTTGAAGCAAGGGATGTCCTTGGAGGAAAGGTTTGTAAGATGCTAAATGTGTATTAGAATGAGCAAAGCTTTTGTTGGGGCCATTTTACTCTCATAAGTCTTTGAGGAGTTCTTTCATATAATATCTATATAACAATTAGTGTCGCATTTTCTTCTGATGAAGAACACTTGTCTTTACTTTACAGGTTGCTGCATGGAAAGATGATGATGGGGACTGGTATGAGACTGGCCTACATATATTTTGTAAGTTTACATGTATGGATGTTAAATTGCATTTTTCATCTCCTTTCACTGACGAGTATTCCCAAAGTGAAAGGATTGTTCTAAATCTGCTCTGTTAATGGTTCCTCCCACTCCGTCCAGGCAGAAACACATTTTAATCCTTCATACGTAGCCTAAATGTTGTCTTTGTTAATGCTTATATTTCAATACCTCTTAGTTTTATGAATTCAAACTAGCCTATTTTTAATTCAGGAAAATAAATTTATGTTCCAATTTGATTGCGTAAAGCAACAAATTTCAGATAACACTGATAAAGGGGCCTGCCACCCATGAGCACTGATGATTTTACCGTTTTCATCTGGAAACAATTGTAAAACTTAAAAACTCATAGAATTGGTTGTTTTGCTCCAATTAAAGTTGGGGCTTACCCAAATATACAGAACTTGTTCGGAGAACTGGGAATTAATGATCGGTTGCAGTGGAAAGAGCACTCTATGATATTTGCAATGCCTAATAAGCCAGGAGAGTTCAGCCGATTTGATTTTCCTGAGGTTTTACCAGCTCCACTTAATGGTGAGCTACTAGCTACAACCACGTTGAATCTACACTCTTCTATGTTTTACTGTATTACTGAGTTTCTTCTCCACACTTTCTTTGTGGTGGTGATCAAATTTGGTGGCAGGGATCCTGGCAATCCTGAAAAACAATGAAATGCTTACATGGCCTGAGAAAGTGAAATTTGCCATTGGACTGTTGCCAGCAATTCTGGGTGGACAATCTTTTGTTGAGGCACAAGATGGTATAACCGTTAAGGACTGGATGAGAAAGCAGGTATAAGAAAGCTTTTTGATGTTAATGTTGATCCATGTAATTTTCAATTGGGGCTCAGCAAGTAGTTTCAATCTGCATGCAAGCAAACTTACTCTTGGGTTTTATCACATAAAAGTGCAGTTTTGTAGATCTTCTTTTTCCTTCCTCACATTATTGGACAGGTGTAAAGTCTTTATTTTATTTCAGGGTGTACCTGAACGGGTTACGACTGAGGTATTCATAGCCATGTCCAAGGCACTGAATTTCATTAACCCTGATGAACTTTCCATGCAGTGCATCTTGATCGCCTTAAACCGATTCCTTCAGGTAGGATTATCTCTTTTTGCTAATAATAGAAGATGAATGCTTTGACCTCTGAATGAATGGAATGCAGCAATTATGTTATGCCTGTTGAAAGGCAGCATCGATGCATTACTTACTCATGATACTCCAACCAAGAAAGAATTGTTTCATATGCACCAATGAAAACTAGGCATTTTCTTTACTTTGAGATTTCATGTCAAGTTGTTTCATATGCACCAATAAAACTAAGATTTGGAAATCACAGGTTACGGTCACTCCTTCTATCTTTAGCTTTTTCTTTCCGTTTGGTTGTCATGATAAGACAATTAAGGAGCAATAGATATACTACATATTTGAATTCTTGGTCACATAGTAATTAGTTACGAATCCCTTTGTCGATTAAGAAACTTTATTACTTTAATGTTTTATATATTTCAGTTAAAAGACAGTTCAATTTTTCTTTCTTTTCTATTGCCCTACTGTTTTAAAAGGTTCTTATTTCTCTCTATTAACAGGAAAAACATGGATCCAAAATGGCCTTTTTAGATGGGAACCCTCCTGAGAGACTTTGCATGCCAATTGTTGACCACATCAAATCTCTTGGAGGTGAAGTACGACTTAACTCAAGGATACAAAGAATCGAGCTAAATGAAGATGGAAGTGTTAGATGTTTTGTACTGTCTAATGGAACTGTGATAAAAGCGGATGCATACGTATTTGCAACTCCAGGTAATATGACGCTTGATCAATGGATTCAACAAGCTAGTTTGTGTATTTTTTTGTTTCAGAATATCATGAGGTTGCTAATTGACTATGGCTCTATCAGTTGACATCCTGAAGCTTCTTTTACCTGAGAACTGGAAAGAGATTTCATATTTCAAAAAGCTGGACAAATTGGTTGGAGTTCCAGTTATCAATGTGCACATATGGTTAGTGACTAACTTTTTTAGCGTTTTGAACAGATCCCTCTTTCATGTAACCTTTCAAGCCTGGATGTATACATTCATGCAAAAGATTCACAGAAATAACTAATGTTTGGCATTTTTCCATAATGTAAATGTTGAACATGCTGCATTGCTGCCTTTGTGGTGAAACAAAATCTTTTTCCTATTTTCCTCATGTTCATTGCAGACAATATGATTCACATCATTTCATTCGGGCATGGTTTAAAGAATAAGTTGTTGTTCATTAGGGTACATTGTGATAATAATAACTTACTCCTGTCGTACTGATGTATAGCAACTTTCACTCGCAGGTTTGACAGGAAACTCAAAAACACTTATGATCATTTACTTTTTAGCAGGTTCTATGCACTCCCCATACCACGAATGAAGTTACTTTCTTCAATTATCTTTACTTGTATCTCTTTACTTCTGTTTCTTCCCCTGGAACCTAATAGGGAGGCATAGAAAATCCTGAATTTTATCTTTTTCGTGCCTCAACTTTAAGCTGATGTTCTTCTAAACATTTTATTTCTCTTGCATCTTCTTGCAGAAGTCCACTTCTGAGTGTATATGCGGATATGTCTGTAACCTGTAAGGTATGTGTCGAAGATATATGTCTCTTCATTTCACTTCATTTTGCCTTGTATATCCTTCTGAAGAGCAAAGTTGTAAAGTGGTTTGCTTGAGCCAAAAAAAGATATCTTACAGGATGACAGATTTGGAAATTTTTTTATTTACTAGATTTGAATGTGTGTGAGCCGGAATGACACTGGAGTTTGCGCCACTTTCTGGAAATTTGTGTTTAGTAGCCATTATAAACCATCTTCTCCAAATATTATGAAATGGAATCTTATCACCATCAAATTTTCTTCATTTATGTTTATGAGACTGTGAATACTCCACAGATGTAATAGTTACTGTTATTATTGCTCTAAATGAATGCCGCATTCGAAAATTGATTTGCTGATTCTATTCATGTGTTATTTTACATTATTTTCCAGAGATTTCCGTAGATGTTCTGGCTGTATTTTGGAATACTTGCTTGGGAACAATAAGGTTTTCCTCTGGCTATTACCTAATGGAAATATGAACTTTATGTTTGCAGGAATATTACAGTCCAAACCAATCAATGTTAGAGCTTGTGTTTGCACCGGCTGAAGAATGGATCTCTCGCAGTGACTCAGATATTATCGATGCCACAATGAAGGAGCTTGCAAAATTATTCCCTGATGAAATTGCTGCTGATCAGAGCAAAGCAAAAATCTTGAAGTATCATGTCGTAAAGACCCCGAGGTGAGGTTTTCTTGGGTTGCATCCTGATCTGTGGAAACCAGAAACAATTTCATTTCTTCATTTGATCTAAGTTGAGCAAAGTTCTTATGGATTTCAATAGTTAAATTTGAATTGAACGATGGGGACAACGATATTTTTAAAAGACTTGCCACCAAATGTTTCATTTTCCTTCAAGCCCAGTGGAATCTGAATAAGTTTTCTATTCTAGGTCTGTTTATAAAACTGTGCCAGGCACAGAACCTTGCCGTCCACTGCAAAGATCTCCTGTGAAGGGATTCTATTTAGCGGGTGACTATACGAAACAGAAATATTTGGCGTCAATGGAAGGCGCTGTTTTGTCCGGAAAGCTGTGTGCTCAAGCAATTGTACAGGTGATATGCCACTGTTATGATACATTCATGTCACATCTCTACAATGATTGTTCATATATTAGCTTCGCTGTATAGGTAATCAGATAACTTAGTACTGACCTTCTTCAAAAGAACTTAGTACTGACTCTGAGTGTTTAAGCATCAAGTTGAGACTTTAGGAGAATTAGCATGAGGGTAATTGATTTCTGGTTATGCAAACACTAATGTAAGAAGTGATGCAGTTGTACACAGAATTGTAACTCCACGTAGAGCACCTAGTGAGATATTTGGTTCTGAGGCATACCATCCTGAAATTAAATAAGAACGAAAACATTCTCATGTTTTGCAGGATAATGAGTTGCTTCAAGCGGGTAGCGAAAAAAGGGTACCCGAGGCGAGCATTGCCTGACAAATAAAGCATCTGATAAGGACTCCAAATTCAAAAAGTATATACTTTTTAGAGTGGATCAGTGACTGAGTTTATACTGAAACCGGATGCATTGCAATGCAAGTTGACTGGAAGAAATATTGAAGCCAAATCCAAAGACAGCTCTTTTCATTAGTTCAAATATTTGCAAAAAAAGAAGCGCCGGTCCACATTCAGTGAACCTGATTGATCCAGGTACATGAACTTGGAAACGGGAAAAGCATGTCTCGAGCAATGATAGTAGTCTCTTTTACCTCGATTTTAGAGGTAATTGTATAGAAGTATGTTTGTCATTTTTTGCATTGTCTAGTTTGCTACCATGCAAATTTGTTGTATAACATTGGTGCAAGTGGAAATTCTTGCTTCTACAAAAGTAGCATATGAAGATAAATTTTTGTCACCGGGTCCAATGAATCCTATAGAAGTTTTCATGTTATTTTGGTTATATATGATGTTTCTGTTCATTACATTCACAGTGCAAATCTCAATGACGGGTGTTTACTGGTGGTTATCTTTCAGAATTCAAACTGTGTAAAATAATTCTCTCAACATATTTTCTCTTTGCCATTACTCAAAAATGCAATCTGTGTCCAGTCTTTGGAAGTATCATGAGCTGCCTTGTTATAGTGATGTGAAAATGCATGTTTCATTGTATCGTATCAAAGTACGAGGAAAAGTACTGGGGCAGTCTTCAAAAGGGGATCATGACAAAAACCATTGAATTTCAAAAGGTTTTGCTCATAAACTCCGCCAATCAGAAGTTGACAGCAGCTTTGCTTGGAGCACAGATTTAGAGAGGGTAATGCTTTGGCTGCAAGTTTTGGGCGGCCACACATGTATACACTGTACTTTTTTACTTGGATCAAATCAAAACCCTAAAACTGAAGTAAACACTTTGGGGGATGAATCATAGATTCGTACAAAAACCTCCCAGCAAGTGGGAATGTTTTAGGGTTTTTCTTTGGCCCAAATCATCCTTTTGTCAAGTAATGAGGTTTTTTTTAGTCGACCTTTTTTCTTTAGTTTAAAGCTGATACACTGCATCTGAACATTCGTGTTATGAGATGGTACCAATGGCAAGTACGGCAATGGTACAGACTACATAGTACAGATTGATTGAATGCAGCAGAAAATGTGAATCAAGTTTACCTAGAAAAATGATAAAACTATTAGGGAGGTTTTGGTATTCTGGGAAGTTTCGGAGGCCAAAAACCAAGATTATGAACTTTTGCACACGTGTGGCCTCCTCTTCAATGTTGTCAGAATTAAAATCCAATCACCAATACACCGACCTGAATGACCGACCACACCAAAAAAACATCATCACCGAGGAAAAAAAGACTGATGAAATACAGTTCCGTAGATGTTTGGATTAGGTCTTACATTAATTTATGTTATGTTCTACTACTAGTAGTGATTCATAATGTAGCAATGGGTTTTAGGACAGACTTGGAACCATTTATAGTATTCATTTATTGACTTTCATGGAAGCTACTGAATCAACAACAATGGTAAAGTGGGTTGATAATGAAAATCACTGCAACTCCAAATGAAAATCAATTGATAATGAATAGGATGACATTGAACTTGTCAGGTCCTTCACAGGAACGATGTGGGATTTTTTGTCCCAATGTGTAGTGGGATTTCTCAAGTTTAGGGGGATGTAAACAGAGTAGTCAAGGTACAGAACTGATTTGTAACCAAAAAAAAAAAGAGTACAGAACTGATTAGGAGTATTAGATTAGCTGTAATATCCTAGGATGCTGATGATGAGAACTGAACTACATATAAAACTAATTAAATCTGGGTTTTGATTAGTTTCAAGAGTTTGATTAAAAACAAAGTGAATCTATGAAGATTCAGTTTGTCCCAACGTGACATATGGCCTCATCACACACCATTAATTCCTAAGAACAAAAGATTCCCCAAAATCCCCCACATGCCCAAATTTTGCTCCTCTTCTCCAGAATCTTTAGTTTGAACTGCAATGCTGTGTTTCTTTCTTGCAGTTGCTTCACTTCTTGGTTGTACTAATAATATTAGTCAAATTTCGAGAATATTAGTACTACTGCATAGTACACTTCTATGTATATTTTTTAAGATGAAGAAATTTTCATGGGAATTACATTGTACTACATTACACAAAAACTCATCAGAAAGTGCAACATTTGATCTGCCATAAAAAGGGATACAAGGAAAGAGTGAAAACAACAGAATCAAAGGTCAGATCTAAACTTAGTTGGTTTTTGCAGATTTTGTTTGCTCAATGGATGGATGGATGGATTCCAATTCCAGTTACGTGTGATACTCAAGAAGATATGCTTAAGCACAAGGTTGCATATCATATCATTATCAATCAAAATTACGAAGCAGTCAAAAGCAATGTTTCATGGCCTCAACCATCCAGGAAAACAAAAGAAAACACATCCCATCTAGGGTTCAACAACATTACTATTAGTATTTTTTTTTCTCTGAAATTTAGCTCTTATAAATAAAATTAATTACTTAGTATGAGCCTAAAACTCAGTAGACAGAGACAAAAGGGTTGGAAATTTGAGGCAAAAATTGCACAGCTAAGGAAACTAAACCAATGAGATTTAGCCGACACCATGTTCCCATATCCTTACAACTCTGCCTCAACTTCACCAAGCAATCCTCCTTTTCTCATGCTTGCATTTACCACTTTTCTAATTCCTATTATAATTGCACTCAATTCCAAGCCATCTCCCTTCAACTCAACAATCATCCCTTTAACCACAATTTACTATACTACTACTACACTAAAAGACTCACAACTTGCAATAAACTAAGATATTTTAATCCCAAATGAATCCGAAACCAATGCTCCCATACACTGCAAATCCCTCAGTTTTCGAAGCTGACCATGTTCATTGTTCATTTGTTAAATGGTCAACTTACTTACTACTTACCCCTCAGCTTCTCTTTGTATAAATACCAGGCCTACACTTGCTTAGTTCTACAGGGTCTAGCTCCAAGTCTTTGGTGGCTTTTTTTCCCCCCTTTGGAAGGAAGATAAACATATTCTTTCAGTTTTTCGCCTCTTTTCGTTGGTTTTTTTTGCACTCCAATCTCACACAATCTCTCTTAAAGCAATCACCAGTTCATTTCAAAAACAAAATGGCTCAGCTCAAGCAACAATTCAGATCATCAAAGACCAAGAGTGGTAGCAATGGCTTCACCAGAAAGTGCGCATCTTTGGTTAAAGAACAGCGTGCCAGGATTCACATTATACGCCGTTGCGCCACCATGCTTCTGTGCTGGTATATCCAAGGAGATGAGTAATTTGATGTACCATGCACATATTCCATACCTAAATATATATATATATAGATAGATGGATAGATACTAAATGTACTATGCAACAACTCCATTCTCCCCTTCACCACCTTCTCCTCAGTTTTTCTGCATATAAATATGCTCTTCAGTCCAAGCTGATCATCAAGCAAATTCTTCCGGAGACCTTTTCAAGTCAGAGTGAGAAGAAATTTGTTGTTCATGAGCTTGGAGGTATATAAAGGGAAAACAGAAAAGAACCCAACTTTGTTCCTGCTGTCGTTGCTCCTGTGGGCTGTTTGCCTGTTTCTATCCCTCCTTGCTGGTCTGGCTTGTTTTTTGATTCACCTCTCTCAGTCTTCCTCCTCATTGTGTTTTATCCTTTGTATCTTTTTTACCCAAATGGTGAGAAATCCATTGGGTTTTTAGACACATGAGGGAAGCCTGGAATGGTGGATGCATTTTTTTTGACAGCTGAGATCAGTAACGGACAGATACATGCCTGAAATGGTGCAGCAGTCTCAAACCACACAAAAAAGTTGGGACATTGTGGAAGCTGGTGATGCTGCTCTCTTCATGTTGTTGTAATGCTGTAATACTCCAATCCAATCCCCCTAATCTGTTTCAGGCTTCAGAGGAAGCAAATAAATAGTTTTGATTTTTGTAATCTGCAAAAGTTGGTTTTTTGAGTGTAAGAATAAATAAAAGAATACAGAAAGGGGGAATGGTTGATGAAAATTGTAAAAGTCTCCAATTGTGTGTAGTTTTCCTTCCATATGATGATTCCGTTTGTGCTTGAAATAAATCTGCTGTCTGTTTGATGCAGAATGTTCTATGAATAAAGGAGACACATTTGGTGTTGTTTGTTAAAGGAAAGGAAAATCTCAAAGATGTACTTGTATTTTTATCATGAACAATGCTGTTCTAGTAAAACAACACATTAATTCATGGAGAAAAGAAAATTCAGTTTACATTTTGATACTAAAAGTTCTAACAAGCATGCAAAAATCTACTTATTCTGCAACGAACAATAAAAAAATCTCGCAGATGAATCTGTGTATCAAGAGGATCCGGGTATGTTTGGATCGGCTTTTCAACCACAGGGAGCACAACATCCACGGATGGCGACTCTGAACATCCATCCCTGCAGTATATAGTTCTCCAAAAGGCAAAGGGCTGAAGAAAAATGACAGTTATTTACAACAATGAAAGCCCCTTCTGAACAGCAAGATCGAAACTTTTTAGATTCTTATGAAACACTGAGGTTGTTTACGCTGAATAATAATAATAATAATAACAACAACAGAATTTCATTTGTCCATATTGCATCAGCTGGTTATTAAAATTTTGGTGGTTTCCAAACTTCTATTTTCATATTAACATCAACTGCAAGTACACATTTATGATATTGAACTGAGGTTTTGTTTATCATTACTATTATTTAGATCGAAAGGATAGGAGTCACTCATCATTAGACAGAATATGAAGCCAAAAAAAAAGCAGCTTGTATTACATTGTTACTACATCACTTGTCAATCCAATCTTTGAACAACAGCATCATGTAAAGAGGGACATTGACCACAGCAACTAACGCGACAATGCGAAAAGCGCACAACAATCTCCTAACTACAGATGTCCACTTTGATTTTTTCGCTCGTGCTGGTGTCATTGTTGTCTCCAACAAACCCACATTCACACTGACATCACCAGTCATTGCTAAGCCATCAGCTTCCTGTCCACTCGGTCTTTTAGCAGTCGCTCGCATCACAGCATTACCCCTGAAACACGCAAAGACACAGCTCATCTTTCTGCTGCTTTCATTTGTGGCAGATTTTAGTTCTAACTATGCAAACATCCACTTTAACAAAGAAGAATACTACTCTAACCGTTCTGCAGAAGCCCTGTCAGTTGCACTCTTGGGAGGAGCTTTTGATGCTTTCTTCATCATGTGTATCGATCCATCAGCATCCCACAGGATCTCATATTCACAGTTCTCATCTTCATTCTTCTCTTTTTCTATCCCTCCAAATACAGTTAAACTTAATAGGCTTCTGATACATTCTCTAAAATTGCCAAAAATATGAGATATGAAGCCATCTGTTGCTTGCCAGAAGAGAGCGGCAATAAGGGTAATTACAAACAGGATCAGATACCTGAAATTCTCCACAAATATTGCAATGAGAATAAAATGGCGAAAGCGATATCTATATGATGTAATTCTTTGTAACAAAATGCATTTTACCATATGTAAATGAACGTTTGAAATGGAAGAAAGCATAGCTTAGTGGATATAACATCTTCAGGAGCAATTCCTTCGGGAAAGCTACGATTACTAACAGATAACAGCATAAAAGAGGGAAACAGGTTCCCTTGTTGCCAGCTTACGGTGCCTACAGTATGCTGCAAAGCAATGAAAACCCTTAATCAAGGAAAAATACAAGCAAATCATTGATTTGGCTGAGCAGTGAGGTATTTACCTCCTTCACGGGACCATGTTTAGCCATGTGGGTAACGGTGCATTGATCATGATCATGCCCTGAAAGAATTAGTGCCTGAGGTTACAGGAAACAAAGATTATCACAACTAAAGGTAGAAACTCTTTTAAGCTCAAGCCCTCAGATTAGCATGATGGAGGGAAGAATACACGTACTGGCCTAATTGAGTTGAGTACATTATTTGAGGATTTCTCTGTAACATAATTTTGGTACCTGCATAAGTGGATCGGCCCAAAATAAGTCATGTTGAGTTTCAGATTTCCGTGGAAAAATTGACAGAACTGCAAAAATGCTTACAAGATTTGTTGATCACCAGGGGAACGCGTAATCCTCTGGAAGCAAATCAGAGACGGGAATGTTAAGCACACTAAGATAGATGTTCTTCCTGGCACCAAAAAAAAAAATAAAATAAAAAAATCAGTTACCTGATTGATGATGGATGATGCACGATATGGACCACAAGAAGTCTCATTTGGCCGGTACAATGGTATATGAGTCAACAGAACCCTTGAAGTTGAGCTAGGATCTGGCAACATGCAGTAGCTATTGTTAACTACAAATATCTTCTCTTCTGTTAGTTGTCCAACACATGATGCTTTTTCCTCAAAAAAAAAATAAAAATAATACAAGGATATTTACCCTCAGAAACGTTTGAGATGAATTTCCAAGTGGTAGCGGTCACATCTTCCTGTGCATTCCCTGCGGATGAGCATTAAATAACCAACTTTATGTATCACAATTCACAGTGCGAACTAAATTTTAGGATCCCTAGAGCAACTGAGCAACACAATATATCATCCTTCTAACAGAACAAACCAAAAGCAATCACAACTTTATGTATCACAATTCACAATGTGAACTGAATTTTAGGATCCTAGAGCAACTGAACAACACAATATATCATCCTTCTAACAGAACAAACCAAAAGCAATCTATGCAGTTCAGCAGGCAACTATGTACATCAATGCAAATAGACTAATCAAAAATCAGATAGCTCCTCAAAGTTGGACCGCTGAGATGATTGGCTAAAAAAAAGCTACATGTGTATGATGTTTATAAACTTGCAGGCACATCTTGACGCTGAGATTACCATCTAAAGTTTGTGAGTCAATGGTGACAAAATCAACTTGTCCGAGTTTAAATCTGTAGTTTCGGGCTCCAAACTCTTTCTCATAACGCCTTGTCACCTGCACATTAATAAAAATGCAAAATCACAATTCAGGGATTGTAATTAATAGTCGAACTCGTGTAGTCATGACTGTTTCCCCATGTTAATTGATTTGCCAAGCAGGTACTGGTTGGACATACCTCAGGCATCTTGGAAAGAACAGCAGCATAGCCGACATCATGGTTTCCAGAGAGGAAATACACTTTGGTATTTGTATTTTGCTGAAGCATGTTGAGATTGAAAATGTGTTTAAAGCGGCTCAAGGATTCCTGCCATCTAACAGTGAGAATGCATCATTACAAAGACAGATTTTAGAGAGAGGACACAGAATGTTTGAGAATTTGAAACAATCTGGAGGAAATAATTTCGGGACAATGAAACTACAAAGTTGAAGTTCAACGCCTTACTCATCATCGGACAAATAAGGGCCTCCATCCATGTAATCGCCCAGAAAGAGAATGGCATCAGGCTTGAAAGATAAGATTGATGATAAGAACGCCCTGCGCATGAACAAATCTGAATAGAATTCAGCGATCTCGAGAACCAAGGAGGGAAGATGATGGGAGGTTCTATCCATGATCTGTGGAACACAAATACATTATTGGTAAGGTGATTATTGGAGATGCTAACAAACCCATGCACGCAAAGAAGGGAACAACTTGTTAGGGATGTTGTGTCACCTGAGGATCAGCAATAATGGCTATCTTTACAAAATCTCCATTCAGCTCTGACGAGTCAAGCTCATTCACCTGAAATTACGTACAGAACCTAGAAAGATAAAGCTGATGCGGGCCTTTAAATTTCAGACACAGAACATCACAAATACTTAACTTTTGACATTTAAGTGGAAAAAGTGAGGGGAGTATCAAGCAAGCTTGAGCAGACAAGTTAAACATCCCAATCAAAATGAAACAAACAGGGACAGAAAATCAAAGATAGAGATGAGAACTAAATTAAACTATCAACATAGAACCAAACTGCAAATAAAAGCCCCTCAAAATGGATGCTGAATCATGAACCAAAACCGATAATTTAGATAAAAGTTCAGGGTTCACGGTCATCCTCTCTCAGCATGTACGAGTGAATTATCAATACAGCCCACATCGCATTTCCATTTTATAGTCACATTTTCTATGCAAATTTCTACATTCCTATATAATCCAAAATGTGAAATGAAAATGCAAAATACGAACTAAGATGTTGTACATAAAGGTTCTAGATCACTTTAGAAGAAACGCAGGTTGAAGAATTCAATCGAAAAAGCAAAAATAAAAACAAAAAATTGATATCAGGGCTAATTCACACAATTAACAACTCCAGAACAGAACTAGGTAGCATATCTTTTCAGGAGAACACACACAAACACACACACGCACACAACTTTCCAACTGATCAGTTTTATAAAAACTTCTGGGGTCATCATCTCTGTGGAGGTAGTACATAAACTAGAAATTCAAGGGAAGCTCTTGCAAATTAACTCATTCTGGTTTGTGTTGTACCTGATGCGGCCAAGAACAAGTCAAAAGAGGAGGAACCCAGAATGCAAACATCTCACCATACAGAATGCTCAGAGCCCAAATCAAGGTCAACCAAACTGTCACTCTCCACATGGTTTTCTTCTCTTGACCCATATCCTCCGATTAATAATCTTTTAGCTGCTTCACCCCCTTCTATGGCCTCTGATAATCTGATTAGTTTGCCAGCAAAGATTGAATTTTTTTTCCTCTCCTTATAGCCCCCTTTGTACTACTACTCCTCAATCCTTACATTCCATCGCCATTTCAGGGAGATCTTCTCTGAAGTCAAAACACCTCAACTGAGAGACTCTTTTTTCTCTGTCTTTTCTTTTAGTTATAGTATTTTTTTTTTTTAAAGAGTGAATTTAATGGTTTTATTATCATATAAATCCCTATAGCTTACAGAATTTGTAAAACAAAAACCCCCAAGGAAACGTTGTCGTATCAACACAAAAGTACAGTATGTGTCACTCAGGAGTCTGGAGAATGTTCAGAATGGCGTCAAGACCGAATCTTTTTAGGTTCCCTCCATTTTGTTTTCCGCTGTAAACTCCACTTCTGTATATTGGCGGTGTTTGAAATTCAGTGCGCGGAGACAAAACATTTGAGATCATCAGCTGTCTGGTAAAATGCCCAAACCAAATTTATCATACAATACTTCCTACTTTTGCAACATTGGTATTATACAGAACCCGACTTGCTTTTGTATCTTGAGCTTTTATGGAGGAGGAATTGAAATATAATACTATTATGGCTGAGGGGAAAGACACCTCTGAAAATGAATGCTGTTGGATACTCACTTTCTGCTATTTTCAACTTTCAAGTTCCAAAACTGTCTTCCCAAGATTTTTTTTTTTTTTTTCTTTTCCTACAAAGAAGATTGTTGTTCGTAGATGTTAACGTGGGGTTGTTGTCAACTTCATTCAATTAAGAATTTTTTTTGGAATGTGTGCCAGATTCTTCCCTGCTAAAATGCAGCATCCTGGAGGAATGCCTAGTTAGCTGAAGAATTTCAACTTTTGTCCCCAGAGCAATATATGTTTGTAATAAGAGGATGTTGTTGATGATGGTGAATGATTTTTGGTAGCTGCAGTGGATCCCTTTTATGTACCGTTTACCTAATTGATAGAAAGAATTTTGATTCCATACTTTTCCTTAGTTCAGTTGTGTAGAACATCTCTAAGTTGTTATTGAAATTTTTGTTTGTACAAAGATCCTGTATTCTAATACTGTGGTTATGTTTCTTTGCTTTTGAAGGGAAATTGAGAAATAGAAAAAACTTTTCTGCACAGCCTGCTACTCAAAAGAACTATATACTGAGGTGGATGGAGCGTAGGAGGGCTGACATTTACACTAAACAAGAAGTTTTTTGGAAGTAAAATTTCTGAATTTACATATACCCTGGTTATTGTTCCTCTTCTTGTTTTGTTGTTGCCTGACATCTGTTTGAAGCTACATCATTGAGACAATCAACTACTTCTGTAATCGCCGGTCGCTTGAAAGGGTTTTGGTTGACACACATGCAGGCAATATCAAGCACTTTTACCATTTCTTCTTCATAGCCTTTCCCTTTCAAAAGAGGATCAAATATCTCATCTTGTTTGCCTTCGATTTTCATTTGTTGAACCCAAGCAACCAATTCCCTTGACACTTTTGGCTTGAATATCTCCATAGGCCTCTTGCCTGTCAGTAGCTCAAGCATGACAACTCCAAAGCTGTACACATCCCCTCTCAAAGTTGCCATCCATGATTGACTATACTCAGGTGGAATGTACCCTAATGTACCTACCAGTTCAGTTGTGACATGTGTCCTGTAAGGAAGAATTAACCTAGACAATCCAAAATCAGCAACATGTGCTTTAAACTTCTTATCAAGCAGGATGTTGCTAGACTTTATATCGCGATGCACAATATGTGGCTCGCATATCTGGTGCATGTAAGCCAAGCCACGACCTGCATCCTGTGCAATTCTCAATCGAGTAGGCCAATCTAGTTGAGATGCTCCATCAGATTTCTCATGTAACCAATAGTCCAGACTACCATTCTCCATGTAAGTGTAGATCAGTAATCTAAAACCATCATGCACGCAGTAACCTTGTAAAGCAACCAAATTTTCATGCTGTGCTGTTGACAATGCTTCCACCTCTGCTTTGAATTCCCTCTCCATCAGTCCCATGTCTCCTGTAAGCTTCTTAATCGCCAGCTGCATTCCATTTGTTAATGTTGCTTTGTAAACCAAGCCAAAACCCCCACAACCGATTATGTTTGACTGGTTGAAGTCATCTGTGGCTTTGAGTAATTCGGAAAAAGTTAGATCCGTGATGCCATTTGTGTTGTTTGGGAACAAAATGACAATGCCCTTGTCTTTCCTGAATTCAGGGGACATTTCCATAGTAGAGTTGAAGGATGTTGCCTCCAGATCTTCGTCCTTCTCAGGATCACTTTTAGGAATGACCCTTCTCTTGGAAAGTATCCAAAAGGCCACCATAGATAGAGTGATTCCAATGCCAAAACAGATGCCAAGGATGAGTCCAATCATGATTTTCTTCTTAGGGCTTTTCTTTGTGGCTGAAGGAGTTGTGCTTTTTGGGCGAATAGTGCAAGGCTGTTGCAGAACGAGTCCACACAATCCCTTATTTCCTTCAAAACTAGTACTTGGGAAGGTATCAAACTGGCCCCCTGTAGGTATAGGGCCTTGAAGATTGTTGTTAGCTACATTAAAGGAAGACAAAAAATGGAGACTTCCTAGTGAAGCTGGTATTTCTCCAGACAATTGGTTGTCTGACAGATCCAACTTTTCCAAGTTTGTGAGATTCGAAATTGTGCTCGGGATGGTGCCGGTAAAGTTGTTGTCACTGAGATCCAGGACATGTATGAACTTCAAAAGGCCGATCTCGGTTGGGATATCACCACTTAGGTGATTCGATTTCAGGTATATAGCCGGGGGAAGGCTAGACAACTGATTGTATTGCAGGTTCGAAACATTGTCAGGCTTAACAAAGACAGGCAACTCCAGGTAACTCTGATCCACTTGATTATTCTGTTGTCTGGCTAGTCTTTGCAGTTGAGTAAGTTCAACTGGGAAGGTTCCAGTGAGTTGATTCACCGACAAATCCAAGTAAAAAAGGTTAGGCAAAGTCCCCAACCAGCTGGGAATGGAGCTTGTGATGGTGTTATATGATAAGTCAATGACCTCAAGCTTTGGCAGCCTAAGCAGCCAGAGCGGAACTTCACCAGTGAACTGGCAACCACCCAAGCCAAGCACCTGCAGAATTTGAAACCCTGGCGGAACAATCAAATCCTCATTGCTCGGCAGTGCCTCATTGTTGAAACTCTTGGAAAGGATCAATGTACTCAGATTTTTGCAGCCTTGCAGAACCGTTAATGCACCTGAGACATTTGTTAGGCTGTTGTTGGAAATAGAAAGAAATTGCAAAGATTGTAGCTTTTGTATGCTATATGGAATCTCTCCAGTTATCTGATTACTCGCCAGGCGTATTGCTGTCAAAGATGTGCAAGAGAAAAGGGTTTCTGGCAGGGCACCAGTGAAATAATTATTGCCAAGATCAATAGTGGTAAGTTTTGTGAGCTGGGAGAAATTGAATTTTGAAAGATCACCAATAAGTGTATTGACCCTGAGGATAATCACGGTGAGTTCTGTGCAATTTATGATGGAAGGGGGTAGATTACCCCCAAGTTTGTTTACATGAAGTTCTAGATCTTCCAGTTTGGAGAGCATCCCAATATCTGGAGGGATAATTCCAGTCAACTCATTGCCAAAAAAGGCAAGTTTTGTAAGATTTTTCAAGTTGGCAATATCATTAGCAATTGAACCATTCAACTTGTTGCCTGGAAAAGATATTTCTTGCAGAGATGATAACCTGTATATTTCTGGTGGCAAAGGACCTGAAAGTGAATTGAAACCTGCTCGTAGTATCTGCAAACTGGAACAATTCCCAACATCTCCTGGAATTGAGCCGTTGAAGTGATTTTCAGAGAAATCAAGCTCTGTGATGGAAGGCGAAATGCTGCACAGGGAAAATGGAATTTCCCCAAAGAAGCTATTGTTGCTGATATTGAAACTCGCCAAGTTGGATGCTTGATCGAACAATGCATTCTCGATTGTCCCATTGAAGTTGTTACTGGAAAAATCGACGTCCTGGATTGATCCTGGAAGCATCCCTAATGCAGAAAAGTGTCCTGCGAGGCGGTTATAGCTCAAATCAATGACCTGCAGCTGAACAAGATTGGTGAAAAATCCATCCGGGAGAATGCCAGCCAACGAATTGCGGGACAGGATGAGTACAGACAGGTGAGGGAGATTAGCTATGGACGGTGCAATGATGCCGGAAAGCCCCCTTGATGGAAGTTTCAGGCTAGTTACCCTGCCCGTGACGTCACAACCAACACCTTCCCAGTCAGTGCAGCAATCAGATGAAGAATTCCAATTTAAAGGAGGAGATGAGATGATGGATAAATTGTTGGAAAAGGATAACAAAGCGTCTCTGTCAAGTAGATTGCAGGGTGAGGCAGCATGGCTTGTGGGCACAAAGCAAGAAAGAAGACAGGCTATTATGATTAGTACAGTTGTTAGAAAGACCTCCGAATAAAGACAACCACCGCTGCGGAAAGGGTTGACCATGGAAGCTGCTGCCGCGGATGATGATGATGCAGAAGAAGAAGAAGAAGAAGACGACCGCCAAGAATTGAGCTTTATCATCATAGAAAATTGGGTCTCGTTTTCATCTTTGTTCTGCAGGATCATAACTAGAAAGAACGAACAAAGTAGGAAGAAGAAAAGGAGGAAGAAGAAAAAAGAAAGGGAAGGCAGACAGTTGAACTGAAGATAGACGGCTGAAAGGTAATAATAATCTTTTTCATCAAATCATGTGCAGATTTTTATTTTGTAAAACCTTTTTTTTCCATCATCTTAGTTTGTGCAAGATTTGTTTGTTTGTTTTTTTTTTTTTTTAAAAAAGAGAAGTATTTTAACCTCCCACCAGGAGAGATCAGGAGGGATGGATAGCTAGCTGATGGGGGGGTGGAGGTGGTGGGTACTGGGTAGGGGGTACCCCCCATTAGGCTATACCGGCAGCATAAGATAGTGGTTGATGTTGACATGGAGCAATATTTTTTTTTAAAAAAAAGCAGTGGTCTGAATTTTTAAAAAAGCGTTTACTTTTCTGGGACGGCTGAGAAGGGGGAGGATGGTGGACTTTGTGTATATTTTTATCATCATCATCATCATCATCATCATTTTTTTGCCCACCCAATCCCCAAAAGGGATACAGTTGATTTATACCCAGGTTAAAAAAAAAAAACAAATAAAAAAGGGTTCTTGATTATGTTATGCCATGTTTGTTTCTGCAGCTTCTTGTGCTATCTCCAGGTTGTTTGACACACACACACACACACACACACACACACAGTAGAAGAAGGGGTACTTTTCGGGCAAAGGGATTAGGACACACATGATAGTGGGATTGGCACTAAGTTGCTGCATTAAACTAAACATTATTATCATTATTGTATGGTGGCAGTGATTTGGAAGGGGTGGGGAATCTTATGCTTCTCAACAAGTTGGATTATTTGTTTATTACCATGGTTTGCAGTGTTTATCTGTGATTCATTACATATATATTTTTTTATGTCCACTATGGATGGAATGTGTCCAATCTTTCTTCCAGATTCTTGTTAATTAAACTCGTAAATCCTTTCAAATCTCCAGGTTGTAACTTGTATCCGGAAAAGTAAATTAATATTCTGTTCGTGGTTGAAAACTGACAATCACTCTTTAAAGGGTCTCAATTTTTGTTTAGTGTTTGTGTTATGTTCTTGTCTACTACAACAAACATGAAATTTTTTTGGGTTAGATTCGTTTAATATTTTGAATAATGTATTTGGTGTCACAAATTAATAGCCTTTTTAAAAGAATACGCATCACTAGTTTTTGTTCCTCCTCTTTCTTCATCTTTGAGGTAGCAAGATTTTGTCTTTGGAGTGACGCAAAAATGAATGGTTGAATTCTGGGAATGGAATGATAACAATCATAATGGCCTGTCTAGTGAGGGCTGACATTTATTTGTTGGGTTTCTATTCTTTTTTTTTTTTCTCTTTTAAAATTTGTAAGAGCAGAAAAATGGGATGAACAGTTGAAAAAATGACGAGTAAATTAGTAGGTTGTACCTGAAAATGACTGGGAAATTACATCCTCCACTAGCTAGCTGCTTTTGGTGCGAATTTTAATCTCTGAAATGAAGCCAAAATAAAATGAATGGTTAAATTCGAGGGGTTGACTGTTTTTGATAATGTTGTCAAGTAAGGGTTTTTTTTTTTTTTTTTTTTTGGGGGTGAGAAAGTAATTGATTTTAATACTGATGGTAAGAGAGGGCAGGAAGGTGGGTTGAGAAATGCAGAAGGCACATGTCAGGTGGATTAAATTATTTAGACAATTTGGAGTTAATTAAATATGCGTTTGTTGAATCTCTCTATTGTTTCGTTTTTCTTGTAAATATTGAAATTTGGTAGTAATTTTGCACCCTTTGACCATCCAACAACTAAATTTTTTTTTTCCTCTTCTTTTCTTTTCACGACTTTGACAAATTGTGTAATTGTAGTAAAACTTGAATACAGATATACGTACGACTCAACTTATTCCAAGTCGTTAACGTTTTACCTTCTTTTTTTTTTTCGTTTGCAATATATTTTTTATGAGTAGGGATAGGTACTTGTAAAAGTTACGAGAAAAACTCACAAGGAATGATGTGTTATTCATCAAAATTATATCTTAACCTTACATGCTTAAATCCCAAATGGAAAGTTTTAAGAATGAATGGTTATGATCAAATTCTTAACATTTTTCCTTGTCAATTTTTCCTTACCTATTTTTTATGACATCGTTATCTTGTGAGACGATAAGAATAAATTTGTTATCCTATTATTTGAACACGTCGAAAAATCCCTGTCTCACAGAGAGTGTGGCTCTTGCAAGTTACTAAAAAGACTTGAATGTATCCCGTCCAAATGAAGAGGATTTGCATTAACCCTCTCCTAATTGCAATATCTAATTTGCGGCAATTGTACAAAAAAAAAAACGCAAGTAGGCTTAGAAATTCCAAGGAAGCAGACAAAGTCAATATGGTAGTAACTAGTTTTTGTTGTTTCTTCTTTTATTTAGTTGTCTTGGTAGTTGGTTTTACCAAAGAAAAGACAAAAATGCAGCACACAGATAGAAAGAATGAAAAACATTTGTGCTTGAAAAAGTCTGCGGTCTCCCGAAAATAATCTCTGGAAAACCCATCTTCTTCTTCCTTCTTCTTGTCAAAATTGGTTATCAATTCCATCTTAAAGAATTTCTTATTCAAAAGCCATCAGGAATCGTAATACCCCGCCACTGAATCTGAATGTAATTAACCCTACTTAGTTAAAACCAATCTTTATGTTTATTTCTGTTTCTTTGTTTGTTTGTAATGAAAAGAACCCTAGTTAAAACTGATTGGTAATCCTCAAAATGCCTGCTGATATCAGCCAGCAGATGATTTGAGATCTGGGCGCTACTATACATATTGTTTGGTTTGACTAAATTATGAAATTTTAAAGTTGTAAATATTAAAAATTAATAAATAAGGCAAGTAGTTAGTACTAAAAGAATCATATACACCGAAGCCTCAAACCTCAACTTCCAAGCAAATTGCAATTTAAGTGATGATTAAATCAAGAAAGGTTCAACTTCAACCTTTTGGATGATTAATCAAATATATGCCCACAAATCCAAAACTGATGATGTCCAATGTTAGGAGTTAGTTGCTCACCACTACTATCATTCGTTGTCTCTTTTTTCCTTTTTTTTTTTGCAAATGGAATTATTTTTGCAACTAATTCACATTGAATACACACAACTTACAAATCATCTTATTTCATTGACTTTTACTATTCAACTTCTTTTCTATATGTTTTAAAAATTTCTTTTTACTGCACATATTTCAAATACTCCCTCCGTCCCATAATTATTGTCCATTTTGCCCAAAAAATTTTGTCCCAATATTATTGTCCAATTTGACTTTTTATGGATCAAGTTACACATTTGTCCTTAGTAAAAACATTATCCATAAAATCTTGGTGGTTAAACAATTACTTATGTAGGGGTATATCCGGTTGTTTAAGGTGAAATATAGTTAAGTTTGACTAAAAATAAAATCTTTCATTTTAGTAAAATTGGACAATAATTATAGGACGGAAGGAGTAAGACTTATGAATATCAATATCTTTATGTCAATTGAAAGAGAATAAGAATGAAGCTACACTGTAAAGGGAGGATGATATTCAAATATTTTTTATTTTTACTATTTTAATTATTAAAACAAACTGCCAACAACGTGGAAGGTAGACAATTTGTCTAAGAATTGTTCGTTTTGCTTAAAATTGACATATAGCTAGTCAAATATTTGAGGCTTTTATGCACTTCACTTATCGATGAAAAAGTTGGAAACACAATAGCAGCTGATCTGATCACGCAAATGCAGTATTAAGGTGATGATTCCTGATATCAATGCAAATCTTTTTAACAGTTCTCTACTGCAAATATTTCATTAAAAAAAAAAAAACAATAGTACACAATTACAAACCAGAAAGGGTGCCCACAATAAATAAGAAGAGAGGCTACAGCCTACAGAACAAAGGAGCATGAATCTTATGGTCAACAACCAATTTAGAAACCCGAAAAGTTCAATATTTTAATTGTACACCATATACTTTGGTGTAGCACTGAACTTCTGATACCCCTTGATCACTTTATTCACCGCATCTAGAAAGTCCTTCTCGGTTACTGTCTTCCTCCTCGCTCGAATTGCATACATCCCAGCCTCAGTGCACACACTCCTGATGTCCGCCCCTACATAAGATATAACATATATTATAACCTCACACCTCTCCACAACATTAAATTTCATTTACCGATTCAAGAATAACGAATTCCATAAAAAAATATTATAATCTTGATAAAGCTTGCTATAAGCAAGACAGAAAAGAACCAAAACCAAACCGTAGCAGCATCACCAGCAACTAACCACAAAAGTTACAATGATGAAAGATAGCAATAGAGAAACTACAAGTTCTTTTACCAGTTGAATTCGGGCAGAGCCGTGCAAGAAGTTCAAAACGGATATCCCTCTCGCAATTCATTGTCCGGGTGTGAATCTTGAAAATCTGTGTCCTGCTCTCCAAGTCTGGCAAACCAAACTCAACTTTACGATCCAATCGACCAGGTCGCAACAAAGCTGGATCTAGAGTATCAGGTCTGTAAACAGAAGAACATACACGAGTTAGTCATGGAGCCAAAGAAACACAACCCAACAGCGGGTTCAAGAACAAAGAACGAAAAAAAGCGTTTGGGGTGCGTGTGCGTGTTTTTTTTTTTGGTGGGGGGGGGGGGTGTGTTGGCCCTTACAACACAAAGGCTGTAGTTTTAAACAAACAGGCTGATAAAATTAAACTTGACCTGTTAGTAGCCATCAGAACTTTAATGTTCCCACGGGCATCAAATCCATCAAGCTGATTCACAATTTCAAGCATAGTACGTTGAACCTCATTATCTCCACCGACGCCATCATCAAACCGTGCACCCCCAATGGCATCCACTTCATCGAAGAACACAATGCAAGCTTTCTTTGACCGTGCCATCTGCAAACCAAAATGATCTAAGCGAGATGTGGAGGTAGACACAGACCACAAATAGACAAAGGATAGAGGGTTTAACCTGAAACAATTCACGAACCATCCGAGCTCCCTCTCCAACATACTTTTGGACAAGCTCACTTCCGATGACACGGATGAAACATGCATCGGTTCGGTTGGCTACTGCCCTAGCTAAAAGAGTTTTACCAGTACCAGGTGGACCATAACAGAGGACCCCCTTGGGAGGATCAATTCCGAGCTTAACAAACTTTTCAGGGTGAAGCATAGGCAGCTCAACAACCTAAAAAGCCATAGAAAAACCAGTTTTTCAAAAGTAACCAATTAGAGTCTCTAATAACTGATTGTGCTAACAAAAACCATAAAAAAGTAACTAAATGGGGGGGAATTGAAAGGCAAAGCAAAAAAAGAAATCATGGCCACACCTCTCGCATCTTCTCAATCTGCTCCTTACATCCACCAACATCATTATATGTGACATCCGGCTTTTCTTCAACTGTCATCATAGTGACACTTGGGTCAATCTTTGGAGGCAATGGAATCTGGATTTGGTATTTATTCCGGTCCACACTGCAGAACATTCAAGACACAGTTATATGGAAGACATTAAGATTTTGCAGAATTTTGGCAACTCAATTTTGAAAATCAATAAGCAAAGCTTAAGCTCCCATTTCTTTTTTCGATTAATTGACGCACTCAAAGTCCTAAAATAAATTGGTGGAGGCAAGGATGAATGTGCATAAAAAGAAAGCCTACCCAACTCGCATGCCTTCTTCAATATCCGTGGGTGAAACCTTGTCGCCTAATCCAACAACAAACTGGGAACAGGAAAGAACAAAGTTCAATACCTCAAGTATACGCAAACAGTATCAATTACTCGTAATATTTATCTTGCCTTTGCCCAAAAGTAACCCGGGAGTGGAGATAAGAGGGAACAGAGGGAATGTTATACCTTTGCAATTTGCTTAACATTTATAACGTATTTAGCGTCCTCGGTATTTGGATTGATAATTTTCGTACATCTTGCCACCTGCAGAGGCTGCTCCTCCTGCATCATTTGCTTATCGGAAACAAGATCCCATTGACTAGGGGCAGCTAAGCCAGTGTCTGACTCCTTGATACCTGACAAAAATTAATGATATCAGCACAAAGTAAAGCAATAGAGAAAAGAACAGCGAGGCCTGCATCAAGCAGTAATTAAGATGTTTCTTGTCCACTAATAACTACAGTATCCACTTCTGTGGAGATTTCATTATCCCAATAATTGTCAAAAGTTAATCATACATGAGTACCTAAGGTAAAATAACATGCAACAAGACTTAGGTGTGTTCTTGAAATGAGAAGTTTTAATAAATAAGAAACCAAAACAAAGGTGCTTCAAGACGATAATCATACCGCATAAATCATTTATCTTCTTCGCCATTTCTTTAATTTCCTTCTCAGCTTTCTTTATGCTTGTTGAATACGGACCAAGTCCCTGCATAAATAAACCCAGAACATCACTCAACAAGCTGAATTCTTAGTCGCATATTACACTGAACTACATAGGAAGATATCAAGAGAATCTAGACTAATTACCAGCAGCAAAATTTGAACCAAAAAACAAGTAAGCTCAATTCCCAAGTCCAGATGTAAATTTCATAAACCAAACCCATACCCTTTCTGATTTATGTTTCTCTAATTACAATCAGTAAGACCACCCCTAACAAATAAACAAAGCCTAGAAGCTATAAAAAAAAAAGAAACTTTTAAATGGACAGTAATAATTAGCAAGATCCATAAGCAAGAAACTTGCAGGTGGGTTCTCATAACTTGCTACTATGGACTGAAAAACAACTGGAACAATGATTTTTCAACATACCTATTCAGATATAATTTCAACTCCTAACCTTTCACAAAAAACTAAGAACAGGCATTCAAAACAAACTTAGACAGGAATAAACTTTAGAAACTTAAAAAAAAAAAAAAACTCCAATCGCCCAATACTCCATCATCATTCATCATCTAAGCACAGAATTGATCCGAGGACCAGATAAATCCGAAAAGCAATCAGCTTTGCAGGTGGGATTACATTCTCTTCTCCTGTCTCTATTAACCCGCTACTACTATGAAACAACAAGCAACTGAAACAAGCACTTACCTACATCCCAACCTTATCAGCCACAACAAGTCCAAATATTTTCAGAAAAGCGCATTTAATAAAAAAAGAAAAAGATACTAATAAAGCTGAAAAGATCCAATTTTGCAGGCAATTCAAAACTCTAATCGTTCAGTTCCAACCATGAACCCAACCCTAAACACAGAAAACTAAGCAAGATAACAAAAGATCCAATCTTGCGCCGGAACCAAGAGACGCTAATCTTAGATAACAAAGAAAATTAGGGTTTTGAAGTTAAAAGAGTGAAACAAAAAAGAGAAAAGGAATCATACGTAAGTTTTGAGAAGGGCAATATCATCTTCATCGAGAGGTCTAGGATTCTTCTCGTCCTTGATCTCATCCTCGATGTCTGCGGGAGGAGCCATTGATCGATTTTCCTGATTTCTTCTTCTTCTTCTTCTACAGTCGTTTGGAATTTATCAGCTAAATAATGAATTTTTCTTGAGAAGCAATCCAGTAGAGAGAGCAAAGAAATTTTGTTAAAGCTCTTTGGATTGGGCTTTTTTACATGGGCCTCACTCCCCTCATATCATCACCAATTGGGTTGTATTGGGTTATTTTTTTTTATTCTTTATTTTTTGTTTAATAGCTTTAAAATTTTTCTTCTTTTATTTTAATGTAAATGTTTTTTTTAAAAAATAATTCGTTACAGCTCTAGCATGTAAATTACATCATAAAATAATACTCCTATAATATCATGGTATAAATAAAAGTAATTTAAGTAATTATTTTTTGTAAATACAATTCGAACATGGTTATATTTTGTTCAGTTTATGAAGTCAATATGAACACGGTCCAATTCAAACACAGCCCAAATGTTGTTTTTCGTTGGAGAAACACATAAGAGGAAGAAAGCGTGGCCTGCATCGAAAGTCATCAACCGCGCTTTTGAAACCTGTTTCACACGAACTTTTGACTAACAAATTTCTTAAACTCCAAGAAGGACGCAGGGAAACAAAGAACCCGCCCGCCGCTACTTAACTCCTTCCCTTCCCATCAAATTTCTTACACTCCGTCCCCCATCCAAATTGATTCAAAGTTTCCATCTTTTTCTCATCTTTCACTTTTTTATGATCTGGGTTTTCATCGAAATTTTGTATTTATCGTGTTTTTACCACTCTCCACAATCTAAAACTTTAAAAAAAGGGATTTTTTTTTTTTTTTCTGGGGGGTAACTGACACAGGTGAAGAAAGATCAAAGGAGGAGGGAAAATGAATAGGGTTAAATTGGTGGTGTTTCCTATTAAAGGGAGGAATTGGGTATTTAGCAGTAGCAGATCCATTGACACTTCTCAGTCATCATCATCTCAAATTCCCTCCACATTGAAGGATTTATGGAAGAAGATGACTGTTTCTAAACATGATTCTGTGAACCATTCTTCTCCTCACTCTTCCAATGTGGAACTTCTCGTTGATTTCACTGCCCATAAGGTAGGTGGTGACCTTCTTCCTTTAGAACCCCACTTCTCTCTTCTTCTATTAAAGTTGTAGTCTTTACGTTTTGGTGGGTTTTTTTTTTTTTTAATTTTCCCTTTTTAGATGAATGGAGCATGGAATAAGCTGGGAAATGCTCCGGAGGGGTCTTTTAAGAGCAAGATTCACGGGTAAGCTTTCTCTCCTTTAGCTATTTTATACCGTCTGCTAATTAGCTGACAGTTCATGTCCAAAACGATTCTCATGTTGTCGAAGGTTAGAAATTTCCGTGTCGGGTGTGAGTATTGTTGTGTTCATATTACGTGCAAGATAAGAGAAACATACAGGTCGTTTTGTGAATTTTTGGTCTAGTTCAGTTGTAGGGATGCGTCTTCATGCCCATTTTACTATATTGGAGATTTTGATGCAAGCATTTAACGATTTTCCTTTTTTTTTTTTTTTTGTCCCCTGATGTTGCATGTAGGTTGGGATTGAAGCTTTTATCTAGGGTGAAGCCGAGTGAGATTTTCTTGAAATCCATCCCTAAGGATGCTACTCTTGCGGAAATCACCTATCCCTCCGGGTTAATTTTTTACTTCTACTATTTTGTTCCTTATTTTGCTTGTGAATGGAAAGAAACTTGGTACTACCGAATTAAAGTGGTTATTGGCAGCATTGTTAGTTTCACTAACTTATGAGTAGAATGTACATATTCCTTTATGAGGATTGTGTTTTGCCTAGGAATGAGTTCTGAAACAGAAATATGATCCCGCCTGTGATTCAAATTAATGATGTATATAATCTGGATTTGAATGATGTGAGAGGTTTCTTTTAATCTTCTTTGGTGAAACTTTTTGAACTATTCTGAAATGTTAGAGTGGGGTGACTAGTGTCTTTGCTTCTGGTACAAAAGGAATGAGTTACTGCCTGATTTTCCGTTACCTATTCACAAGCTTTTTCATCTTTAACTATAAAGGAACCTAGCGGAAGTTCGTGAAATATTTTGGCTTATTATTTTCCAGAATTACACGGAACAAGTACAGAACAAGCATGAGTATTAGCTCTGTCTGAAGTAATAGTGAAACTGATCCTCCTGCATGAATTGGGAAAATATAGTTTTTGAAAACCTGTTTAATTAGAGAGTTTGTATTTTAATATTGTCTTTTTTCATTTTGCAGCTTAAATCCACGTCTTGTCCGCAGAAGGATACGACATGTTGCCTCCAGGTAAATTTACCATACTTTTGAGCTTTTGGGATTTCTGAACTGCCTCTTAGTGTATGCCAGAAGAAAACCGCCAATTGAAACTTAGGAATGTACAATAGTTTTGGGAGCATTGTATATTGTTCATATTTCTCTTGATTCATTATGGTAGACTAATTACCCATAAATTTTATAGGGGCGCAATTCTGCACAAGAAGTACTTTTATGCATCAGTTACACTGCTTCCGCTTACATCTCTCTTAGCAGTAAGTACATAAAGTTTTCCCCATTTTGTATAAGTTGTGTTCATTTTCTGCAAGATGTTGGGCTGTTTTACACAAATTACTTTTGTTGTTTCCACTGATTTAAAAAATGTTTCCTATTTTGGATAGGTACTACCCATGCCTAACATTCCATTCTTTTGGATCTTGTACCGATCATATTCCAATTGGAGAGCTCTTAGGGTAAGTCAGATTGCAGAGTTCATTTGTCTCGTCATCTTCCAATTCTCTCTTGTTTAGTAGCCATCTTTATGGATTCGATTATTCGTGTGTGTGTGAACAATGCCTACATCAAGGTTTTATGTATTACTTGGATATGCAAATAGTTATTTATGGTTTATATAAACCTTACTATCTTGTCAAGTTAGAAAGGGGCAAAGACCACCATCTGCTTTGGACACACTTGTCTGTTTATGTACTTCTATGGTTTGTCATCCTTTAACTTTTAAATGTTTTCATTGGTTCTTTTAACTTTGTTGCGGTGGTACTTTTCAGGGTAGTGAGAAACTTCTTCAACTGGTGTCAGATAGTTCTGTTCATCAAGAATCATCATCATCATCTCCCAGCAAGGGTAATGGTTCGCAACAAAACTCAGGAAAACAAGATTCAAAATCTCTTGGTTCTTCACTATTGGTAGGTGTTTCCATCATCTGATCTTCTGAGGTTATTTATTCACGAAGGAAAAAATAATGCTAATAGGGTTTATGGCTCATCATTATGATGATCCATAACATGGCCTCTGAATCTCTTACAGAAGGATAATGATAATGGGGATATTTGGATTATGTATGCTGTTATCCTTGTCCTTGTTCTCTTGTTGTCATCTGGTTAGTATTCACATGAAAGTCCGTTTTGTGGTATCAATGACTTGATTCAGGTGTTGCAACCGTCTGAAGAACTGCAGAAGCTACTAAAAGACAACCTTGCTGAAGATGATCTCGATGAGTCTTCGGTTTCGGACATATGTCAGAAATTCAAGTTAAACAGTAGGGATATTTTGAAGTTCAAAGACTCTTTGTAATTAAAGCAATATTCTCTGTTTTTCCTTGCTTTTGATAGGTGTAGGATAGTTTCTAGCCCATAAGAGAGAAAAGATCCATTCCTCCCCATCCCCACCAGAAAATTTTGCAGTGCTCATTTAATCAATGTAGAATTTGATTTAACAGTAATTAGTGTGAAGAATTTGGGAAATAGTACTTAAATCCTCCATTATCTTCATTTTCTACTCCCATTATCTTTTCACCTTTTCACACAAAAAAAAAACATAAATAAATAAAATTACTCTCCTCTTTTTATTGTTGTAGAAATGAAGTCCATTCAAGAAGCAGTAAGAATGGTTAATAAATTGCCGAAGGTAAATTCTGTGAACACAATTAGAATCTAAAATTGATGCCAGAAAACAAACAAATCGTAATGTGTGTCAGCCAAGTTTTATTATCATATTCATCTCACATCTGTTAAAGCATGTACATTCTCGAAGATGGTATACACACAAAAATGGTAGTAACATATTCGTTAAAACCTTTTAACATACAAAAGAATACAAATCTGAAACAAAAAGAATATCATCGTCAACTGTCAAATTCATCTGCAGCAGCCGAAATCCCGTGATTAAAGCACAGGAAGAACTACCATTTTCTCATCCCATACATCTCTCTCTCCAGGCCATTTGCCTCCATTGTAGCCATAGGCAACAACTAATCCAAGAAAACTGAACAAGCCAGTTAAGTCTTTTCCTTTTCATCCTCTGCAATGAAATTTGGAACTTCACCTTGACAAAGGTACTCATCGCACAATGATGCTGATCCCCAGTCTTTCCGGAGTCTCCGGATGTCTTCCGTGAAGGTAGATCCAGGGGAACCGATGAATGCAGTTGATAGAGCGCAGATAGTCTTATCCAGCATGGCTTCCACCTTTACATTTGAAACAGAAAATACATCATATGTTTACATACATGACCCAAAGTCGAAGGAACCATCTGTGATGCAAAAAGGACAGCATCTAACAAACATAAGCACAATATAATCCTTCTCAGTCTGACGTGATTCATAATTTACAACACGCTTCAATCCACTTATAATCAAACTAAAACCCCTCACACACACGGCTTCAAGAATGTTCAAAGGTCTAAATAAACTTATTTTGCATCCCATAATCTAATCTCCAAGTATCTACATATGCAAACCTTTTCAAAAATAAAAGATCTATTTATGTAAAGGCTATGCATGTATTATAAGACTAAATAAATTACAAACAAATAAACTAAAATCACAAGCCATCAGCACACGCACCTGAGAATCACCCTCGAGGCCATGTCTGTACAGTAAAGCATCCCATTTCTCTGCAGAATTGCGTGCAGGCCTCGTTACAAGGGGCACTGTCTTCCCATTAATGAAAAGCAGTGACTGTAACAAACCAGTTTCACTTTCTGCAGCGTCTGTGGAAAGATAAATCACTGGGGTGTTTGCTCGTTCTAGGACCCGATTGATGCAATCGGCAGCTTGAGGAATGGGGTAGAAACAACTTGGTTGTTTGTCATTGCTGATAGACATTAACAGGATGTATCAGCAGAGGAGTCCACCAACAAAGACAATCACTATGTAAAAAGTGTGCTCAGTTATCAAAAGTTACTGTTACACCATTCTTGGAAAAGTTACAGACACAATCAACATGATTCCAAAAAAGAAAAACTTATCAAAGCCTAATGAGTGTACCAACCAAGATGATCTCATATAACGAACTCACAGATGAGAGCAATGCTCCAAGTAATACGGATCTATTACTTCTTAACGACAACAATTTATAACATTCAAATCCCTTCAGCATAACCAAACCTAGCCAAACATTTAAATACAATTCTATACTCAATAATTAAATATCACCTAAAGCATGCAGCATGTCATCAGCATATAACAAAAGAAGAGAAAAGAAAAGATAGTATACCAGAACTTCAAGAAACCATGTCGGCGAAGATGAAGAGCCACAAAATCCCTTCCCAAAAACGTCTGCACAAAACGCTGGGCAGTAAGCATGATGAGCCGACTTGGTTCAATAAGGGTTTTACACGTATGGGCAATAGGACCTCCAGGCTGCATAACCCATTCACTCTCAACTTCAGCAAAGAACACGTCACCAATGGCAATAACATCTTCCCCAGACGAAAACTTGGACAATACATCCTCCACTGTTCTCTTCTTCGGCTTCTTCACATCCTCACTCCAAGGAGATTCAAGCTTGCCGCCCATTGAAACGCCTAAATTCTTCAACTTCTTCACACGCTCATCGTCCATGTAACACAAATCCGGCAACGAGAAGTAACATATAAACTTATCAATATGAACCTTGCTCTTTTTCTTCCTTTCCGCCTCCTCAAACTCCTCGAAAGTAACCACCACCCTCCTCCCTAAACACTTGTTAATGTGATCAATGTCCAACACCCTATGGAACTCATAATCAACTTTAGAACTGGGAATGACCAAAACTCGATTCAACAAAGCAGCAAAAAACATATGCTTTTCCAAACAAATCAAATGGTTAGACATCTGACCCGAAACGCACACAGCAAACAAATACTTATCCGGTTTGGGATTCCACTCCACAGACCTGCGCTTATCAGAAGAATTAACACTCTGATCCACCTTCCCGCACCTAAACAAACTACTGGGACCCGAATCAGACCCATTAAGAGTAAAGAGGTCTGCACCCAGCTGATGGGAAGACAACAAAGCCTGCTGAATTTGCTTGTTCAGAGAAATATGAGCGAGCAGATCAGAATAAGTAACATTATAAGCAGAAGTAAAGTCGGTATTATTGTTATCAGTATGGGGCAGAAGCTGGAGGAGGCCTGATTGTTGCTGTCTGAGAAGGTAAAGGGCGCGAAGCTCGGATTCCCGCATCCGGCTGATAATAGAGGAAGATTCGGGTCTACTAGTTAAGGAGGTTTGGAAGAGATCTTTAATGTCGGTGGAGAAGTAGAGGATGAGGATGAACAAAGGAAGTAGAAGAAAGGCGAATAAGTACCTCTTGTTAATGTGGTTGAAATTGGGGGTGTGGAATCGGGATTTCTCAAGCTCGAATGTGGCGGCGGGCGAGTGGGGACGGTTTCTTCTGTCGTTCTGCTCAATCAGATGGCGGCGATCTTCTTCGTCGTCTGAGGAGGAGGAGGAGGGATGGGCTTCCATCATTATTAGCCGGAAAAAAAAAAACCTTGTTTATTTCGAGAGCACAGTGTCAGTGTGAGTGGGTGTGGAGTGAAATCGGAAATCAGGAGGCGTCGGAGGGTGCCGGTGGAGATGGTTGGTTGCCTGTGGTGGTGGAGTCAGTTAATGAGGAACCAGAAATATTAGAAGGAGAGCCAACGTGGCACCGGACGTTTGGTCGACGGGAAAGCGACCTGCTAACCAGAGTGTCACCAGACCACCCTCAAAGTGAAAGGCCCAGTCCAGTTGTTGTGGGTTGGGCTTTCCAAAAACTAAATTCTGTCAACCAGCACACCCTTCCGTCCTTAATAGAAAGCATTTTGATTTTGTTCTAAATTTCACCTAATATGCTTTTTTAATTTACAAAATAACCTTAAAAATATTTCATAACTATCAAAAGAACACAACGAATGTAAAAATATATTTTTAATATTTTTCTGTCAATTAAAAATGTGTATGAGGTGAAACTTAGGACAAGTCAAAATGAGTCATATTAAACACCGGAAGGAGTGTAATAAGAATGAGGTGGAAGCAACAAGAAAGATGGAGAAGGCCACGTGGAACCCAAACCAGAAACATTCAACCCACTCAGCATTTCCATTCATCTTATATACACGTTCTTAATAAGAGTTAGAGAAGCTCTTTATTAAAAAAACACCAAAACATTGGAAGAACTCACCGGAACAGAAAACTCAAACTAATAGTAGTAGTAGTAGTAGTACTAGTTTGTGTTTCCTGCCCTGGGTCATTGGAGTGGAGGATGAAAGCAGCAGCATTGATGATGATATTAAGAGCCACAGGTAAGGGAGGAGCTAATAATGCTGCAGTTTCCAACCTAAGAACATTAGGTGGTGGAGTAAGGCACTTTGTGCTGAAATCATCAGACCGTGCCGCCGTGCACGGTGCTAAGTTACCCCAAGTTGATCTCCTTGATGTATGTGACAAAGACACCCCTTTTCCCAAATCTTTTCTAATTTTGTGTTTTTCTACGTAATGATGAATATGACTTGACTGGCTGTCGTTATATGTCAATTGTGCAGAAGGAGGAAGTGCAGACGGAAATTGAGAAGGCCAGACAAGAGAAAGAAAAGCAGAGGAAGAAAATAGAGGAGGCTGTTGATTCCCACCTCAACAATTCCAATCCCCACATTCTTCTTACTCCTGATTCTTCTTCTAATGTTCCTCCCCGTGAATGACATATTGTACCTCCCTCTTTCCATTGTTCTTTGGTTACCTTCCCCTTTGTTATCAATGTCTAGGCCAGTGATGAAAAATGTGTAAAAGCCTTTGTCTTCTGCTACTACAGATCAACAATAAGTGGCAATGAGACATTTTACTTAGTACTCTGTCCGTGCCAGAACATAGGAATACTTGTACCCTTTTAAAAAGCACATTGTTACAATTGATAATACATGCAAATCTAGCTTCCCAATTCTACTTAGTACTTACCACCACGGTAAAGATGATCCATGGCATCATATGATCGATTCACCTGTCCAAATTCAACATGATCCCTGCAAGGGATTCACGATCCAAATGCTATATCAGAGTTGTGGTAATGTCATTTCACCAAAACAAGTGTGGATGTCTAACATCTAAAGAAACAACCAAAGCGAAACTGATTCGTTACTGACCAACAAAAAAAAGTAGCACAAACTTCCTTTCCCCAAAAATTGTGCTCGTACCTCGTAACCATACATATGTATATATTCCAGACTAATTCTGTACATGCAAGACTTCCTAGCTTGCTGAACTAATGGAAAATGCTAGAGAGCTGCAGGCATCGATCGAACCAATACAGTAGAACATTAATCATGTTGATGAAAATCAACTAACCTAATCCTCTTCATCATCCACTTCCACCAGTCTTCCCCTAACCCATTTCTTCTTCTTCTTGGTTACCACATTGGCCAACTTTTGTGGTGTCTCTTCGTCTTCGGACTGCTCCTTCAACTTCGTTCCTTTCAGTTCAGCTTGCTCCATCGAAATGTGACCCTTGTCCCCATCCCCTGGCGACAACCTTGAACCTAAATTGAACCCTATGGCACTCATTTGAGGAATGCTATTCTTTTTTCCGTTCACTGTTACATCACTATCGCTAGGTCGAACTAGATCAAACCCTAGAACAGCGTCACTCTCGCAGTCTCCTGCTAGAACAAAGTCATTGTCGTTGTCCCCTGATGCATCATCATCTGTTGCTTCCTGATGAAATGCAGAGTCCTCGCTATTTAACAAACTTGAGTCGACTATGTTACTAGATACTAATGTATGAGCAATACCATTAACTTTTCTGGCAACAATTTGGCTGGGGTCGGGAACCATAAATTCTGCACTCGTTAAGTCTGTGCGGTCGAAATGTTGAGGGGACGTTGGAGAAATACTTCCATCAGTCGGTTGAGAGGGAGTCAGTAAAATACTTCCATCAGGAGGTGAACCTTCGTGCTCTTCTTCGTCGATGGAGCTTATAGATTCAACTGCTTCAGCAATGAGTCTCCGAGTTTCAATCAGTGAAGCCCGAGCCAAAGGACTTTGCTTAGCCGCCACTTCAAGAGCATTTGCAGCCTTCTCAGCTTCAGCAATCAACAACCTGCAGAAAAGTGGAATGAGAAAGCAGCCTTCTCAATCAGGAAGAATGAGTAACTCAACTTCAAAATCGCATATTCAAATACTAAACTTACTTTGCCCTTACTAGGGCTTCGGTTTTCTTGCTTTCAGCAGCTGCCCTTTGCGCCCTAATGCTTTTTAACATTTCCAACTTTGAACTTGCCAAAGGATCCTTGTACGGGGCTGATTTGCTTTTCCTTTTTATTCGCAGATTTTGGCTCTTCGCGGATTCATCATCCAAATCAGTTTTTCTTTTGGATAAACTTCTTTTCCTTGTCTGACCATCACTGCTTGTAGTTGTCCTTGGAGTCCTCTCGCCTACCTCTGTTATACCATGATACTTAATAAGGCCAGCACGAACTCGCTGCCGATATGACTACACAAACATGAAAGAAAGAACTTCAGCTTAGCAAGTATATAGAACTTTGAAGGAAAGGACGAAAACTAGAAACATCTTTGAAGATGATTTCGACGGTGATTCTAGAAGCATAAAATAAGTTTTGAGTGTTCACAAGGTCTTACAGGATCAGCCCATTTGGCAGCAATGGACTCTGCTATCTTCCTTCTTTGCTCAAGAGATTTAGGAGCTCTTTTGCTGCCTTTTACTCTTGGCATTCTTTTCCTTTCTTCAACACTTTGTATCCATTCTTGCTCGAGCTGCTTATCCAGGGTCTTGTAGGAGTCCCACTGCAACTCTTCCTCACCAAGAACGCCCCTTCTTGAAACTTCTGCAATTAAGTTTTGCCACTCATAGAGACAGGTTTCCTGCAACATCATTTTCTCGCGACGCTTTTCCCATCCAATTCTCACACCAACACCAATTTTCATCTTTGTTTCCTCACTACAAAACAATTAAAAGAAATGAAAATTATTTATCAGTATATCATGGAAATTGAAAAGATCCAGTGATTGGTTGACATATACTTTTCCACTAGAACATCTCCCACTAGATTACAATGATCTGCTTTGAAGTAATTGGAAAGCAAGCAGACTAACCTTTGAGCATGGCCCAATTTCGCTAATTTCATCTTGACCTGCATCAGCAAAACTGGTTAATATGAGCAAAAGGTTGCAAAAGCTAAAACTAGCGCATAAAAATCTACAAGGGACGTGTCAATCAACACTTTGGAAAAAAGTTCAGAAAGAAAAATTTGGACAGAGTTAACACCAAACAGTTATTAATGACTAAATTCACCAATCTGCAAAAACAACAGGAAAAAAACCAAGTCTGACAGTATCTCAATGCAACAGCCTGAAAGCATGCCTAAGTCAAGAATAACTTGCGGAAGTTCATGGCAAGCCAGAAATCTTTTATTCAGAACCAAGTTCCATACATATGAACCAGGGAGTAGTAGAGCGATCCTAAATAGGCCTACAGCATCAGTAATTCCAACCATAAGAAGAGAAAAAGAGTTATCGCCCGGACAATAGTCTGCAATGATATCATCCTCATCATATCCCTGAGACTAGCATAATTCCTATGGAGAATACTCTTACATGACTTCACCTTAGGATCCTGCATTGCAATCCTGGTTCTCTCTCTAATCCGCTGCAATGTTTCTGCACATGATTGATGACATTCTCGAACATATTATTGACTGAACGGAAGAATAAGTAACATGCTTTACCAACCCTATAGAGAAAAAGAACTACAGATAATAAATCACCTGGAGAGTGCTTCCTTCCTTTGTTCCAAGGGGTATTTCCCTTATTAGCTCTCGAAATCCTCATCCGTCTCAACTTCTCTCTTTCATCCACTTCTTCTTCAGTTAAATCTTCGCTCAACGAGGGTTGCTCCTCGACCCTAGGTGCAGCAGAATTTACATCATTAACCCTCGAACCAAATTCTTCTTTATGTAACCGAGTCAACCTTGTGGGCTCAAGAGTAGCAACGGCCTTGATCATTAATCCACCCCGCCATACACAACACCTTCCCGAGTTAAGTTTGTTTGCTTTGTCCGGTTTTCTCCAGAAAAGGCCAAATAGTTTCTCATTTCTAAACACAAATTTGCTCTGCTGCAGAATTGCTTGAGACCTGAATGCATGTAGATTGCTCTGGAGAGAGGGCTGTGCTGTAGCAATATCTGCATAGTGATCACATCAAAATGATAAATTAACCCCTAATAGCCATTGACCAGAATCCAAACTTTTCCTTGAGACATAGTGAGATTTCATCACCAAGGTACCACTTAGAAGACTAACTAACAAAGACCACTCATTCTTGAACTGAAATGGCAAGCTAAGAAGTCCCAACTGAAAACAAGTTTCAAAACCAAAATGAAGGGCCCCCATAAAAATCCAATCCTCGAAAAGCTAATAAAACAATAATCTTTTAACAGCAAGACCATGAAACCAGAAACTGAAAATTTAAAAGCAGGAAAGACCCATTACATCAAAATGACAGGAGAACAAAGAAAACAGTAATAAAGGGCTACTCTTTAAAAGAAAAACCCAATCTTTCAAACTAAACATTATCCTCTGACTCTATAAGAAAGCTCACAAAGAAACTCCATTGCTGACAGCAAATCATAATTCAGGAAGAACCCAATAGAGTAAAATGAGAGGAGAAGGCAAAAAGTAGAGCTGGAATATGGAGAATTATACCTAATAAAGGCATGGGGAGGTCATCCAGTCGAGGCACAAGTCCAATGCAGCAGCAAGCAAAGAGGGTAATTACACAAAACTCTAAAATGCAGAGCAGAATACAAATTTGTGGAGCTTCCAAACAGCTAAAGAAAAAAAAAACTTTCAGCTATGGAAGTGAAATTGTAAGGAGGGTTTTTCAGAAGGGATAGAGTTAGAACCACACAAAGACAGCGAGTTTTGTTCGTCCCTGAATGCCTTCCTTTCACTTCTGGAGGATATTGGTTAAAAAAAAAATGGCCGATGTTTTTCAACTTTGCACAACTCATCCTTTCTGTTTTGATATTTTTGTGCTCTTTTTCATCATTTAGGATAATTTTCATTAGATCCCCTTAAACTTTCAGAAATCCTTTTTCTCCCACTATATTTTATAACAAATGTATATACTTCAGACGAATTTCAAACTTAATTAAAAAAGAAAAAAACAAAAACAAATTAGTGGAATCTATAAGTTTTGTTAAGATTTAAGAACCAGCAAAACTACGGGTTGGAGAAAATGCATTTTGGCGCTGGATTTTATAAGACCAACAACTCAACTCTAGTAAAATGTGGAGTGTGTGTGAATCGTGTTATTGAATTGTCTTGCATGTTTTCTAAAAAGATTAATTTTTTTTTAAAAGAAATTAATTGCTCCCTCCGTCCTCCCACAAAAAAATTACATTAAATTTTAAATTTACACAGAATCAAAATTAAGTTTTCAAATTTACACTAAGACAAATTTAAAAATTATTTTTTAGGGACATATATAGTATTTTTATGTGTCATGAATACAAAAGTAAATAATGGAAGCTTTAATGTTATGAATATAATTACAAGCACATAATTTATTCTATGTGGGTGGGATTTACATGTACGACTAAAGAGAAGACTTCACGTGTGCACGCTTTAATCGCCTTAATCTGGTACTTGGAAAACTTTGTGGAGAGTCCAACTACAAACCTGGACAAAATCCTAGCTTTAATGGACTGAGAAAATGAACAGTATCATCAACACTCATCCAATTCATCGGCTCCAAAATCCTAGGTTTAATGGACTCTGAAAATGAACAGTATCCTCAAACCTAAAAGTGTCTTGTTTTAGTCGTATCACTAACAATATTGATGTTCAAGTCTCAACCTTTTAAATAAAGATCTTGGAATTGATCATGTAACTAATTAAAAGGGCATTTTCTAGGCCATTTTCTTCTATGCAATGATGGAGTTTTAAGATTTTATCTCAAAATCGATAACCCTATTAGGAGGGAGAAAGGAAAAGAGAAAAACAATAATTAACTACATTGCATTGTTGGACTGTAATTTCTCCCAGAGCTCACTTATGCGATCTATATCTTAGGCCGCATGTGGACATTCAATACTAGTTAAAACAGTTCAACAAAAAGAAGTCTTTTATTTTCTTGAACATGCAAGAATGTGAATTAGTAGATGAAACATATGAAATTTGAAAATTGTCCTCTAGTAGAAAAGAAGTAAACAATAAAATACTGTATATAGTAATATGCTTCTCTAATTAGATAACCACCAAAATAATTCAGGATTGGACGGTAGATTGTTTTGGAGCAGCAGCAGTAGTAGGGATATCGATGATTGTGATGTGAGAATCCGATTTGTGTTTCATGAATATAGTCTGCAATGATGATGAGAATCTGCACAATCGAAGCAATTGGGTAAAAAACTGAAATTGTTGCTCATCTCGTCCATTGAAATTTATCAGTTTCACCACTCTTAGATGCCTGTGACAAATTTCACTCACTCGCTTCTCTAGTTTCAGTCTTTGTTTCGGAGATTCATTCAGATACCTGGCCTGCAAAACAAACCCCCCACCAAACAAGCTAATTAATACACCATCAACCTGCCCTGCATGTGTGTTTATACTCTTTTTGTCCTGAAATAATTATTCAATAATTTGAATTTTCATTTATAAACCGAGAAAATCACTATAGGATGGAAACATAATAATTCTATAAGTTAATTCAAGATGAGAATATATGTATGGATAAATCAATTGATACTGGATTAGTTCTCATAGAATACCTGGTTTCTCCCGGAATTTGGTATATCCCCGTAAATGAACTACAATCAGCAATTAATCAAGGCATTAACAATGGTTATAATAAAACAAGTTAAGTAATGATGAGCCAGCCAACCAGCCAGAAAGAAGCTAATTAATTAGTATTCTCACCATCTCAAAATTATTGTCTAGCTTGGATTTTCGTTTTTAAAATAAATTGAACTATTAATAAAAATCCAAACTGGATAATAATTTCACGCAGGACAGAAGGAGTGGAAGAGGAATACCAACTCCAAGTGTGTAGAGGAATACCTGAACGGACAAGTCGGACAAGAAAGGGCACTGCGCAACGCAGGCAACATAGTAGAGGAGACTGGCACCAGGTAGGGTATTGATCACCAGTTCCAAGTGTTTGAGACTTTTTAACCTAGGAAAAGTTGGACATCTACTATGCCGCACGGTGAAGTTATAATCCTAGCAGTAGTGCAAAGAACGAATTAAAAGTGATGAGAATTAATTAATGGTTAACATTAATGAATAATATGAAATTAAGGGCATGCAGAGAGATCAATTCATTAATGTGGTATTATGTATTGAGATTTATACCCCCTGTTTCCAAAATAAAAAAGTTCACGTTGAGTTTTGATAATTGTACAAGTTTTAGTATAAATTCGAAAACTCAATGTAGATTATTTTTTTGAGACAGAAGATAATGTGTTGCACCTGAAGACGATTACAGTGCATGACGATGCGCTGGGGTTGGTTGGAGTAGGGACGATGCAGGTGTGTCTCATAAGTGAAAGACCTGAGATGAGAAGCCCCCATTGCGAGATTGGAGAGGAGGGGCACATTGTCAAAGCGAACGTGGTGTTGAAAGTCGCTACAATCGTGGGTGAGGTACTCGAAAAACTCGAGTTTTGGAGCAGAAATCTTCAAGGTGTTAAATATCGGCAACCCTGGAGAAGTGCGGAGGCTCAACACCTTGAGACATGGATTATTGACAATGTTGAGATTCCTCAAACGTCTTCCACCATACATGAGACGGAAATCTTGAAGAAGTGGAGAATTGGACAAGAAACAATCCATGGCATCATCTTCCATGTCACAGCTGGCCAAGACTAAGCATGTTAGGGAACCAAAACAACAGCCACCGGCGCCTGCGCCAGCAGCAGTGATCAACTGGCGCGAGATGAAGAATTTGCAGTCTTGGAAGGGTGGGTTTACGTAATTGCGATTAAAAGCAGGAATGCCAAGCAGTGCTAGAATTCGGGATTTCTTTTGAATGGCAAAACGAATGCAATTCTGGATAAGGAAGACCAAATCATCTTGTTGAACACGACCCCAAACATCGCAATTGAAGTAGAACGCAAGGATGCAATGATCTATTTGGGAATTTGGTTGGTGATACAATTGCCATTCCATCAACTGCTTCATTGCTTGCATCACTTTTGGATTATTTTCTGCTCTTCCGGAATTATTATTTGTAAGTTCAAATACAAATTGCGGGGAACCCAATCTCCATAAGTAACGACATCTGCGACCCAGCACGCTAGTCCTCACTGCTTCCGCAATTTTCAAATTGGACAGAATCGACACTATTACATCATCTCCCAATTTGTCCATCACATCACCACTAGTACAGTGACTGTATGGATGATTATTTTCCTGCCAAATTCATCCATGCAATATAACATATATCATGTTTGTTCGTACGTGCGTACGGTCACCTTATATGGGGCAAAACAGACATAATTACGGGTGAACTGATCTATTGCTCAATAACTAATTAAAAAGAACGCACAGTACGTTCAAAGTCTAATTAAGAGTACATTAACATATCAGCAAAAAACAAAAAACCGCCCCAAAAAGCGTACTATAATACGAGGGACAATTTCATAGGAATATATACCTTGTTTTCGTTGTACCGTTGTACATCCTCGTCAAGGAACTACAATCCATAATCAAGACATTAACTAACTAGCAGTGGTTATTAGAATAACACGACTTAATTAATGAGGATCAATCAAACAATTACCTGAACGGACAAGTCGGACACGAAAGGGCACTGCCCAATGCAGGCAACATAGTAGAGGAGACTGGCACCAGGTAGGGTATAAATCACCAGTTTCAAGTGTTTGAGACTTTTTAACCTTGGAAAATCGGCACATTTTCTATGCAACACAGTGAAGCTATGATCCTAACAATAAAATAAGTAGGTGTATAAACAACAAAATTTAAAGAGTGATGATGAGAGAATTGTTAATTTATTAATGGCTAACATTATGATTAATTACTCCTTACATTCCGAAATATAAGTCACTTTAGCTTTTACACATAAACTAAGGAGACAATTATTCAACAATTAATTTATATGTTAAATATCTATTTTACCCCTCATTAATTACATTGGAACTATAAATAAGACTAAATGAAATTAGATAGGCATCATTTTATTGAGAATAAATTTGGAAAAATAGTAATTAATTTGCCTAAAATTTGTAAAACGACCTACAAATTGAAATGATATGCATATGTACACACACACCTGGACACAAGAGCAATGAATGACGAGGTGTTGGAGTTGGTTGGAGTAGGAACGATGCTTGTCCGTGTCATAAGTGAAAGAATTGAGATAGACAGCCCCCATTGAGAGTTTGGAGAGGAGGGGCACATTCTCAAAGCGAATGCCGAAGTGAAAGGAAGGAAAATCGTGGGTGAGGTACTCGAAAGACTCGAGTTTTGGAGCCGAAATCTTCACGGCGTAAAATATGCGCCCCCGTGGGGAAATGCGGATGCTCAACACCTTGAGGCATGAATTATGAACAATTCTGAGATTCGTCAAACATGTTCCACTAAGACGCAACTCTTGAAGAAGCGGGGAGTTGGACAAGACACATTCCATGGCATCATCTCTCAAGTAACAGTTGACCAAGGTTAAGGATGTCAGCGAACCAAAACAACAGCCGTTGTTGGGATTAGCTGTGATCAACTGGGGTGGGAATGAGATGAAGAACGAGCCGCGTTCTGGGGGAGAAGAGGAGGGTTCGTAATTGAGATCGAAAACAAGAGATGGAGTGGCAGACAGCGACAGAACGCGGGCTTTCTTTTGAATGGCAAAACGAATCCAATCCTGGATAACGTGCACCACATCATCTTCATCATAACGTCGACCCCAAACAGTTTCGTAATTGAAGTAGAACCCAAGCATACCCTTGTCTATTTGGGAATTGGGTTGGTCTTTCTGTTGCCATTCCATCAACTGCTTCATTGTTTGGATCAGTGTTGGGTTATTTTTCATTACAGCTATTCCTTCAGAGGAGTTTGTGAGATCAAACACAAAATCGGAGGAAGCGCGCCTCCACAGGTCGCGCCATCTGCGACCCAGCACACTTGTCTTCACGGCATCCGCAATTGTCAATTTGGACAGAATCAATACTATCATATCATCTCCCAATTTGTCCATCGCATCATCACCACCACTCCTACTACTGTAGGGAATATTTTCCTGCAAATTTTTTACCAAAACAGTAATCATCATCATCCTTCAATCCTACTTATTTGACACATATGTATTCATCAGTGCTTGTAAACTTGTACGTGCCATTTTTTGAGGCAAAATAGATAATGAAAAAATCTATTGCCGTCTATTATTACTGTAATAAAGAAAAATACAGATGTACGCTCAAACTTCAAAGTCTAATTAAGATATAAACATATTACTACTATTAATTAGCACCCAAAACCCCCAAAAAAAAAACGTACTACAATATTAAAGACTATAATCCTAGGAGCAGTTTAAGTTAACTAACCTTGCTGCTTTGCTCCGACTCTGCGAGAACCAGAAACTTTCTCTTCTTCTTCTTCTTCTTCTTCTTCTTCTTCTTCTTCTTCTTCTTCTTCTCTTCCTCCATTGGGTTTAGGGTTCTTTGTTTCTTCTTCTTCTTTTGGTGGAGCTCCGTGGTCAATGTTTTTCACAGTATTTGCCACTATTTATTTATAGAACAAAAATCAATCTTATCCTGAACCTCTCTCTTATAACAGAAACGTTTCCAAAAGGAAGAGAAAGAGTCTGAAAAAATGATTTGTCAGTACGGTTCTGATACGGTATGGTCTTGTCACGTCCAATACCATAATGCATGTTACCTATTTGATCATTATCTAAACGGATTTATTTAGTTAAGATGTAAATAGTTTAAGGAAGTAATCCATAAGGTTTATATTATTAAGGAAAAAAAAATTACGATATCATTGGACTGACAAGTCCTTTCTCCTCACAAATGATATTCTTTTCATAGTTAAACACCAAACAAATCAGCCGGGGAAGTATGACGACCGTACGTAGGTAGTGTGTATTTGATTATTATGGGTAAATTTCTTATCGTCAATTATTCCTTTTAAGTCATTCATGATCATAACTCTCTTACCAAATAATTCCAAACTCAGATTTCACATATATTTTTATTTTTATCAGAGTCTAGAAATTTGGAGCGTAAAAGTAATTAAAAAGTTCCCAAATTACTTTTTTAGACATAGAAGTCGTCCAAAGCACATCCAAATGATTAATTCCTTTTCTTTTTTTATTTTTTTTTTTTTTGACAAAAAAGGAGTAAGATTTGAGTGGGAATAGATGATACAATGGATAAACAAAAATATGATAAAGAGGATGATGGATATCATTCATAAATGGAATACGGCTCAGAGTGAAGAAGGAAGAAAGAAAGGGGGCCGGGTAAAAGTGAGTTCAAACGACGTGGTTGACTAGTTGACTTTGATGGCGGTGAATTTAATTCCAAACGCAACCGCAACGCCATTGAATATATATAATACTACCAAAACAATGGAAATACACATTACCCTCACCAAAGATTGGTCAGTTGGAAAGCGTAATTTGACTAATTAATTCCATCTCATATTCAATCTGAAGCCATATAAGGATCAAAGGATTTTTATTCTTTTTTTTTTTTCTTCAAATGAATTGGCTGTCAACAAATGTAATCTAATTCCACGTACGTGATTCCCATCACATTAATTCTCACCATAAAAATTCATTTTAGATGTCCCAAAATGATTACATGAATCCAGTCGTCCTCACTCAGCAGATAAACTTTCATTTTTAAACATTCCAATATATCTAATTAACTAACTAAATAAAGACCAAACTATTAACTCCACACTCCTCCCACCAAAGACTATATATATATAACTAAACCTGCATGTATTTTCCACACACACTTACACAGAGAAACAAATATCTCTAATCAAGTACCTACAACATATCTATCTATCTATATATATATATATATATATATATATACCTTGTATCCAGCTAGCTAGCGAGCAATCATGGAACAAATTTGGGCCGCCGTGAATTCTTCTCAAGTGCCAAATGCTTCCACAAACTCCAATAATATTATTGTAACTGATGAAAACCAAATTACACAACAGCATCGTCGAGCATTAATCAAAGCCTTGGATCTCATTAGAAAGATGGCCCCCATCCTCGTCAACAAATTCCGGCCATTCTTAACGCTTCCATCTCAAGAAACCACCGCCAATATCCCAATTGATGATCATCCGGCCAGCGGTTCATCATCCACCGCCGTCCCAGATGATGATGATGGAAGAATATACATAAAAGGCGATGATGATGAGGTAATTATAAAGTGCGTAATATGTCTGTACGAAATTGTAAAGGGAGAAAAATACAGGGTTCTTGAGGAATGCAAACACGGATTCCACGTCGACTGCATTGACGGTTGGTTGCACCACAACCCCACTTGCCCTATCTGCCGCCGCCCGGTTCCTTACGCCGCCACCGTGAAGCAGCAGATCGCTGGGGATAATCAAGCTTTGCCCAACGACACAACGGTGCTTTCTAGTTTTGTGGCGTTGGTGGATCATTTATGGAGATGGTTCCTTAACCCGCTCGGTTTTGATGACGACGACTCGGGTTGTGATCATATGCTTCGAGATGATCCCAACTATGTTATTTGATTGTGTAATTTGCCCTGTATTCATCAGTTCATTTCATTTGTGTACAAATCGTTTTGTTTTTCTTATTCTTTTGGGGGAGGGAAAGTATACAAACGGGATTTATTAGTACAATGTTAAATCAATTACGAATTATGGGATGAATTTTATTTTTTTTCGAACATGAATTTCGAGAAACTTTGACTTCATTAATTGCACAAAGACCGGGGGTCCGGGTGAATTATAATGGCTTGAGGCTTCATTGTTGGGGATCAAACTGTGATTGAAAGTAACATTTTCTGGTAGACTAACATACTCTCAAAATGTGCTTCGTTGATACTAGGCTTTCTGTCTCGTACATTTAAGTGAACTTAACCACTTCATTATTCACAATTACAGATGAATTACTTTGCTGATTCTGTATAATTTAAACTGGAAAGAACGCTTGTGATTTATATATATCAGGCACCGGAGGCATTTGCTGTGGGCATGCAAATTGTATAACCCATGTGGGGGAAAGTGATGGACTAAACTCATTCAAAAGAAACTAAAAGTAGTAGTAGTAGATTATTCAAACGCGTGTCATAATATTACTATTGGGGTAAAACGTGACATATTGACCCCCTTTTGGTTTAGTGTTCAAGATTTCTAGATGCCTGATTAAATGCATCCATTAGTATATATTGGCCCAGTTCACATGCCCAAGTTGACCTACCTGCAGAGTGCATACTAAACCAGAGAATTGAAATTTGTATTAGTATTTTAAATTGAACTTGAGGTGTGACATGACGAAATCTCACCACTTTCCCTTGACATTTTAAGTTGTAACTAACTTATATGTATAGAATTTTTATTATTATATGATGATGATTATTATTGTTATTATTATTATTATTATTATTTAAAAAGAAGACCATGTTTTAAAAAGTTGCACAAGTAGTAGTAGTATACTAGTACTTACCTGAAAATATTTCACATTTTTCCATTACTGTTCATTCATTCTCGAGTTAACATTAATCTGTTGTAGGTATTTGTTATTTTTTTGTAGTTAATTAATTAAGAAAATATTGCCGTAGGACGGACGACCGTGCATCATTTTGTCCCAAAACATTTTCCTCATTTTCTGTGGACCGAACTCTGTTGACCCTTATGTTTTTCTTTTAGTCTCCTTTTGGGTTTGTCAAGCCCCCAAATTTCCGGTCAACATATGTCCTCTAGACGGCCGACCCAAAATTTAGTGTCCTTAACAGTATGTGATTTCTAGTCCAATTCAAAAGTGATCGATGATTGTAGCTCACGTAAAGAAGAGGGGAAACCAGAAAGAAAACCAAAGAAGGAATTTATATTTGATTAATTGAAACTTTCTAAGCCACCACTTTCCCCCCTTCTTCTTGTGTTCAATTCTATTGGAAAATCGAACTTGGAGAAAATATTTCAATTATTAAACTTTGAACAAGTAGTCAAATCCAGTAAATTTAAAGTCTGTAGTGTTGGGGCTTTTGAAGTTACAGAGTTTAAACTTTAGATTTATCGGAACTTATTAGTACAAAATCTTAAACGTTCACTAAATGATATGGGAGCTAGCTAGGGAAATGCCTTTTCTTTTGCCTTGAAAGTAAATCGCAATATTAACAATTGAGGAGATAAAATTGGTGTGGATTACTCAACTAGATGTGTAAGCTCTCACTTTAAAAATGCAAAATTTTTTAGACTAGGATACAAAAGGATCATTGATTAGAAATTGTTTGTGGTGGCTCCTAATAAGGCTATAAAACAAACTGTAAGAAGTCATTTTGAGCATCCTAATTCAATTTGCCCAACTTCATCTTTTGTAACCATTTTAATAGTCAAAGCTCTATAAGGGGGAGAAGTCATAGAGAAACATCCATAACGCCGCCATTGGAGTCTTATTCTGACTTCTCTTCTCTGACTCGTCTCATTCTTTGCTAAACTAATCCATTTGCCTTGCCTTGCCCCCTAATTCCTTCTCAATTTTTTCTTTTTTTAAATTTTTATGTTTTCGGGATCGTTTCCCACTACCTCTATTAACACCCTTAAATCCCATCTCTTTCCTCATTTCTCCTTCTATGTTCTTCTTCCTCCTTTAATCTCTCTGTTTTTATACTTCTTTTTATATAGAGCTTCACATTCCTCCATTCCAGCTCTTGGGCGGTGTTAAAGTTTCAATCTTTACAACTCCCAAAGCCATCCCTTTCTTAATTTATCGTTTCCACTTGCCCAGTACTACCAGTCTTCTTGCTTTAAAGAGATGGGGGATGATTCAGGTAAATTAGGGGATTCAGGAGTGATTGAGTTAACAGGGAAGATAATGGTGGTGACTGTTTTAGTCCTCGTGTTTGTGGTCGTCTTAATTTTCTGCCTCCACTTATACGCCAAATGGTTCTTGCAACGCCGTGAAAATCAAGAACAGAACTCAAACTCCCCTTCCGGCACCGGTAATCGGAGGAGGCGGCGCCGGCGGTTCGACTTTGCTGGTGGGTACCAAGACTTGAATGTGACGGCGGCCTTAAAAAGAGGGCTTGATCCGTCGGTCCTGAAAACCATTCCTATAGTTGTGTTTAGTAATGAGAATCAGAAAGAGTTGAAAGTTGGAGGAGGATTGGAGTGCGCAGTTTGTTTGTGTGAGGTATCAGAGGGTGAAAAGATGAGATTTTTACCCAAATGCAAGCATGGGTTCCATGTGGAATGCATTGACATGTGGTTCCAATCTCATTCCACTTGCCCACTCTGCAGAAACCCTGTTTCTTCTTCTAACAATGTTGTTGTTGAAGATGATGATTCAGCAGTCCAATTGGGTCCCACCCTGCAGGAGGGTCCCTCTCCCTCCACCGCCGCCGCCGGTGCTGCAACGACAGAGTCATTGAGTTTCCCAACAAATGTTCTGTATTGGGGAAATGAGACTCAGGTCAGCATTTTAGGAGAAGGAAATGTTAGTGCTGCTTCAAGTTCATCTTCATCTTCACCAGAAGGAGGAATGTTAGTGATTGATATTCCTCGGATGCATGATGCGGAGGAGGCTGCTGAAGAGCAACAACAGAAAACATCGCCTTTGCCTAAGCGTTTGAGGTCATTCAAGCGGCTTTTGAGCAGCAGTAGGGATAATACTAGTAGGAGATTAAGTCCTCGTGGCGGTGGTGGTGGTGGTGATGTTGATTTGGAGCAGCAGCAATAGGGAGGGATTAGGGGAGGATTGATTACTTGTGTAATTATGTCAATTTTGGAGTTTGGAGGAATTGAATTGGTTTATTTGTACATTCTGACATCGTTTGGGTATATATACATATATAATACTGAGACAGACTCTGATGATGTGGTCTGCAATTTTTTTCAGTTTATTATACATTCTTTGATAAGTTCATTATATGATTTTTATTTTTTAAAGATTTTGATGTCGGCGTTCTTTAACTTCTGTTTAGGAGGTTGCTGAAATCAACAGAATTTGATCAATCAATCAATTTTGGCTATCTGCATTTGTATTGTTTTTGTATTTGATTAACATTAACTTTCTGTGTGTGAGATTGAGACTTGAGAGTGATGAACCGAAGGAGATAGAGGTTACATATGTGCTTTTGGTGGTTTTATGCATTTTGTCTTATTGAAAAATCCCAAACAGCCTAGTAAATAAATAATATACTATCAATGATGCCTTTATCTTCACAGCTCAATAACTAATCTAAAAGCTAGTAGTAATTAGGAAGACAATGGTTATCGGTTTACACACTTGGCAGTTGGCATCATCACGTCTACTGTAAAAATGACTAGTGTTTTGTTAATGATAAAAAACTTGATTAAAAAATTACATGTGAAAATCTGATCAAGCCTACAGAAACAGGGTCGTTGGTTTACTTACTACGACACCAAGTAAAGAGGACCATAGTTTTGAGCATTACGAGGCGTCCGGGGAGCATTGTTAAGATGGTTTAGACAAACATAAGGTATCCTACCAATTGCTTCAGCCTCCTCTTGTCTTTCACTTTTAGCTGCTGCTTCATCTGGATTGAGTCTTCTTCTTCTAGTTAGCAATGCCCCGGAAAAATTAGTCCTGCCACCGCGGCCGGCCGCCATTAGGTCATCACCACCACCACCACCATGTATTATTGGACCAGAAATTGCCGTCCCGCCGCGCCTCAGTTTATGTGGTTGTTGTAATGTTTCCACTACTACTGGACGCTTGTTTTTCTTGTCACTTTTTATCAACCAAGAAAACAATGAGCTTCTCCATGATTTCCTGTTGCTCCTTTTTGCTCCTCCATTTGATGCCAGTGCTTGACAACCATTTCCCTCAATGTTTTGTTCTACCTCTATGTTAGCCCCTTTAGGTTCCTCTTCACATTTATGGTTTCTTGCTTCTTCTAAGAACTTCCAACAAATGGCATTGAGAATGGGAATCAATATAAACACAACTCAAATGGGGTCCCAAAAAAATAAAAATGGAACTTTTGAGTTTATCATTTGTGAGACAGATCGAGAAAGAACACTCGTCGTAATAGTATAGGTACTTCGGATTAATACACACACAAAAAAACAGATTGACAAATTCAGGTTCATTAAGAAACTAGTGACAAATTGGTATATGGAAGAAATGAAATGAAAATGTTACCTGTGCAAAATCTGCATTGGGATCAAACTCGCAGTCATGATACGCTCCAGCCTCTTCTTCTTCTCTTGGGTAAATCAGAGACATATTTATGCCTTTCTTTCTCTGATTTCAAACAGTGGAAGGTGATGAAGTGATAAACACAATAGTCAAAAAGATGTTAAGAACAACAAAAGGAAGAACAACAAAGAAATTAGACCAAACAATTGTAGTCATAGAGATCTGAGAGCTACGCCAAATGGCCCCCTAAAAATGCTACCTCTGTCCCCAAAGAAATAATTCTCAAAACTCAACTTCTACTATATATATATATTTAATTTTTTTTGGACGATTGAGAAAATAAATAAAAGTCAGTCTTGCATCATATTCTTACATTTTTCCTGATTCCACTTTTTTTTTTTTACCTACTACTGTGATAATGTCTTCACTGGGCAGCAATTAAGGAGCATGAACAAATGCAATGCTTTGTGGAAACCAACGCTTTTCAAATGGTAACTAGTAGTATATTAGTATTATATTTGCTTCCTTTCCCGTTTTTGTTGCTTACACCACAGCTATTTTAATCATTCCATGTGAGAAGGGATATCTCTCAAGCTTTGGCCCTCTTCATAAAGTTACCTATGCCTCCTATTTTGTACCCAAACAAAAAAAAAAAAAAAAACTTTTGCACTCTCACAGGGTTCTCATAAAGATTTTTTTTTCAATTTTATTTATTATTATTTTTTGGGGGAGGGGGTGGGAGAAGGGGTTCAAATCATTTACTATATTTTATCCATCTAAATCATCAGCTACACTGCATTTGAAATTAAGTAACCAATTCCTTTATACAGAAGTGATTCGTTTTCATTTTAATGATGAAAATTTTCCATTATGGAAATAATAATTAGTAATCGGAAATAAGTAACCCATAATTTTTATTTTTATTTTTTCAAATGGGATCACTGGATAGGGAGAAGTCGCCCGCCGTATGTTGCGCGGGGAACACCCAGAAAGCCAGAATCCACTTCTTTCTTTTCTGAAAAAAATTAAAAAGCTTTTTTTAAAAAAAAAAAAAAGAAGAAGAAGAAGAAAGAAACTCTGAGGAGCATTATCATGCTTCACTTCAGGTTGTTTTGTCATTTGGTGCTCGATTTGACTGATTAAAAGAACTTTCGTTCCATGCGTAATCAAAACTCTCTCAGTAATCAAATGACACAAACTAACATAATGATTTCTGCATTTTGTGTAGATACTTTTGTCATTGTCCAATGTCACTTATCCTGATGCAGTGATATGCCCCAGACAGACAGACAGACTCACGACGAGATATACGAGTTTTACAATAACATCTTCTCCACATTAAAATTTTTGACATTGCAAAGATTCTAAACGTTACCTACCTCACATTTTACCAGTTTTACGATAACATCTTCACCATCCAAAGATTCTAAACGTTACCTAGTTCACATTTTCCATCCACAAGACAAGCAGCCAACACCTAAAAACTGTACGACATATAGACTATGAAAGAAATGACCGAAGATATCTGTCTATTTTTGGCAGCAACTAGATATGACAATGCACAGGTATAACCACAGTTCATATGTGTGCTTTTTCCGCTCAACACAAGCAAAGTCATTTCAAAGGCTACATAAAATACACATGTAATCAATAACACACACTTATGCTGCTTCTTCTTCCCACTGTCCTCTCATCAATTGTCAAAGTTGAAGTAGAGGTAATGCCATCACAACTCCAAATATGGAAATTAGCACAAAAAGTACCCAAGTCGGGAACGGTCTCCTCCTGTTCTTAATGTCATCATTCTGCAAGGGCGCGTTCTCTCCTCTGTCCAACAGAGCAACTCTTGCATTTTCTGCCGGATTTGTTGTCAAGGACGATACCTGGTGGTCACCGGCAAGTTGCTCAGACAACTTCTGCTGCTCATATTTTTCCACGTATTCAGGAAACAACTTCCTAAACGTTGCACTGTTTCAAAAGAGGTAGAGCGTAAGCACTAGTGCCAACCAACATATCTCAGACAACCAGTCCAACTTTAGAAAACAACATGCATCTAAGCAATTGACTCACTTTTTACAGTTGAAAGCAAGAGAAGCTTTAGCAAGCCTCTGCTTCTCAGCAACGGTACTTGACACACTGCCTGTCGTAGGACTAGTATCCATCTGAACAGGTGAAAAAGGAAAAAATAACATCACTTTAGGCTGAGTTATGGTGAAAAACAAAAGTTCTGTATAGCAGGACATCTGGCGGAAATTATAAGAGAATTAATTTCCCCAACTCACCATGAATGAAAGAAGTCCAGTCAATATGCTGCATTGAGAGAGAGAAAATATTAGCACTGAAGCAAGAATGCCTCCCCCGGTCAAAAGAAAAACACAGAAAATAAAGATAGAAAAAAGTTTTTCCATTGTACCTTGAAACTGACCACATGGGGTTCCAGGATTCGGGATGATCTGGAGAAACGATAAGACAGAAGCAAACTCGCAATCAGACACGAGTTTTAGTGAAATTCTGTGACCATAGCAACAGAAAATGTTCAGAAGTGGGAAGGAACATACAATCACTCATTGAAAGACAGATTTTTGTCCGAGTCGCAAACCGTCCACTTGGAGTTGTCATCCTATACACAAACAATAGTTCAAATCGACACCAGTTTACTAATAGTCAAAGAATCAAATGCACACTACAATAACTCATTCCAAACCTGATCCCGGGGGGTTTATAAGGATATTCTGGAGGAAAATTAATCTTGCCATAATAATATCCACCTGAATTTCAGAAAAATACCAAAAAATAAATGGAGAGAGTCAGAGATAAGAACCAGTAAGAAATCAATAAAGATTTCATCTCAGAGCTTGACTTCACAAAGAAAAGGTTGGATAGCCTGCCATTAATTACTAACCTGCAAAAGGGGTCCCTTCACTCCCCTCCAACACATAGTCTGGCCAAAAGATCAGCAAGGCACGAATTTAATAATAAAATATGGAATAGATGGATAAAAATTATAATTATTCTATTAAGCAGCTCAACACACAAATTCAATGACTGATACACATATAATATAACAAAATCAATACGCCTATCGTTGTTTTATAGAAGCACCAAATACAAGATTTGCAGTCACAGGTGCCGCCGAAAGAAACTAGTAACAGGACAGGCAACTTACGCCACTCAAGGATGTCATTTGGGGCAGGCCGAGCAACAATATGAGAAACAGGCTCCTGAAATTCAAAGTAAATGCCATTACCCACAGACACAAATGGACACATAGCATTGCTAAATACAACATCCAATACGGCATGTTATTTAAGGTGCAAGGTTCTCTTCGAAGTAGTAAATTATAAATGGTTGTTTTCTGTATCCTGTTTTGCAACTTTAGCACATCTCAGGCGGGGTAATGCAGAAGAGGAGACGGGGTGTCACTGATGCGGAACAGAAAAATTAGAAAGAAGATGAATAACTTAATACTTGGAGAATAAAAGGACCGTACTTTACAAAGTGCTCTATATTCTTTCTGGAGCCGCTTTACACAAGCCCTTTCAGCCATCCAAAGCCGGTATTTTACTTCTTATATTAGCAATGCAGAAAGGTTGTCTGTTAAGAATAATACTGCAGGAGCGTGAGAGAACAGTTGTTGAGCTGAATCAAAGTTTCATAGAAGAACGAATAGAGAAGTTGAACAGAAATTGCAGCAATTCAAAACCCCCCAACTCCACTCCCGAACTGCAGAGGCCCGGGGCTCCCATTTTAGCTCCGTCACTGATATTATTACCCACCCAATCAACTACTACCACCAAAGCATAAACATGAAGAAGCTAATCCAAAATCCGAAAAACAACAACAGAAATCACTCCGCTAACTGGAAAAAAAAATGCTTCTATAACAATTCAGAGAAGCAATTTACTCCAACAATAAACAATTAAACTATAAATTACCGAATTTAGAATTGAAACTTAGTACAGACACAACGGAATTATAAGCAACCAACATAAGAGTGGTGATCACTGGATAAGAACAAAATGAGAATTGTCGAAACTTTGTAACCCTACCCGGATCCCAGTATCATCGATCAACCATTGAAAACGAAATTAATGTGGGGATTGAAACAAAAATGAGGGATAAAGGAGGAGAAATCAAATAAAATTGTAGAATTACCGGATGAGAAGCAATCGAATAGGGGAACCCTAATTTGAGCACTTGATCCTCAACATAAAGAAAAATTCAATATATGTTCGCTTTCCTTTTCGAAGACAAATATATTATTATGAATATGAATGTGACTCCTGAATTTCGAAAATTAAATACGCAAACAAAACTTCGAAAACAGCCACATTAATATGAAGAAATAGTAAGGTTGTCCCCATTCTTTTAGAAAATAATAATTTGCGTCCCCATTATCCTAAAACTCCCATGTTACATCCTCCTACACAAATATATTGCCTCTCTAAGTATTTCACAATAAATTGGAGCGCCTGCCTAAAAACACAATAGGTCTGACAAACGCAGTATACATAAAGAGACTTTCACAGTTAATTTCATAATAGGAATGTGAAAACTTAATGGTGATCACTCTAAGTAAACATTAGTTATAACGCCGGCCGTATATTGTAGTTATCCAAAAAATGAGAAATTCGATTAATAGTCATTCATGTAGCTTATTCAGCGTTATGTGCGATGTGTAGTATACCATTGAAGAAAAATGGTCAAAAGTATAGCTGATTAAGTACATTATACGCTTACAATATAAGTATTATTCAAGAAATAAACCCAAGAGAAGACGACACTAAAATTACTAAAAAAACCTACTGAAGAAAGAAGATAAAACAAGGAACATTATTGGAGTACATGAGTGATGGGGTATAAATCAGAGTTTGACAAGAATCACGAGTTTATATCAAAACAAGATAGTCTCAAAAAGTTTTGGGTAAAGTTGCACATTGTTTCCCTATTATGGAAAGTTCCTAATTAATTATTAGTTTTTTTTTTCCGGAAGAAAGGAGGATTTATATGTTTGTTATAAATAGGAATTGGTTATTGAGTTGTTATGAATAAGGAAGTTGTGAGATTGTAACTTTTATTATGGTAGGTTAATTAGGGTCCGAAGATGAGGAAGAAATTCAATCCCACTGAGGAACAACTTGTGTGCTATTAACAAGATTCTAGGACAGTTATCCGATAGGGAATCCCAGCTCGTAACCGAGGTAGACATGTACGGCAACGGCGAACAAGCACCCGGCGGTAGTATTCCGGTCGGCCGTGACTTGTTGGATCCCAAAGACAGAAGCTTTGGGCATTTTGGATGGAAACCTGTGGAGGTTCCGAAAGAAGAATCTGGGCATTTGTTTTCCCTTTATGCGTTCACCAAACTAAATAGTAATCCAAATAGTAGTAACAATGAGAATCGGGTGGTGGATGGATGTGGAAGTTGGCAGTGTCAACCAAACATCGAAAAGGAGGAAGTTCATGATAAGAGGACATCAAGATTGATTGGATACAAGCGGTTGTTCAGTTTCCAGCCATTCACACCATTGGACGAAACATCATTGTTGCGCATATGGGATTGGACTATGATCGAGTACAGCATCCTCAAGAATCCAGATGATGATACTCTTGGAATCACCACCGGTGTGAGTGAGTACGTGCTTTGTAAACTACATAGGACCATTGGCATCGATGCCAGTAACAGTGGATCTCCTCCGAGGCATTTCCTAAGGGCTGATCAACGATGCAACTGTTTCTATACCCGTTGTTTGGTCCAGAGTGAGGTAGGCTTGTTGGTTATCGATAGTGGTACTTATAATAACTGCGTATCAGCCAGTTTTGTGGATAGATTGGGATTGGAGACTACCTTGCATCGCCAGTCGCGTCAGGTCATGTGTTTTAGAGGTAAAGTGTTAAACGTGGACAGGCAAGTGAAGATGAAGTTTTCACTCGGTGATTATGTCGATGAAGTAATATGTGATGTTTTGCCCACGCTGAGCATGGCCGATATTTTGCTTGGTAGACCGTGACAGTATAATAAGCGTGTTATTCACGATGGGTTTACCAACAAGTATCACTTTTTGCTCGACCAAGACCCTTTTACTCTTGTTCCTATGTCTTATGGACAAGTACTCACTATCGATACTCCCAAATCTTAATGCGACAGTTAAAACTAATAATTTTTTAATACACTAGAGTATTTGGCATATATATTGCGTTTTACTCACTATTGATGTCCAAAATTGGATTGAAGACAGTTTTTTTTTTTAAATCAAATAATGTATGTTACAAAAAGGTATCTACTCTATAGAATAATGATTTGTTACAAATGTAACTCGATGCATCAACATTAATTTTTTTGGACATGAAACATGTAGGAAACGATCGAAGACCAGTTGTAGGTAAAAATGTCGCCTTTCATCAATCAGCTGATGAACTATAATTTCCCCAAATCTTTTAGGTTCAAAGTAAAAACAGAAAAATTAATTATTGTCCCTCGTGTACCGATTTCACTAAATATTTTTTCCACTTTTGCAACTTCAATGACAATAACACTCTTTCTTTCTTTCCAAAAAACTGAAAAAATTCTTTCTTTGGCTAATAACACAATAATTCATGCAAATTCGAACACAAAAATCAATCAGCAAACTGAAATACTGACATAGTTGTATTTATCAAACTTTCAGCAGCATTAAATTAATTCACAATGTAATGTATCCAATAAGCAAAATTCTCGGGGCTCACTGAGAGACTGAGAGGTAGTTACTTGGCACACTAACACGCAATCTTTTCAGATTTGGTTCTAATGAAGGTAGCTCTTTCAGTTTCTCAATATCTCCCAGCTGTCTTCTTCTCTTCATCATTTCAGCTGTTTCTTTAGCCAACTGTTGACGAGACATGGGCACAAGAGTGAACTGTACTTGGTTCATCACGAAGTGATACTTGTTAGTAAATCTGTCATGAGTGACACGCCGGTCGAACTCCCATGGTCTTCCGAGGACAATATCGGCCATTTGAAAGGGCTCCACATAACATGTAATTCATCCACATAATCACCAATAGAAAATTTCACCGTCACTTGCCTATCCGCCTCAATTCACCATTAATACCCACGGTACAAAATGGCCGTTGAAGCCGGGTAGTTGGCAATCCCAATTTATCCACAAGGTAAGAACTTGCAAAGTTAGCCCAACTACCGCTATCAATAGACAGCAAGCCTACCTCGTTTTGAACCAAACAGCGAGTATTAAAACTCATGTAGCGTTGATCTTCAGCACCCATTGAAGCCGGCCGCACGTAGTCTACTTTAAGTAGTGCGAATAGTTATGAAAACTGAAAGGTTAATAAATGAATAAATAATGCGAGCACAATTATGTGGTTAATTATTATAAGTCAATGTCGATTATTGGCTAACAGAATTGTTCAAAAGAAACTACATCATCAAACTTGTGAGTACTTATACACAACTCTAAACTGATTTAGGAAACCAAATCCAATATCGAGTAGTAATAGGAAGCATGTCACCCTAATATATATAGCCTTCCCTTGATGCAAATAATGCCATGGTTTCGGCTCAAATTATCTCAATAAATATAATTACTTTAGGGATTACTGTCTTCCCTGGTGATGGACTAGGGTTTGATTCCCACCAAGAATTGTAAAAGGGATTTTACCCACACTTAAGTTGGGTTTACTGGAGTGGATTTTCTTTAAAAAAAAAACGAAAATGGTAGAAGAACCTGAAGAAATGTTGGAATTAAACTCAGCAGCATTGGATACCCTTTGGACTCCATATAAATCCCCCCTCCCCCACAGGTTTGAATTGAGATCAAAATTGTGTGTGGGGGGGTGGGTTAATTAACTTCAAGGGGCCCTAATAATAAAAGTAATAAGTAATCCCTAAACCACTTATGGATCGATCCCTTTCCACTTGGTTACCAAAAAAAAATTAGTTACCAAATTATTTAAGCAGCTTGAATATAATAGAAACCGAAAGAAGAGAAATTCAGAAGAATAAGAAGCGTGGCCACACCCACAGATCCCAATAAGATGTGTTTAATAATAACAAGTTCAAATTGGACTTCCCTTTTGTTAATTAAAATACTATCATCCCCGGCATTTATACATGTGAATGTATGATCTTCTTCTCCTTCTTCTTAAAGTTGCAGCCAATTTTAATCAATGTTTGTCTATTAATTTTTGCCAAGTGTCAGCAAGTTCCAAGCTTTGCCCACTCATTTTTTGTCTTCCACACTGAGCGACAGTGAATCTGCTGACTTCTACAATGTTTTTGAGAAACATACATATATCAAGTAGTACGTACTTTTTTACTACTCTAAATTAAGAAGGGAACTTCTTGTTTTCAGTTGGGGTCCGTCCAGTATGTAGGAAAATTGTAAATATGTATTCTCTCCGTTCCATAAGTATTGTTCAATTTGGATTTTCGTTTTTAGTTTAAATTGTAATAAAAATAAAATTTATAAGTGGACAATTTGGGACGAAGGGAGTATCAAGTTTGTTATAATATAGTATAATATTAACAATTTAACATCTTAACTCAAAAACGCCGCCAAATTTCAAACTCAAAAATGTTATCCCCATTATTGTAACCTTTTAATAATTAATTTAGATACGGTCGATGAAGGAACTATGGAATTTTCTGGTGATTAACTCATGCTTACCGCTTTAATTTACTTGCAAAAAGGATAATTCCAGAAGAAAAATTATGGGGTGGTTTTCTTTTCTTTTTTTTTTTTTGAAAGGAAGAAACATTATGTTACATGCATTAATTTACAACTTTACTCCAGGAATTTACTGTCGAACATAAAAATCATACTCTATGCAACTTGCATGGTTGCATCCCTAAGCTTATTTGATTTTTATGCTTCAATTTGCATCACATTCATTGTAACTCATTCGAGGGACCTTTTATATTTCGATTTTTTTTATTTATTTTTTAGTACTTCATGTTTGAGTTTGGTGATGGAAATCAAATTAATTTTAAAAAATAAAACTTAGGAACTTGAAATCTATTTCTCTAAAACTTACGACAGAATACTACATAACTCGCATTTTGTATCCTGTTCCCTAAAGTAATGTGAATCTTTAAAAGTTTTACAGAATTATTAATTATTAAGTCGGTCACTTATTTAATTAGGTTGAAAGTTGAAACATTTCTGTATCCAAAAAAAAAAAAAAGTGCCAAAAAATCCAAGAAGTAGTCCTAGTTAAACGCGTAAAAATGTTGGCCTTTTCTGATTGCTTTTCCAGCCCACAAAACTAACAAAACATTTGTAGAAGGAACCATCAACAAAAATAAAAACAACAAATGGCTCTTGAATTTTGAGTTTTCACAATGCTTTTTCATTCAAGCTCGCTGGATCCTCATTCCAACAACTGTATAAATTTAGTCATTTCCAACATTTTCGGGAAAAGAAGAGAGCAAAGAAGGCAAAAAGTCTCTCATATTCCATTGTTAGGTGGGAAGCATTTGGCAGAAGTGTGAAGTAACCACAAGATCCCTTGCCCTTGGTCTTTACACTTTTCTAACTCTTACTCCAAAATTTACACACACACACACACACACACATGCAACTTTATGATCCAATATTCAACTCCAGGGTACAGACTCACAAGTCAGAAGGAGTTCAAGATCTTTTCACCCTGTGTATTTAATTTAACAATATCACGTGCCAGGTCACATGACTGCATTTGCCACAAACTAATTAAACTATACTTTCACAACTGCAAAAAGACATTCAAACACACCTTTTTGCACTCATCACTAACACCAAAACAAATAACTCCAAGTTTTATCTCAGTCAATAGTCAAAGAATCATCACATGATTATGATCCCAAGTTCCAACCAAAAACACAGAACCACCTCCCACCAGCCAGCTTTCTTCATATATAAAATCCTCCTCAACAATCTCATACCTTGGATCTACCAAAATCATCACATACAATTACAACATTCTGCATATAACAGCATCTCTCCTCAACCCTCTCTCCAAGAAACATTCTTTATGAAAGTTTAAATCACCACCACTATGAAGAAACCAAAGTTCCAGAAATCAACCAAAATGGTTGCTTTCTTGCTACTTGCCACTCTATTGTTCATTTTGCAGTTATCATCAACAATGGCAGAAGCGGCTCGTCCAGTACGTCAGCTAGACCAGATAAAGACCAATCCATCATCTCCTTCTTCACAAATTTTGACAGGTTTGCATCAGAAGCAGGAGCATCCGTTCAAGAAAGCTGTGGGAGCCAGTAATAGGGATATACCTCCAAGTACATCTAACCCCACTCAGAACAAGTAACTTGAAACAGCAAAAACACAAGATAGAAGAACTAGCCCAGAAGAAGAAAGAAGACTAGGAGTTTACTACATCTACTACTACTATTCTTTAGTTCAATTAGTAATAATGTAAGTTCTTCCCGGTTGCAGTTTTTTAATCCCAAGTACAGTGCTATTTCTTGTACCATTTCTAGTACTAAATGTTAATTACAACCTGCTCGATATTTAGTAATGCATTTTTGTTTAGTGGGGTGTTTGCTTGATAAGTTTTTCTTGATCCTAGTTATTCTGCAAAATTTAGATGTCTATCAATGCACATAATGATATGAAGAAAACTAAGAATGAAAAGTGATAGATCATGTCAGGGATAGGAATTCATTTGAAAGTTTACACCTTACATATCACTACTATGGCATACTTACAGCCTTAAACAAGAACCGGGGTGGGGGGGTTGGGGTTTGGGGAGAATCCCTCAAAATTTCAGCAAATTCTTGTTCCTTGTTAACAAGAATTTCACTTAAATCTGAACACACTCCAAAGGAAGCAATTCTACTTCTCATGGAATAAACGGAAGTGATCCTATCATATGCTGTATATATTATAACAAGAACAGAGATTTCACAAGCTTCTTAACCAACCCTTGCCAAACGATTCCAACAATCCATTGCTCCTGTTGGCCTTCTGAACCTGTGGGCGGGATTTGAATTGATACAGCTGTCAAAAACTTGATGGCCAAGCTCCTGATATGTCTAGTTAACTTTTTTGTTTCTTCTTGTTTCTCAAAATGTTACCATCCACGCCAACTTTGGGAGTACTCCCTCCTTCTCGTGACCGCTTTGACCCTGACTTTCCGGGTTTAGTCTTTGAGCCTTGATGAGCCAGAAACGGAGTACCAAGCTTAGGACCAGTGTTCACAAGGGAATTGTCAATCTGTTTTCTCATGTCTTTCATCTTCCCAGACTGCGAATTATGCTTAACCTCAGCTAGAAAGCTAGTTTTTTCCCCTGATACATCAGTTCCTGATGGTCCAAAGGCATCATAAAATTCTTTGTAAGCAGTTTGCCTTGAAGATTGTCTCGACTTCCACAGATCAGGACGTTTAGCAAATCTAGCACACCAATCGAACAAATAAAGAAATATATGTTAAAACCAAAAACAAGAGGTTAAACAAGTATAGCTAAGTTGTACGAGGAAGGCATGAATTTATTTGATTTCAGCAATTTATGGTTTTCTCAGAAATTATCCTCAATAAAGTATTGAAAGAAAAAGGAGCAATCTACCAGGAAAGTTAATCATCAGCTTACCCCTCAACATCAAATTTCTTCAGGAGGTAAGGTCCTTGTTTAGTATTGGCCAGGTCCTTTTGTACAGGTAGGAGCTCTGATACAATTGTTTCTCTTAACGACAGATTACAGGCACTGAAGCATTTTTCAATGGTAAAAGAACCTGATGGATGCACTGATAGCTCGGCAAAATGCCCACGTAACCTTCAAGGAATTAACACACTATTAAGATAATCAAGAAAAAATACGCTCTGTAAAGGCATGTTCTTTGATGAATAGGTCAGATATTTAATGAAGAAAAGATATAACATACTTCGCGATCAATTTACGCTTCTGCTTCACTGTAGCGTTTGAGCTAAGAAAAGCCTCAACAACACGTGAGCCACAGGGATCTTTTGATGCTGATAGGGCCTCACTTTCCTCCAAGGATGTGATACTCGTAACATACGATTGTATGGATTCCTGCACATGAACCGAAGCATCTAAATTTAGGTTAACACAAAGTAAAGAGAAATCCTACTTTATCCTTCTTGCTAATTTTGCTGTAATTATACTCCAACCTAAAAAAAAAAAGATGACGCAACGCATATAGCCAGAATTGAAGAAACATAAATTTTAGATAAGTAATGCTACTTCATGATAAAAATCTTCGCCTAGCGGTACTGCTGTTGCAACACAAAGCTCACGGATTCTTAAATACCAAAATTATAACAAAAATAAGTTTCACATCATATATCACATGACGAAATATTTTCCAGAAATCCTGCGACATTTGATAATCATATTTGAATAATGTATTATGAAGAAAGAGGGAGAACGAGAAAGGGACAGGAAAAGAGAACAAGGAGAAGCTAACTTTAAACCACTATCATGGAATAACCAAAAAGAGTAAAGGGGTGGAAAATTGGACATTCAGAGATGATAAGGAAGTAAAAACTGTAAAGGTACGTACATTTGGAAATCCAAAGATTGACTGCAGCAATAAAGAACCCAGTACATGCATCTTAGTACCATGCGGCCAGCTCCAGTTTGGTTTATCTTCACTGAAAATGTAATTATCGAGGAAAAGTATTCTAGGAACAATGCATCTTGGAGAGTCGTCTATTGCACAAACAGCTGCAGCAAGAGCCTGAGCACACTGCCAATACATAACAACAATAAGTGGTCAAACTTCACCTTATGAAAGTAACAAGAGTTTAGATACTCTAAGCTACAGACCTCATTCTCGTGAGTGTGAAGCCTACGACATGCAGCGACAATAGAAGCAACAACTCCAGATCTTCCCAGGTCCAGAAGATCCTTGAATCGGGCACCGAGGTCTGCCCAAATCAACTCCATCTGAAACACGAAATATGGCAGCACATTTTACACATCAATTAATTACTGCCGACCAAAAACCATTTGCAAACTAGACAACTCGCAGCAACTTAACCTCAAGTAAAGAAGCACTTATACTGCAGCTGATTTAAAACTTGGAATTACAAAAAGTTCCATACTGAATACAATATCAGCATTGGCGGTTATAAATGTTCACAATGGACATGAAGATAAAAAGACTGGAAAGTTTGGGCCTACCTGATCTTCAGTTCTCGCATGAGAAATTAAAGCCTGTACAACAAAGTTCCCACATTGATCCGATGACAGAGAAAATAGTGAATCCTTAAACACTTTCAGGAATAACTCGTCATACAGGGTATCGGGGGCCACTTCTAACACAACCTGTTAAAAACCAACAACCAAAGAAAAAAATCAGTTAACTCAAGTGCAGTAACCAAACATGAGACTACTCCTATGGGAAACAAAGAAAAATGATTCACGATGGAAAGCCATCTGCAAATGACAAGATGCAACAAAAATTAAGGAGTTTAAGACACAGAAACAACTAGCATTTCAATATTAATCACCTCCATTAGATGGCTGAAGGCAGTTTTTCCCACCAAATTGAGAATTCTCCGTACTGCTGCCTCAGGTATAAGATTCCCCTCAGCGGCATTTTCAGTGCTGCATCCTAAAATGATTGGAACAATTTGCAATAAAAGCTGCTTTTCACCAGCTAACAATTTCAGTGCAGTCTGCCATCGAGTAAATGACATTCGTCAGAAATATAGTAACCAAAAGAACATGTCAAAATTCTAGCAGTTATCAAGTGACTCCAAAATGTAACCTTAAGTTGTAAAAAGAACCTTGGATGCGTAGCTGCATGTCAATTAAGAACTTAAATGTAAAAATATTTGCTAGTGTCAATTTTACATGAAAATAACAGAGGGAGAAGCTCAATAATGGATCATGCAGATTAACACAAAAGTTCAAAATAATCAATCTTATACAACTGTGAAAAAAAAAACACTTTAATCAAGAATGTACCTGCAGAACCAAGCTGCTGTATTGATTACACTGAAGCACCATATCTTTCGTCGCGGAATTCAACATCTCAGACACAAGGGAACGAAGTAATTCTGGATATCTCTGTGGAATATTCTGTAGGTCTGTAGCACTCCGTTGAGAAGCTCGAGTATTTAATCTTTCAGCTAGCACCACGGATGACTTAGTGGAATGAAACTCTGTAGAGTCTAAGGGCACTCCTCTACAAAGGGAAAGAAGGCTCCTCAGAACATGGGATCCATGACAGTTGCACATTGTATCAATAGGATTTGCCACAATCATCTGCAAGTCGCAGGATATAAAACTTTCAACAAAATTTATCATCAAATTAAAAGAAATCCGGAGATGTCTGCATCTATTCCCACGTAGCTCAAGTCCATTTAATGCCACACAAATCAAGCAAAACCAAAAAATATCAATCGTACTGATAGAAACTAGTTAGAAGGTTAGGAAAATACCACACCTTGCAGATCACTGTCAGTGTCTCCTCAATCAGAATGTGGTTATCACTGTCTTGAAGATGAAAAGCCAATGCCTTTAGCGCTGTTTCAGCCACATGTGACCCCGACCTATCCATTGCAATCTGAGCAAACTCCTTGGAACAGTTCCTCAGGAAACCACATAAGTGCTCCACAGAACAGCTTTCAAGTAAAGTTTGTAAAGTATGGCTAATAATGTAATCGGTGGCGAGCTCCACTTCTTTCCCTCTCGCCTCTTCTAAGGCATTCCCACATACAACCGACCTCTCCTCAAAATCAATTTCACCACCTTCCACCACATTCGCAATTTCCGCAAAATACTTTGCTGTTTCTGGATCAACCTGTTTCCTACAAAAAGTCACATGAGCTTTTAATTGCAGTTTCCTAGCTTGCCTAAAAAATGTGAAGAATTCTCAAAGTGACAACATATCCTTAGCTAGGAGAATTTCACTGCAATTTAACCTGATAAAAGACGACGGCGGCGGCGGCGACTGCATTGCCGGAGAATCCTGGTGTTTGGATGACTTGTAATGCTTGCCACTTTGTGCACCAGATTTCTCATTAGAGAAGTTCCCATCTTTTTTCTTGTTCATGGCCTTTCTACCCATTTTCTTCTTCTTCGGGTTAGCCCTTTGATTATAGAAATTATTATCTACTCCTTCCACAGGGAAATTAATACAGATTTTGCTGCTTCTATGTTGTCTTAACAGCAAAGCTTTTGAACCAACAGAGACCATAAGTTTCTCTCTCCAGAATCCTACATTTCAACCCGAATAAGAAAAAAAAAACACACACACACAGACACGCAGAGGAATTAGGCAATTGCAGAAGGGGAAAATTTACAGGGAAAAAAATACAAGCAAATTAAAAAGATCAATAACAAAATTAACAACTGCATTCGAGAACGGACCAACCTGGGGTTTAGGGTTTTAGGTTTCAGTTATCAGGATCTTTTCTCAGTGACATTTTTATATGTTCAAACCTGGGTCGGGCGGGCTATTGCGTATGGATATATCCGGCATCAAATTACCTGAAAGTTAGGCCGTTTTGTCTGTCGGGCTTTTTGCCTTTCTGAAGCCCAAATATGTTAATATAGGCATGGCCTGTGAATAAGCAAGTTTGTTTAAACCAGTTTTTCTTACTCCAAAGTCCAAAAAATATGAGTCATCTATTCACTTTTATTTTGCGACGAAGTGAGCAGAAAATAAATTTATTTTGGAAGAGACTTCAATCTTTTGTGTTTTAATATTGTTGGCAGTGAATGCTAATAATGGAGTGGTATTTTTAAGTTTCCAAGAAATGTAATAAAAACTTCCATCCATCGGACTTTGCTCAATATTGTTTATATTCCCTACTATTCTTACTATAAGACATTTTGATTTTTCTTAAATTTTATTTAATTGTATTTTTCTAATTGAACATAAAGTCTAAATGTATTTTCACATGTATTATATTCTTCCTATTATTATGAAGTTAATTCCTATTATGTTGCATATTTTGATAATCAATCATGCATTTCCAACTTTAATGGTGAAATTGCTCCCCGCAAATAGAACTCAAGACAGATAAACAACTCTAATTATAAGAGGTACCACAAACCAGAGCCATGCCAAATCACAGTAATCCAAAACTGAGGGAAAAAGGAACTTTCTCTTTCCAAATTTTTTACCACATTAAGTTTTTACCTATTCATGTATAAATGATGTGCCACAGTAAGCGTAAACCTTCTTATGGGTGATGAGTATCGAAACCACCAAAATAAAATTTATTTAAAAATTATAAGAAGTTATAAAGGTTAATCCCATAAAGACAGTAAACATTAATGAAAACTAGTTTAAAAGATCGAGAATATAAAGCAACAGGCAGATGCGACTTGTGCAAGTGACTAACTGACTTGACAAAGTGAAAGAAATCTAGGATAGTTCTCCTTTCTACTTTGAACTGTATATTTCTATTTTTTTGCTCTCTTTGTAGTATGAAACTGTATTCGATCATGCACTTATATACTATAAGGTCACTTCCGATTGTCCAGACAGAGTTTTAATAGCAACAAATCCACTAACTTCCATTGTTGATTCCATAATACTATTAAGTCATTAAGTTCTTAAGCCTTTGTGATCATCTCGTGCCAAACACCTAACTTCTATTGTTGTTTAAAACTTGGGTTGTTATTCGCTCGTCACCGGCTAATCTTAGATGTTCTAAGTTAAATTTACCCGTCAAAGATTCCCTTAACATTTATGCACAATTAGTTAAGTGGTCAATTCAACTAAAAAGTTAATTCAAACTCAAACACTAGGCACAAAAATATAATCCGATACCTAAATCAAAATATACTTATATAAAGTAGGGATTAGACCCTAGACTATAGTTTAGCTACACATGTTTATAATCTTAAAAATATAAGCAATAAAGTACACAACTTCTAGCATGTTACAACACAAAAGGAATGAAATTAGGAAAGGAGAAAACTCTGGGAGTGATGGCTCTGCCATGTAGTTTTTGGCAAGTCAGCTCCTCGCTTTGCCAAGTGACACTCATGTTTCAGCTTCCTGCTGATACTCTATTTCTAACCCTAACAGTGTATCTAGCTAACCCTAACTTCTTCTTTTTTTTCTCTCGATGCCTTAGCTCTGCTGATTTTCTGCCTTTTATAGAGGCTGGATGAAATTGGTCTTGTTTAGTTTGGTTGATCTCCACTTTATCAAAGAGTCAAAGTTGATTCTTTGACCATGCCTTCCATCATCCTCCTTCTTCACTTTAATCACCTTTTTTGGAGTTATTTATTTAATTAATCTTCTTGTGGCTCATCATTCTTCCTTGAAGTCAGCAACATCACATCCTTCTATTTTCCTTAGCTTCCTAGGTTGTTTGATAGCTCCATCTCTAAGGCTACTGCTGCTGAATCTTGTTTTCCCTGAATTTGCACCACCAGTCCAATGGGGCCTCTTTTAATTATTGCCTAGAATTTCACCATTGTGTACCAAATTACCACCATTTTAGTATATTGATCACTAAAATTAGAAACATCTAATTCTTACTAAATTAAATCAATGTATAACTAGAAAGAGACAAATAAAGATTGTTTAAATATGCATAAGTTAACTCCCATCAATGAGCAACCGTTGAGGGTGCTCCAACAAACTATCACGTAAGTCGCAAAGTTAGGTAGAAAAAGGTAGCCTTACTATTGATGCCCATTTCATGACGATACTTGTAAAACATTGTTGCGCTTGTTTTGCTCATTGTCCTAATGAGCAACCATCTATAACACTATTGAAGTATGAAAATGATACATTTAGCTCTTGTGAGCTCAGGTGAGCTTAAGTACTCAGTGGATTTTACAATGTATCGACATTAAAAGATTATTGGATCTTGTGTTGTGCTACTTACAGTTGAAGATATGCAAACATGAACATAATCAACCGGTTGGGATCTCGTATATCCAAATTCTAACCACTTCCCAAATTGTCACATAGTAAAATAACGTTGTTTTATAATAACAACAAAATAAAAAAAAGTAACATTGTTATTAATATATGTATAATCAACAGTGCAATGAAAAACTAAGTTAATAATTACAACTAACAAACAAATTGGTTGAAATGAATTTCATACATACACACGTGTTTATATATATATATATATATATATATATGTGTGTGTGTAATGAAAATCCATACTTACAATTATTTTGTTAATCAGCAAAACATATGCAGCTAGAATTTTTAATAAATTATTCCAAAAGTGTCAAAAAATTACTTGCTATATTCATTCGAAACTATAAATTTTAAATGTTACTTATATATGACACCATAATCTTTTTGCACGCGAGATTCACGTGAATTGACTAAAAGACATTATGTGTCCATTTAAAACTTTGATTCGAAAGAGTAGAAAACCCTCATATCAACTAACATAAAATGCTTCAAATAATATATAGATACATAGATATTCAAAATCCACGCGTTACAGTTATTTGTGTACAAGTAAAATATACAAAAACATTGAATTACGATATATATATATATATATATATAATACTCTTTACACACGCGCGCGCGCGTACACACACAGCCACTGCCCAAAACTGGTTTGAGTATTCAATGAAAGGAATTGATGGCCAAACCATACATATTAACTTTTTTATTATGTTTGTAAGGGATGTCTTATCACAGATAGTTACCATAGTTTTAATGGTTTTCTTTGTGTCCCTCATTTCCATATCCCTATCTTCAAAAATCAAATATCCCCTTTTCCTCATATCTTTGGTATGTGGAGGCTCTAAATTAATTCTCATCATACTGACTTTGCTACTTATTGTTCTATGTTTTTTGAGGCAAAGATTGTTACTATGGTCATCATTCGCAGCTACAATGATCAACGTAAGTTAAATACATTGTTATCTTGTTAATTCAAATCAACTTTACACATTTCTAGAAGTGTAGAAGTTAAATGTTTAAGGTTGCATTTTTTTCGAATAGCATATTGCCTTGTGCATTATCTTTGCATGTTTCGCGCACTCGGCTGATATGCATCACGGAGACAATAGTATCATAACCAATGATCAAACTATTAAATTTGGTAGTGTATGCTTCTTGGGGCTTACAGAATGCTGGATTTACATTTCATACACCCGAAGCACAATTGGGTGTCATTCTTGATCCACACCGAGTAGTCGGATGTGTCATCTTCCGGCAGGAAATCGCAATTTTTTGGCTCTCGTCAACAGTTTTCATAGCCCTTAAACTGTCGACAAAACTGATGCTCCTCCATGCAAACCATGATGCTACTCCATCGGCAACTTCCGTTAAAAATATTGATCTGCTTGTCTCACTTTTGGGACGTAACAGAAATTAATTTTAGAAACAATCCAGAAGCCTGACCGATGAAAAATGAGTAGTATCAAGGTGAGAATAAAAAAATATGATGTAGGCGCATGTAATTTTTCCTTCGAACGGCCATGATGATCAAACAGATCAGACCTAGGCCAAGTATGCAAAGAATTGCTCCTTTCGTGCACACAACTGATGACGTATTCCTATCATGGAATGGCAAGCACCTTGTCAATCCAAAAGCATCCCAAATGGAACCAACGATTGCAAACCATGTTGTGAGTATTATGATTGCACTTACAGCCCATATACGATATGCCGAGCCGCCTTTAGGAGAAAGCTCCTAAAGCTAGAAACCTCCTAAAGCCCTAGCTTTAGGCTCCAAATTATTAGAACCCCATTTTTTTACATATTGTTTGTTTTCTTGTTTTCTGAAAATATGAATTAGTAATTTATTTTTTAAAGAATGATAATATATATATCATAAACATTTTCTTCTCATCTTAAATAATGGTTACTAAAGTGTCCTAATTATATTTCTCTAACTAATTTTATGTTAAAATATTTGTAAGCTTCCAACTATATCTTCATTGATAGTTATCCGAATCTGCATACTTTTAGTAATATAATCTTAAAGTATCATTTCATTTTTGAATATAGTGGCAATGCACTAATAAATGATAAAATATTAGTATATTTTGCTTGATGGTTAGGAATCAAAATTTGTATTTATGGATAAATTTGATTGCTAAAAACATTTGTGTAAATTCGATTACTAAAGGGCCCCATTTTGAAATGATATTTTCAACACGTACGTTGTAATTTCTGTAACACATTTAACTAAGATATTTTCACTTATCATTATTTCCGATTGTATTCTCATTTCTTTTACTACTAGTGATGTCTGGTCGCGCAATGCGCGACCCTGGCCCAGTCTATCTGTAGATCTTAGAAATGTTTATATTTGAAAAAAATAAAATTTTGTATTTGGAGCGATATATTTTAGAAATTTTTGAAGGATTTAGAAATGTTTTATAAGTGTGATCATAGAAATATTTGTATTTCGCAAAAAAAAAAAAAAATTGTATTTCGCCATGTATGTTTTAGAAATGTTTTATAAGTATTACTTATTAA